CCCAATGATCCAAAATTCGTGATTTTTAGTAAGGAATCAACCACAGAATTCAGGGTCCCCAATTGAAAGAATCCCCATCCAACATCCTGTGGACATAGCCCATGATATTGTATGGAGACTCAAAACTGGATACGAATATCACTTGGATTGTGACTAAAAATTCGCCGATGATCCCATCATCCACTTTTTTGGTACCTTTCCAACCAGTTTGCATGAAATGAAGTTGTGGGTTTTGAAAAGTTACTGACATGAAGTATCGTGTTTTTTTCCATGTTGATGCCAGTATGTTTTAGCCCAGTTCTGAGGCACTGAGTCCCAACGTGGAGAGCTGGGTGAGACCTTGTTGCAAAGTATAGGTGCCCTGAGCGATGAGAATGGAACGCAGGTCTTGCAGAAGGCGCTACTGCATGCACCACAGAAGGTGGGGGATGGGGCACTGGGGCGCTGGATGGGGAGGGTAGCCAGTTTTCGATAGATTTGATAAGGCATGATTACAACTTACAACTTTATGGTGACCCCGCTCAACAAACAGGCTTGATTGATCCGAAAAAGGATGGGCACACCACTGGTGTCTAGCGATTCCCAGTTCCGGCTGTGACAGCCTGTCAGGTCACATTGGCACAGCGAATGGTGCCGCAGTTTGCACAAATTGCACGTGGACGTCACAGTCATCAGACAGTGCTGGCTGCCCTACAGGTGCTGCCCCAAAAGGAGACGGGGAAATGTACCTCCCGTGATGCCAGTTTGGGTGGATGGGTATGGGTCAAACAGTCAAACATCAACCAATAAATCCAGTGCACATGGATTAAATGGATCATTGTTAGCATGCAGATTATGCAGCCCCAAAACTGGGGATCGCTGATTTTGAACCACATCCATTTGGGCGTGCTGCTTCTCAGGACCAAGACAAAGCTGTCGCACTTCTATCTCAGAAGGCGGAGCTGGGGACGGGTGAATACCTGTAGAAGCATCTTTGGAAGGATGAACTTGACCACTGCTGTGAAAACAGCCATCTAGATTCATTTCGGATTAGTCACATCAGTTGGTGCTTGCTCGTGGGACGTAGCAGGGCGTAGCAGATCCCCAGATCCCTAGACCATCAGCTCAACTTTCCGCGGGGCCTTTCACATTTTAATGGTCATCATGGTCCTCATGGTCATGCGACCAGCTCCACCACCAGCAACAGCACATGCAGCAGCTTGGTTCATTGGTCAGTCGTCAGGTGCAGAAATTATGGGCCTCGAGGTATGGTCGATTGGTGGTCACTGGGCATCAAGGGTCATGGAGATCGTGGCAATTTGTATGGCCATCAAGAGCCATGGGGAACATGAGGAAAGCCCATGGGATTGAGTGGGTCTCCCAAATCTGCCCTGAACACATGTTTGGATGTAGCATGGGAAACTCGGCTGCCATCTGAGGTCAAATCTATCCCTAGTCTGCACCAACAGTGCGTAGGCATGACTCGACGTGAGGCATCAAGGGGCGCGGTGCGACCGGTTGTGGGAGGGATTGGTGTCCCACGCTGCAAAGGGTTCCGTGCCAAAGTAGGGCCTCCCCCAGTTCCAGACATTTGTCTTCCGAAGTGTCAGGCGGCAGCTGCATAGAGGATCCTCAGCTGCAAAAAATGCCGTGCTTGCGTGTTTGATGATCTATGATGATCTATTCATCGAAACTTTGTTGATAGCTTCCATAGCTTTCTTAGCATCTTCACTTTTCGCACTTTTCACCTCCGAACTACTGCGACATGATGCGTTTCTTCGATGTTTGTCTCCGCAGATCTGGGCAGCTGAGAATCGAGGATCTGGGCTACAATCCTTGGGTCGTTCATCGGCCGACATCCTCCCACCAGAGGAAGGAAAGTTTTAGTTTTCGCGGACATTGTCGGTTCGTACAAGTCCCGGTGCTACAAAGTCGGCACGAAGTTGGGTGTGGTCAAAATCATTCAAAATATCAATGGATGGTCTTTGAAGAGGAAAAAATGATGAGCCATTTCTCAGCGGGTTCGTTAGTACACCGTTTTTGAACCACACCCATTGTAGGGCCTGAACGGGTTATGGAGCACGGGTTTTTTCAGAGGTCTAGCTGCTTTGAACATCCCCTCGGCCCTTTTTATTTCAAGTTTGAAGCCACCTGTGCAGGGCGTTCCTGTATCATGCCCTGAAATTTGTCGACATGGTAAGTACCTCTCAATGCATCAGATTGAACACCAAACTTGAAAGTGTACTAATAGCCAATCGATTATCCTGAGAGTTGGAGAGAAATTTCAGGGCGTCTTACACATAGCGCAGAATTTGACCGAGAATTTTTAAGGTCCTGGTGATCTCAAGAGCACAGGCCTTTGTGAAGGATGCAAGATTTTGCCCACAGGGGGGGCGTCTGTCTCCTAAAAAGTCAGACCTCGTTGGATCTTACAAGTCTGCTGGAGACCAATTTCTGTAAAGTTGCCACCTGGCAGAATTCATTCGAGTTTTTCGCCTCGAATGGGGATCGCCCTTCTTTTGGTTTGCTTTCCATCGCGGCAGCGCGATACTTTCCACAGGCTTTGGCCATCCCTTCCCGATACGCGGCAGCGTCCACGTACAAGCGACAAAAGGCTGGGCGGCTGGCCTGTTTGGATCCCCTCCAGCGAAGCAGATGGGCTTGAATCCCCCATGATCCCATGAAATCTCCGTGGATTTCCAGATTGATCGGAAGCCCAAGGTTCTGGACTCTGATGAGGCTCGTTGGTGCATGTTGGTGCCGTGGGGGTTTCCAATTTATGGGAAAAACCCAGACTGGATGGCACCATTTATGGAAAAAAATATGGAACATCCCCAATTTTTTTTGGTTTCTCTTCAGAACATGGAGTTTTATACACCAAAATGCCGATTCCAGTGGGAAGAAATGGCACTCCATTGGTGGGAGAATTGTTGGGACTTGAAGAAAACCCTATTGTTCAAACAAACCCTGGAACAACACCAAGTCTCGAAAAATGTTGATAAGAGGTGACATTGGGAAAGCACATGTGATATGATACGGTGTGATATGATATGATGTGAATAATCCACTCTGAAGCCCCAAGTGATCATGTTGAGTCCTATGATTATTGGTGGCCCTGCCATGTTTTTGTTCAGCTGGAAAGTCAGTTTTCGTTGAATCCCAACAAGGGCCCGGGCCCAGTTGGATCTGTTTATACATTTAACATCATTTAACTTCCAGCCCGATTCCAGCCTAAATAGTTGATTTTGAAACTATTTTCCAGCAAGCCCTGTGGAGGGTATCATTTCCATTACCCTCTGGTGAACTAACATAGCAATGGAAAATCACCATTCTTAATGGGAAAATCCACTATAAATAGCCATTTTCAATAGCTATGTTAGTTCACCAGAGGGTAGTATACATTCCTGAATGCTGCATGTTTCAGGAGGGCCTTGCACCTTCCGTTGAACCAGGAGGCCAGATTTACATTGGTGACGATGGAGAATCTTGGAGCATTGATTTAAGACATGTGGATTTTGGCATTAATGTTTTGGTCAACAGACAAAAAGCTATTGAACATGGCCATAGAAATAGTTGATTTACCCATTAAAAATGGTGATTTTCCATATAAATCACCATTTTCCCATGGTTTTTCCTATTAAAAATGGTGATTTTCCATCCCCCCAAAAAAGTGAATCACACCCCCAACAAAAAGCAGATCAGAACATCCCAGATCACCGCAGGTGGGGCGCTTCTTGAAGTTCCGGAGGTCCCGGCTGTTGCGAACTTTGTGATACCGCTGGTTTTGTAAACTATATGACTCAATGAATCTCTATGACTATATGCATTATATTCATTTTATATTCCATATATTTCCATATGTATACTATACATATTCATCGTCCACGAGTCTCGGGGTGCCGAGAATGCCCCAGTTTTTCAGCGCAACCTCATTGGGCCCATGGTTGGACGGGAGTTCTTGAAGCTGCAGAAACCTCCAGCGTTAAAGGGCACAGGTTGTGGCACCCCGCTAGATGTATCAATAAGATTCAACAAGAACAAAAGAATATGCCGGAATATTGATGACATAAGCATCTCAGATCTCTTCACTGATTCACTTGATGAAGAGAGGTTGAACCAGCAAAAGGTGAGGTGTCACAGGATTCTTGCCACAAACCTGGACAGTGGATGTCGAGGTGGATTAAAACAGTTTTTGCGACTGTAGTTTGACAATTCATTATTTAGGTTGCACAACTATTTCAGCTGAATTTGGAAAAATATCATACCTCCCAGCTAATATAAGAAAGAGCTAACACAGACCCTGGTGTCCCAACTCACAATTTCGAAAGTCAGGGTCCTCCAACCCCGATGAATGGCAAGGGCCTATCTTATTTGAGGGATGTTGCCCTACTATATCCCCCATGATATCCCTATGGTATCCTAATAAGTTATATTCTCCCTATTTCTATTATATCCCCAGAATTTTGATTGTGAAATCCCGCAGATGTTGGTCAAATTCCCATCAGTTTCTTTCTTCCCAGATCTTCTTTGAATATTTTTCTGAGTTTTTCAGCCAGGATGCAGTAGAAACTCAGCCAGAAGTGCTGAAGCTTCAGGAGCTGAGCGAGTTGCAAGCTGGGGCGAAGTATAAGATGGGTGTGTCTAAAAATGGGTTGGATACACTCCTTCATTTATGGCATTAACATGAAACATTGCAAAATATGACAATTTCTTTTGAAGATACCGATAGCCTCTTTTGAGACAAAGCCATGTGGTTGTGATCTTCCTTTGAACAAATCCAGCCCATTTATGGCACTAAATCCGGCAGATTCGATGGGAGGATGCAGCCACAAAACGGGAGAATTCCCCTGGGTAGTGGAGACTTCTGAACAAGGCTTATCAACCAGCCAAGCCAACGATCCGGTTTCCCAAAGCTGCAGTAAGACAGGGCGTTTCAGGATGTTTCAGGATTGGTTTTAGCAAGTAGTGGACCACAGGTTTCATTTAAGGTGATCTTCCTAACTGTCCTAACTCTTGAACTCTCAAATTCCCATGCATTCTTCACATGTCAAAAGATCCGCTATGTTTGCTTCTTCGGTCTCTCAAGTCGCTCAGGTCACTTCCTTGTCCTTTCGCCATGGCATCCATTGCTCGGCTGCGGCTGCTTCTGGCGCTGCTGGCGCTGTATCTGGGTGGTCCCTCCTTCGTCACCAGCCGTAGTCTCCGCCCGGGACAACGGGAGGGCACTGCGCGCTACGCCGAGGGCGATGCCGCCGCCACGGCGGATGGCAACGCCGGCGACTCGGCCCTTTTGGCTCCACTGAAGGTGGCCAGCCTGGGGATGGGGCTGCTGAAGCCCGTCTTTGCCGCGGAGGCGAAGCTCCAGGCCCTGGCCTATGATGAAGAGGAGATCAGGGCGAAGATTGCGGCAGAGGTGAAATCTGCTCCTGTGGTGGTCTACACCTACTCCCTATCTCCTTTTTGCACGGAAGCCACCAAACTCTTGGATGCGCTGGGTGCTGAATACAAGGAAATCCAACTGGCGCCTGAGTGGTTCCTGATGCTGGGCGAGAATGCGGCCAAGCGGGCTGAATTGGGCGTGCTCTATGGCCGAACCAGCATGCCTCACATCTTCATTGGAGGTGAAAGCATCGGTGGGTTGATGGATGGCCCTGGGCTGGTTCCACTCTACGAGAGTGGCGAGCTGCAAGAGAAGCTGAGGGCGGCTGGCTCGTTACCAGCGGTGAATCAGGACCCCTTATCCTCGATCATCGCATCCTTGCGATGAGAGGCACAGGCCCTAGTGACCACACAGCACAGGCAACACCTGGAGCTGTCAATCTCGGCTGCAGCTGGTGGCGAAACATAGCTGCCTTCTGATGCTGCAAGTATTTTCCAAGAAATTTTCAGCTGTTGGCAGAAGTGTCAAGAATTTTCTGTGAAGCTGGCTGATTTCGAAGCCTGAATTGCGCGCACCAAATCAAAAATGCGGTGGGATTCTATGGCATTTGATGGCAGCTAGCTTCTAGGGTTTCTTGAAATAATACAAACCAGGCAGCATGTGGGTTTCGAGAAGTTGCTTTGAACCATTTGAGCTTCTTTACAGACCCTCATTGTGTTCATGCCACCCGCAGGAAGAATTGAAGCAGCTGAAAGAGCAGAAAGAGCTGCAGCAGGACCATCCTGGTCTTAGGGGCGAGGGGCTAGTGATGCTGTCAGGCTGTCAACAAGGTTCTTCATACTTTTCGGTTGAGTTCTACAATGTACAAACCCGATTTAAGCCCGAACCCAATTAGATGTGATTTCATTCAGGCATTTCCGGCATTCTGGCAATTTCGTGAAACCAAGCTATTTTTTCAGTGTCAGAGAGTCAGAACCCAGAGAAACCAGAGATGCAAGTCTTAGTGCGAGGTTGAAATCCGAAAACGAGAAGAAGATGCAGCTCAGCAAAAGCTGGAAGTTGAAGCTGCACAAAAGGACTTGTCTGTTTTTTTTTGTTCGGGGCATGCATGGTGCTGGAACAGAGTCGAAATGTGTGTGAATCTAAGACGTGAAGGCACATCCACATATGGAATTTGTCATAGTTTGGAGCTTTAAGCGGTGTAAGATTTGAGACAGTGCAGGAGCTGCAAAAGGAACGAGTTCGCCAACAAGAGTTGAAACAGAAGCAGCAGGTGCCTAGGGATCTTACGGATTACCTATGGAATTTTGGGTTGATTTGGTCAAAACCGCATGGGACTGTGGCATCTTTGAAAGAACACTTTTAAAGTGATTCCTTTCCAAGTCACCATTCCTGTAGCACATGTCACAGATGTCGAATTTGCACGCTGTGCGTATTGTTGTTCCACATCCGTTGGACATTTTTACAGACCCTCATTGTGGCCATGCCACCCGCAGGAAGAATTGAAGCAGCTGAAAGAGCAGAAAGAGCTGCAGCAGGACCATCCTGGTCTTAGGGGCGAGGGGCTAGTGATGCTGTCAGGCTGTCAACAAGGTTCTTCATACTTTTCGGTTGAGTTCTACAATGTACAAACCCGATTTAAGCCCGAACCCAAGTAGATGTGGTTTCATTCAGGTTCATTCAGGCATTTCAGGCATTCTGGCAATTTCGTGAAACCAAGCTATTTTTTCAGTGTCAGAGAGTCAGAACCCAGAGAAACCAGAGATTCAAGTCTTAGTGCGAGGTTGAAATCCGAAAACGAGAAGAAGATGCAGCTCAGCAAAAGCTGGAAGTTGAAGCTGCACAAAAGGACTTGTATGGTTTATTTTTTTTCTTTGTTCCGGGCATGCATGGTGCTGGAACAGCATCGAAAAGAGTGTGAATCTAAGACGTGAAGGCACATCCACATGTCGAATTTGTCATAGTTTGGAGCTTCAAGCGGTGTAAGATTTGAGACAGTGCAGGAGCTGCAAAAGGAACGAGTTCGCCAACAAGAGTTGATACAGAAGCAGCAGGTGCCTAGGGATCTTACGGATTACCTATGGAATTTTGGCTTGATTTGGTCAAAACCGCATGGGACTGTGGCATCTTTGAAAGAATACTTTTAAAGTGATTCCTTTCCGAATCACCATTCCTGTAGCACTTTTGACAGATGTCGAATTTGCACGGATGTGCATCTTGTTGTTCCACATCCATTAGGCATTTTTACAGACCCTCATTGTGGCCATGCCACCCGCAGGAAGAATTGAAGCAGCTGAAAGAGCAGAAAGAGCTGCAGCAGGACCATCCTGGTCTCAGGGGCGAGGGGCTAGTGATGCTGTCAGGCTGTCAACAAGGTTCTTCATAACATGTGGTTGAGTTCTAGAATGAAAGACCCGATTTAAGCCCACATCCAATAAGGTGTGGTTTCATTCAGGCATTTATGTCGTTGAGGTATTTTTTTAGTGTCAGAAGCCAGTTAAACCAGAGATTCAAGTCTTAGTGCGAGGTTGAAATCCGAAAACGAGAAGAAGATGCAGCTCAGCAAAAGCTGGAAGTTGAAGCGGCACAAAAGGACTTGTATGGTTTATTTTTTTTCTTTGTTCGGGGCATGCATGGTGCTGGAACAGCATCGAAAAGAGTGTGAATCTAAGACGTGAAGGCACATCCACATGTCGAATTTGTCATAGTTTGGAGCTTTAAGCGGTGTAAGATTTGAGACAGTGCAGGAGCTGCAAAAGGAACGAGTTCGCCAACAAGAGTTGATACAGAAGCAGCAGGTGCCTAGGGATCTTACGGATTACCTATGGAATTTTGGGTTGATTTGGTCAAAACCGCATGGGACTGTGGCATCTTTGAAAGAATACTTTTAAAGTGATTCCTTTCCAAGTCACCATTCCTGTAGCACATGTCACAGATGTCGAATTTGGACGCTGTGCGTATTGTTGTTCCACATCCGTTGGACATTTTTACAGACCCTCATTGTGGCCATGCCACCCGCAGGGAGAATTGAAGCAGCTGAAAGAGCAGAAAGAGCTGCAGCAGGACCATCCTGGTCTCAGGGGCGAGGGGCTAGTGATGCTGTCAAGCTGTCAACGAGGTTCTTCATACTTTTCGGTTGAGTTCTACAATGTACGAACCCGATTTAAGCCCGAACCCAATTAGATGTGGTTTCATTCAGATTCATTCAGGCATTCTGGCAATTTCGTTGTGAAACCAAGCTATTTTTTCAGTGTCAGAGAGTCAGAACCCAGAGAAACCAGAGATTCAAGTCTTAGTGCGAGGTTGAAATCCAAAAACGAGAAGAAGATGCAGCTCAGCAAAAGCTGGAAGTTGAAGCTGCACAAAAGGACTTGTCTGTTTTTTTTGTTCGGGGCATGCATGGTGCTGGAACAGAGTCGAAATGTGTGTCAATCTAAGACGTGAAGGCACATCCACACGTCGAATTTGTCATAGTTTGGAGCTTCAAGCGGTGTAAGATTTGAGACAGTGCAGGAGCTGCAAAAGGAAGGAGTTCGCCAGCAAGAGTTGATACAGAAGCAGCAGGTGCCTAGGGATCTTACGGATTACCTATGGAATTTTGGGTTGATTTGGTCAAAACCGCATGGGACTGTGGCATCTTTGACAGAATACTTTTAAAGGGAGGGCTGTTTTTTTGGGGAATTATTGTTTTTTTTTCTGTTGTTTTTTTTGATTTATGTTTCCTTGCTTCTTTGCTTTTCTGCTTCTCTGCTTTTTGCTTTTCTGCTTTTCCCTGCCTCTCTGCTTTTATAGTCCTTTGCTTCTCTGCTTCTTCAGTTTTCTTCTTCTTTGCTTCTTCGCTTCTCTGCTTCTCCACTGTGCTGCCTCTATGCTTCTCTGCTTCTCCGCTTTTCTGCTTGTTCCTGCTTTTCTGCTTTTCCAGCTTCTGTGCTGCTCTGCTTTCTGCTTTTCCCTGCTTCTTTGCTTACCTGTTTTTCTGCTTCTCTGCTTACCTGCTTTTCTGCTTCTCTGCTTTTCCCTCTTTTTTTTGTTTCTCATACTGCAGATAATCCTTGAGAAACATCGAATCATATAGATAAACCCTAAATCAACCATAAATAACCCCCAAACCAACCAAAGAACCACTAAAACAACGCTAAGTAAACCCGAAACGCTCGCTAAATATATTTGAAATTAATCCTACATAAACCTTACACCAGCCCTAAATAGATCTCAAACCAGACCTGAATAAATCTTAAATCAACGCTAAACACACCTTAAACCAATCCTGAATAGGTCCTACATCAACTCTAGATAGATCCTAAACAAAATCTGGATAAACCCTAAACACACCCTAAACCAGCCCCAAATAGATGCTCACCCAGGCCTGGGTGAGCCGTAAACCAACCATAAATAGATCTTAAAAAGAGCCTAAATAGAACCTAAAACACACCCTAAAAAGATCCTAAACTAACCCTTAAAAACCTAAATAAACCATAATAAGCCCTAATTCTAAAACCAACTCTTAAACAACGTAAAACCAACCAAAACACCTAAACTAACCCAAAACCAACCCTAAATGAACCCTAGTTGCAAACTACCATGTTACATGAACAGTTCGAGCAACAGTTGAAATGTCAGCTTCCAGCTCCAAAATGCTGCAAATAGCAAGGAAAACGGGCAGAAAAACAAATCCAAAAAGAATCCCAAAACGGAAAAACATAATTCCCAAAACAATTCTGGACCCTTTTAAAGTGGTTCCTTTCCAAATCACCATTCCTGTAGCACATGTCACAGATGTCGAATTTGGACGCTGTGCGTATTGTTGTTCCACATCCGTTGGACATTTTTACAGTGGCCATGCCACCCACAGGAAGAATTGAAGCAGCTGAAAGAGCAGAAAGAGCTGCAGCAGGACTATGCTGGTCTCGGGGGCGAGGGGCTTGTGATGCTGTCAGCAAAGCTCTTTGCACCTGGGGGTTTAGCTCAGGAATGCCCAATTCAAGATTGAACCCGGTTGGCTGTTGTGACAGTGTGATATTTCAGCCATGTTTGTGGCTTTGTGGTCAAGCCAAGCTGTCTGAAGTGCTGCATGAAAGCCACGATCACTTTGGACTCTAGTGCAGTCCGTCAAAGCGAAATGTAACATACGATCTTTTGAGTGCAAGAGCCAAGATGAACTAGATACTCCATGAGGCACGTCTACCTTGGCAGGAACAACTTCGGAAGCAAAAAGAAGATGCAGCTCAGCAAAAACTGGAAGTTGAAGCTGCCTGCAAGGACTTGTTCCCAACAGCAGTGCTTGTTGGGTTTCAATCTCTGGGTCTGGGACTGGCGCATCACGGATGCAAAGTACGCAAGACTGTAATGGAACCCTGGAACCCTTACCTTGCTGATGTTAGGTTGGGAGTGGATGCAAACCTGCCTGAACTGAGCCTTCAAGCCTTAAAGTGCCTGAATGAAAGATTAAAAAACGCTTCCACATGTCGAAGTTGTCATAATTTTGAGCTTCACCGGTTTCAGTGTTCAATTAAAATTAAAACCATTCAGGAGCTGCAAAAGGAACGAATTCGTGAACAAGAGTTGGTACAGAAGCAGAAGGTGCCTAGGGACCTTACAGATTACCTATGGAATTTTGGGTTGATTTGGTCAAAACCGCATGGGACTGTGGCATCTTTGAAAGAACACTTTTAAAGATTTTTAAAGTAATTCCTTTCCAAGTCACCATTCCTGCAGCACTTTTGCAGATGTCGAATTTGCACGCTGTGCGTATTGTGGTTCCACATCCGTTGGATGTTTTTGCAGTGGCCATGCCACCCACAGGAAGAATTGAAGCAGCTGAAAGAGCAGAAAGAGCTGCAGCAGGACCATCCTGGTCTCAGGGGCGAGGGGCTAGTGATGCTGTCAGGCTGTCAACAAGGTTCTTCATACTTTTCGGTTGAGTTCTAGAATAAGCCCGAACCCAATTAGATGTGGTTTCATTCAGATTCATTCAGGCATTTCAGGCATTCTGGCAATTTCGTGAAACCAAGGTATTTTTTCAGTGTCAGAGAGCAGAACCCAGAGAAACCAGAGATTCAAGTCTTAGTGCGAGGTTGAAATCCGAAAACGAGAAGAAGATGCAGCTCAGCAAAAGCTGGAAGTTGAAGCTGCACAAAAGGACTTGTCTGTTTTTTTTTGTTCGGGGCATGCACGGTGCTGGAACAGCATCGAAAAGAGTGTGAATCTAAGACGTGAAGGCACATCCACATGTCGAAGTTGTCATAGTTTGGCGCTTTAAGCGGTGTAAGATTTGAGACAGTGCAGGAGCTGCAAAAGGAACGAGTTCGCCAACAAGAGTTGAAACAGAAGCAGCAGGTGCCTAGGGATCTTACGGATTACCTATGGAATTTAGGGTTGATTTGGTCAAAACCGCATGGGACTGGCATCTTTGACAGAATACTTTACAGTAAAGTGGTTCCTTTCCAAATCACCATTCCTGTAGCACATGTCACAGATGTCGAATTTGCACGCTCATTGGACATGTTTACAGACCCTCATTGTGGCCATGCTACCCGCAGGAAAAAGAGCAGAAAGAGATGCAGCAGGACCATCCTGGCCTCAGGGGCGAGGGGCTAGTGATGCTGTCAGGCTGTCAACAAGGTTCTTCATACCTTTCGGTTGAGTTCTAGAATGAAGGAACCTGAATTAAAGCCGAACCCAAGTAGATGTGGTTTCATTCAGATTCATTCAGGCATTTCAGGCATTCTGGCAATTTCGTGAAACCAAGCTATTTTTTCAGTGTCAGAGAGCAGAACCCAGAGAAACCAGAGATTCAAGTCTTAGTGCGAGGTTGAAATCCGAAAACGAGAAGAAGATGCAGCTCAGCAAAAGCTGGAAGTTGAAGCTGCACAAAAGGACTTGTATGTTTTTTTTGTTCGGGGCATGCATGGTGCTGGAACAGAGTCGAAATGTGTGTGAATCTAAGACGTGAAGGCACATCCACATGTCGAAGTTGTCATAGTTTGGCGCTTTAAGCGGTGTAAGATTTGAGACAGTGCAGGAGCTGCAAAAGGAACGAGTTCGCCAACAAGAGTTGATACAGAAGCAGCAGGTGCCTAGGGATCTTACGGATTACCTATGGAATTTTGGCTTGATTTGGTCAAAATCGCATGGGACTGTGGCATCTTTGAAAGAATACTTTTAAAGTGATTCCTTTCCGAATCACCATTCCTGTAGCACTTTTGACAGATGTCGAATATGCACGGATGTGCATCTTGTTGTTCCACATCCGTTAGGCATTTTTACAGACCCTCATTGTGGCCATGCCACCCGCAGGAAGAATTGAAGCAGCTGAAAGAGCAGAAAGAGCTGCAGCAGGACCATCCTGGTCTCAGGGGCGAGGGGCTAGTGATGCTGTCAGGCTGTCAACAAGGTTCTTCATACTTTTCGGATCTTTTCGGTTGAGTTCTACAATGTACGAACCGATTTAAGATTATTTAAGCCCGAACCCTATTAGATGTGATTTCATTCAGGCATTTCAGGCATTCTGGCAATTTCGTTGTGAGACCAAGCTATTTTTCAGTGTCAGAGAGTCAGAACCCAGAGAAACCAGAGATTCAAGTCTTAGTGCGAGGTTGAAATCCAAAAACGAGAAGAAGATGCAGCTCAGCAAAAGCTGGAAGTTGAAGCTGCACAAAAGGACTTGTCTGTCTTTTTTTGTGTTCGGGGCATGCACGGTGCTGGAACAGAGTCGAAAAGAGTGTGAATCTAAGACGTGAAGACACATCCACATGTCGAATTTGTCATAGTTTGGAGCTTTAAGCGGTATAAGATTTGAGACAGTGCAGGAGCTGCAAAAGGAACGAGTTCGCCAACAAGAGTTGATACAGAAGCAGAAGGTGCCTAGGGATCTTACGGATTACCTATGGAATTTTGGGTTGATTTGGTCAAAACCGCATGGGACTGTGGCATCTTTGACAGAATACTTTTAAAGGGAGGGCTATTTTTTTGGGGAATTATTTTTTTTCTGTTTTTTTTTTGATTTATGTTTCCTTGCTTCTTTGCTTTTCTGCTTCTCTGCTTTTTGCTTTTCTGCTTTTCCCTGCCTCTCTGCTTTTATAGTCCTTTGCTTCTCTGCTTCTTCAGTTTTCTGCTTCTTTGCTTCTTCGCTTCTCTGCTTCTCCACTGTGCTGCCTCTATGCTTCTCTGCTTCTCCGCTTTTCTGCTTGTTCCTGCTTTTCTGCTTTTCCAGCTTCTGTGCTGCTTTGCTTTCTGCTTTTCCCTGCTTCTTTGCTTACCTGTTTTTCTGCTTCTCTGCTTACCTGCTTTTCTGCTTTTCCCTCTTTTTTTTATTTCTCATACTGCAGATAATCCTTGAGAAACATCGAATCATATAGTATAGATAAACCCTAAATCAACCATAAATAACCCCCAAACCAACCAAAGAACCACTAAAACAACGCTAAGTAAACCCGAAAGGCTCGCTAAATATATTTGAAGTTAATCCTACATAAACCTTACACCAGCCCTAAATAGATCTCAAACCAGACCTGAATAAATCTTAAATCAACGCTAAACACACCTTAAACCAATCCTGAATAGGTCCTACATCAACTCTAGATAGATCCTAAACAAAATCTGGATAAACCCTAAACACACCCTAAACCAGCCCCAAATAGATGCTCACCCAGGCCTGGGTGAGCCGTAAACCAACCATAAATAGATCTTAAAAAGAGCCTAAATAAAACCTAAAACACACCCTAAAAAGATCCTAAACTAACCCTTAAAAACCTAAATAATCCCTAATTCTAAAACCAACTCTTAAACAACGTAAAACCAACCAAAACACCTAAACTAACCCAAAACCAACCCTAAATGAACCCTAGTTGCAAACTACCATGTTACATGAACAGTTCGAGCAACAGTTGAAATGTCAGCTTCCAGCTCCAAAATGCTGCAAATAGCAAGGAAAACGGGGAGAAAAACAAATCCAAAAAGAATCCCAAAACGGAAAAACATAATTCCCAAAACAATTCTGGACCCTTTTAAAGTGGTTCCTTTCCAAATCACCATTCCTGTAGCACATGTCACAGATGTCGAATTTGCACGCTGTGCGTATTGTTGTTCCACATCCGCTGGACGTTTTTACAGTGGCCATGCCACCCACAGGAAGAATTGAAGCAGCTGAAAGAGCAGAAAGAGCTGCAGCAGGACTATGCTGGTCTCGGGGGCGAGGGGCTTGTGATGCTGTCAGCAAAGCTCTTTGCACCTGGGGGTTTAGCTCAGGAATGCCCAATTCAAGATTGAACCCGGTTGGCTGTTGTGACAGTGTGATATTTCAGCCATGTTTGTGGCTTTGTGGTCAAGCCAAGCTGTCTGAAGTGCTGCATGAAAGCCACGATCACTTTGGACTCTAGTGCAGTCCGTCAAAGCGAAATGTAACATACGATCTTTTGAGTGCAAGAGCCAAGATGAACTAGATACTCCATGAGGCACGTCTACCTTGGCAGGAACAACTTCGGAAGCAAAAAGAAGATGCAGCTCAGCAAAAACTGGAAGTTGAAGCTGCCTGCAAGGACTTGTTCCCAACAGCAGTGCTTGTTGGGTTTCAATCTCTGGGTCTGGGACTGGCGCATCACGGATGCAAAGTACGCAAGACTGTAATGGAACCCTGGAACCCTTACCTTGCTGATGTTAGGTTGGGAGTGGATGCAAACCTGCCTGAACTGAGCCTTAAAGCCTTAAAGTGCCTGAACGAAAGATTAAAAAACACTTCCACATTTCAATGTCGTCATAGTTTTGAGCTTCACCGGTTTCAGTGTTCAATTAAAACCATTCAGGAGCTGCAAAAGGAACGAGTTCGTGAACAAGAGTTGGTACAGAAGCAGAAGGTGCCTAGGGATCTTACGGATTACCTATGGAATTTTGGGTTGATTTGGTCAAAACCGTATGGGACTGTGGCATCTTTGAAAGAACACTTTTAAAGTAATTCCTTTCCGAATCACCATTCCTGTAGCACATGTCACAGATGTCGAATTTGCACGCTGTGCGTATTGTTGTTCAACATCCGTTGGACATGTTTACAGACCCTCATTATGGCAATTCCACCTGCAGGAAGAATTGAAGCAGCTGAAAGAGCAGAAAGAGCTGCAGCAGGACCATCCTGGTCTCAGGGGCGAGGGGCTAGTGATGCTGTCAGGCTGTCAACAAGGTTCTTCATACCTTTTGGTTATATATATAAGTTCTACAATGTACGAGCTTATTTAAGATGATTTAAGCCCAAACCCAATTAGATGTGGTTTCATTCAGGCATTTCAGGCATTCTGGCAATTTCGTTGTGAAACCAAGCTATTTTTTCAGTGTCAGAGAGCAGAACCCAGAGAAACCAGAGATTCAAGTCTTAGTGCGAGGTTGAAATCCGAAAACGAGAAGAAGATGCTGCTCAGCAAAAGCTGGAAGTTGAAGCTGCACAAAAGGACTTGTATGGTTTATTTTTTTCTTTTCGGGGGATGCACGGTGCTGGAACAGCATCGAAAAGAGTGTGAATCTAAGACGTGAAGGCACATCCACATGTCGAAGTTGTCATAGTTTGGAGCTCTAAGCGGTGTAAGATTTGAGACGGTGCAGGAGCTGCAAAAGGAACGAGTTCGCCAACAAGAGTTGGTACAGAAGCAGAAGGTGCCTAGGGATCTTACGGGATACCTATGGAATTTTGGGTTGATTTGGTCAAAACCGCATGGGACTGTGGCATCTTTGAAAGACATTTTTTAGAGTGTTTCCTTTCCAAATCACCATTCCTGTAGCACTTTTGACAGATGTCGAATTTGCACGGATGTGCATCTTGTTGTTCCACATCCGTTAGGCATTTTTACAGACCCTCATTGTGGCCATGCCACCCGCAGGAAGAATTGAAGCAGCTGAAAGAGCAGAAAGAGCTGCAGCAGGACCATCCTGGTCTCAGGGGCGAGGGGCTAGTGATGCTGTCAGGCTGTCAACAAGGTTCTTCATACCTTTCGGTTGGGTTCTACAATGAACGAACCTGATTTAAAGCCGAACCCAAGTAGATGTGGTTTCATACAGATTCATTCAGGCATTAGTGTCAGAACCCAGAGAAACCAGAGATTCAAGTCTTAGTGCGAGGTTGAAATCCGAAAACGAGAAGAAGATGCAGCTCAGCAAAAGCTGGAAGTTGAAGCTGCACAAAAGGACTTGTATGTTTTTTTTGTTCGGGGCATGCATGGTGCTGGAACAGAGTCGAAATGTGTGTGAATCTAAGACGTGAAGGCACATCCACATGTCGAATTTGTCATAGTTTGGAGCTTTAAGCGGTGTAAGATTTGAGACAGTGCAGGAGCTGCAAAAGGAACGAGTTCGCCAACAAGAGTTGGTACAGAAGCAGAAGGTGCCTAGGGATCTTACGGATTACCTATGGAATCTTGGGTTGATTTGGTCAAAACCGTATGGGACTGTGGCATCTTTGACAGAATACTTTACAGTAAAGTGATTCCTTTCCGAATCACCATTCCTGTAGCACTTTTGACAGATGTCGAATTTGCACGGATGTGCATCTTGTTGTTCCACATCCGTTAGGCATTTTTACAGACCCTCATTGTGGCCATGCTACCCGCAGGAAGAATTGAAGCAGGTAAAAGAGCAGAAAGAGCTGCAGCAGGACCATCCTGGTCTCAGGGGCGAGGGGCTAGTGATGCTGTCAGGCTGTCAACAAGGTTCTTCATACTTTTCGGTTAAGTTCTACAATGTACGAACCCGATTTAAATCCGAACCCAAGTAGATGTGGTTTCATTCAGGCACTTGCATTCTGGCAATTTCGTGAAACCAAGGTATTTTCAGTGTCAGAGAGTCAGAACCCAGAGAAACCAGAGATTCAAGTCTTAGTGCGAGGTTGAAATCCGAAAACGAGAAGAAGATGCAGCTCAGCAGAAGCTGGAAGTTGAAGCTGCACAAAAGGACTTGTCTGTTTTAGTTTTTTGGTTCGGGGCATGCACGGTGCTGGAACAGCATCGAAAAGAGTGTGAATCTAAGACGTGAAGGCACATCCACATGTCGAATTTGTCATAGTTTGGAGCTTTAAGCGGTATAAGATTTGAGACAGTGCAGGAGCTGCAAAAGGAACGAGTTCGCCAACAAGAGTTGGTACAGAAGCAGCAGGTGCCTGGGGATCTTACGGATTACCTATGGAATTTTGGGTTGATTTGGTCAAAACCGCATGGGACTGGTATCTTTGACAGAATACTTTAAAGTGATTCCTTTTCAAATCACCATTCCTGTAGCACATGTCACAGATGTCGAATTTGCACTGATGTGCATCTTGTTGTTCCACATCCATTGGACAATTTTACAGACCCTCATTGTGGCCATGCCACCAGCAGGAAAAAGAGCAGAAAGAGCTGCAGCAGGACCATCCTGGTCTCAGGGGCGAGGGGCTAGTGATTCTGTCAAGCTGTCAACAAGGTTCTTCATACCTTTGGGTTAAGTTCTACAATGTACGAACTTGATTTAGATCCGAACCCAAGTAGATGTGGTTTCATTCAGGCACTTGCATTCTGGCAATTTCGTTGTGAAACCAAGGTATTTTTTCAGTGTCAGAGAGTCAGAACCCAGAGAAACCAGAGATTCAAGTCTTAGTGCGAGGTTGAAATCCGAAAACGAGAAGAAGATGCAGCTCAGCAGAAGCTGGAAGTTGAAGCTGCACAAAAGGACTTGTCTGTTTTTTTGGTTCTGGGCATGCACGGTGCTGGAACAGCATCGAAAAGAGTGTGAATCTAAGACGTGAAGACACATCCACATGTCGAATTTGTCATAGTTTGGAGCTTTAAGCGGTGTAAGATTTGAGACGGTGCAGGAGCTGCAAAAGGAAGGAGTTCGCCAACAAGAGTTGATACAGAAGCAGCAGGTGCCTAGGATCTTACGGATTACCTATGGAATTTTGGTTGATTTGGTCAAAACCGCATGGGACTGTGGCATCTTTGACAGAATACTTTACAGTAAAGTGTTTCCTTTCCAAATCACCATTCCTGTAGCACTTTTGACAGATGTCGAATTTGCACGGATGTGCATCTTGTTGTTCCACATCCGTTAGGCATTTTTACAGACCCTCATTGTGGCCATGCCACCCGCAGGAAGAATTGAAGCAGCTGAAAGAGCAGAAAGAGCTGCAGCAGGACCATCCTGGTCTCAGGGGTGAGGGGCTAGTGATGTGTCAGGCTGTCAACAAGGTTCTTCATACTTTTCGGTTGAGTTCTACAATGTACGAACCGATTTAAGATGATTTAAGCCCGAACCCTATTAGATGTGGTTTCATTCAGGCATTTGCATTCTGGCAATTTCGTGAAACCAAGGTATTTTTTCAGTGTCAGAGAGTCAGAACCCAGAGAAACCAGAGATTCAAGTCTTAGTGCGAGGTTGAAATCCAAAAACGAGAAGAAGATTCAGCTCAGCAGAAGCTGGAAGTTGAAGCTGCACAAAAGGACTTGTCTGTTTTAGTTTTTTGGTTCGGGGCATGCACGGTGCTGGAACAGCATCGAAAAGAGTGTGAATCTAAGACGTGAAGGCACATCCACATGTCGAATTTGTCATAGTTTGGAGCTTCAAGCGGTGTAAGATTTGAGACAGTGCAGGAGCTGCAAAAGGAAGGAGTTCGCCAACAAGAGTTGATACAGAAGCAGCAGGTGCCTAGGGATCTTACGGATTACCTATGGAATTTTGGCTTGATTTGGTCAAAACCGCATGGGACTGTGGCATCTTTGACAGAATACTTTTAAAGGGAGGGCTATTTTTTTTTTCTGTTTTTTGGATTTATGTTTCCTTGCTTCTTTGCCTTTCTGCTTCTCTGCTTTTTGCTTTTCTGCTTTTCCCTGCCTCTGCTTTTATAGTCCTTTGCTTCTCTGCTTCTTCAGTTTTCTGCTTCTTTGCTTCTTCGCTTCTCTGCTTCTCCACTGTGCTGCCTCTATGCTTCTCTGCTTCTCCGCTTTTCTGCTTGTTCCTGCTTTTCTGCTTTTCCAGCTTCTGTGCTGCTCTGCTTTCTGCTTTTCCCTGCTTCTTTGCTTACCTGTTTTTCTGCTTCTCTGCTTACCTGCTTTTCTGCTTCTCTGCTTTTCCCTCTTTTTCTTGTTTCTCATACTGCAGATAATCCTTGAGAAACATCGAATCATATAGATAAACCCTAAATCAACCATAAATAACCCCCAAACCAACCAAAGAACCACTAAAACAACGCTAAGTAAACCCTAAACGCTCGCTAAATATATTTGAAGTTAATCCTACATAAACCTTACACCAGCCCTAAATAGATCTCAAACCAGACCTGAATAAATCTTAAATCAACGCTAAACACACCTTAAACCAATCCTGAATAGGTCCTACATCAACTCTAGATAGATCCTAAACAAAATCTGGATAAACCCTAAACACACCCTAAACCAGCCCCAAATAGATGCTCACCCAGGCCTGGGTGAGCCGTAAACCAACCATAAATAGATCTTAAAAAGAGCCTAAATAAAACCTAAAACACACCCTAAAAAGATCCTAAACTAACCCTTAAAAACCTAAATAATCCCTAATTCTAAAACCAACTCTTAAACAACGTAAAACCAACCAAAACACCTAAACTAACCCAAAACCAACCCTAAATGAACCCTAGTTGCAAACTACCATGTTACATGAACAGTTCGAGCAACAGTTGAAATGTCAGCTTCCAGCTCCAAAATGCTGCAAATAGCAAGGAAAACGGGGAGAAAAACAAATCCAAAAAGAATCCCAAAACGGAAACACATAATTCCCAAAACAATTCTGGACCCTTTTAAAGTGGTTCCTTTCCAAATCACCATTCCTGTAGCACATGTCACAGATGTCGAATTTGCACGCTGTGCGTATTTTTGTTCCACATCCGTTGGACGTTTGTTACAGTGGCCATGCCACCCACAGGAAGAATTGAAGCAGCTGAAAGAGCAGAAAGAGCTGCAGCAGGACTATGCTGGTCTCGGGGGCGAGGGGCTAGTGATGCTGTCAGCAAAGCTCTTTGCACCTGGGGGTTTAGCTCAGGAATGCGCCAGCCCAATTCAAGATTGAACCTGGTTGGCTGTTGTGACAGTGTGACATTTCAGCCATGTTTGCGGCTTTGTGGTCAAGCCAAGCTGTCTGAAGTGCTGCATGAAAGCCACGATCACTTTGGACTCTAGTGCAGTCCGTCAAAGCGAAATGTAACATACGATCTTTTGAGTGCAAGAGCCAAGATGAACTAGATACTCCATGAGGCACGTCTACCTTGGCAGGAACAACTTCGGAAGCAAAAAGAAGATGCAGCTCAGCAAAAACTGGAAGTTGAAGCTGCCTGCAAGGACTTGTTCCCAACAGCAGTGCTTGTTGGGTTTCAATCTCTGGGTCTGGGACTGGCGCATCACGGATGCAAAGTACGCAAGACTGTAATGGAACCCTGGAACCCTTACCTTGCTGATGTTAAGTTGGGAGTGGATGCAAACCTGCCTGAACTGAGCCTTAAAGCCTTAAAGTGCCTGAATGAAAGATTAAAAAACACTTCCACATTTCAATGTTGTCATAGTTTTGAGCTTCACCGGTTTCAGTGTTCAATTATATAAAACCATTCAGGAGCTGCAAAAGGAACGAGTTCGCCAACAAGAGTTGGTCCAGAAACAGAAGGTGCCTGGGGATCTTACAGATTACCTATGGAATTTTGGGTTGATTTGGTCAAAACCGCATGGGACTGTGGCATCTTTGAAAGACAACTTTTAGAGTGTTTCCTTCCCAAATCACCATTCCTGTAGCACACGTGAGAGATGTCGAATTTGCAGAATAAGCATCTTGTTCTTCCACATCCGTTGGACGTTTTTTACAGACCCTCATTCTGGCAATTCCACCTGCAGGAAGAATTGAAGCAGCTGAAAGAGCAGAAAGAGCTGCAGCAGGACCATCCTGGTCTCAGGGGCGAGGGGCTAGTGATGCTGTCAAGCTGTCAACAAGGTTCTTCATACTTTTCGGTTGAGTTCTACAATGTACAAACCCGATTTAAGCCCGAACCCAATTAGATGTGATTTCATTCAGGCATTTCAGGCATTCTGGCAATTTCGTGAAACCAAGCTATTTTTTCAGTGTCAGAGAGTCAGAACCCAGAGAAACCAGAGATTCAAGTCTTAGTGCGAGGTTGAAATCCGAAAACGAGAAGAAGATGCAGCTCAGCAAAAGCTGGAAGTTGAAGCTGCACAAAAGGACTTGTCTTTTTCTTCTTTTTTTGTTCGGGGCATGCACGGTGCTGGAACAGAGTCGAAAAGAGTGTGAATCTAAGACGTGAAGACACATCCACATATCAAAATTGCCATAGTTTGGAGCTTTAAGCGGTGTAAGATTTGAGACAGTGCAGGAGCTGCAAAAGGAACGAGTTCGCCAACAAGAGTTGATACAGAAGCAGCAGGTGCCTAGGGATCTTACGGATTACCTATGGAATTTTGGCTTGATTTGGTCAAAACCGCATGGGACTGGCATCTTTGACAGAATACTTTACAGTAAAGTGATTCCTTTCCAAATCACCATTCCTGTAGCACATGTCACAGATGTCGAATTTGCACGCTCGTTGGACATGTTTACAGACCCTATTGTGGCCATGCCTCCCGCAGGAAAAAGAGCAGAAAGAGATGCAGCAGGACCATCCTGGTCTCAGGGGCGAGGGGCTAGTGACACTGTCAGGCTGTCAACAAGGTTCTTCATACTTTTCGGTTGAGTTCTAGAATGTACGAACCTGATTTAAAGCCGAACCCAAGTAGATGTGGTTTCATTCAGATTCATTCAGGCATTTCAGGCATTCCTGCAATTTCGTTGTGAAACCAAGCTATTTTTTCAGTGTCAGAGAGTCAGAACCCAGAGAAACCAGAGATTCAAGTCTTAGTGCGAGGTTGAAATCCGAAAACGAGAAGAAGATGCAGCTCAGCAAAAGCTGGAAGTTGAAGCTGCACAAAAGGACTTGTCTGTTTTTCTTTGTTCCGGGCATGCACGGTGCTGGAACAGAGTCGAAAAGAGTGTCAATCTAAGACGTGAAGACGCATCCACATGTCGAAGTTGTCATAGTTTGGAGCCTTAACCGGTGTAAAATTTAAGACAGTGCAGGAACTGCAAAAGGAACGAGTTCGCCAACAAGAGTTGATACAGAAGCAGCAGGTGCCTAGGGATCTTGCGGATTACCTATGGAATCTTGGGTTGATTTGGTCAAAACCGTATGGGACTGTGGCATCTTTGACAGAATACTTTACAGTAAAGTGATTCCTTTCCGAATCACCATTCCTGTAGCACTTTTGACAGATGTCGAATTTGCACGGATGTGCATCTTGTTGTTCCACATCCGTTAGGCATTTTTACAGACCCTCATTGTGGTCATGCCACCCGCAGGGAGAATTGAAGCAGCTGAAAGAGCAGAAAGAGCTGCAGCAGGACCATCCTGGTCTCAGGGGCGAGGGGCTAGTGATGCTGTCAGGCTGTCAACGAGGTTCTTCATACCTTTCGGTTGGGTTCTACAATGTACAAACCGATTTAAGATTATTTAAGCCCGAACCCTATTAGATGTGATTTCATTCAGGCATTTCAGGCATTCTGGCTATTTCGTTGTGAAACCAAGGTATTTTTTCAGTGTCAGAGAGTCAGAACCCAGAGAAACCAGAGATTCAAGTCTTAGTGCGAGGTTGAAATCCGAAAACGAGAAGAAGATGCAGCTCAGCAGAAGCTGGAAGTTGAAGCTGCACAAAAGGACTTGTATGGTTTATTATTTTTTTCCGGGTGATGCACGGTGCTGGAACAGCATCGAAAAGAGTGTGAATCTAAGACGTGAAGACACATCCACATGTCGAAGTTGTCATAGTTTGGAGCTTTAAGCGGTATAAGATTTGAGACAGTGCAGGAGCTGCAAAAGGAACGAGTTCGCCAACAAGAGTTGATACAGAAGCAGCAGGTGCCTAGGGATCTTACGGATTACCTATGGAATTTTGGCTTGATTTGGTCAAAACCGCATGGGACTGTGGCATCTTTGACAGAATACTTTTAAAGGGAGGGCTATTTTTTGGGGGAATTATTTTTTTTCCTGTTTTTTTTATTATTTATGTTTCCTTGCTTCTTTGCTTTTCTGCTTCTCTGCTTTTTGCTTTTTCTGCTTTCCCCTGCCTCTCTGCTTTTATAGTCCTTTGCTTCTCTGCATCTTCAGTTTTCTGCTTCTTTGGTTCTTCGCTTCTCTGCTTCTCCACTGTGCTGCCTCTATGCTTCTCTGCTTCTCCGCTTTTCTGCTTGTTCCTGCTTTTCTGCTTTTCCAGCTTCTGTGCTGCTTTGCTTTCTGCTTTTCCCTGCTTCTTTGCTTACCTGTTTTTCTGCTTCTCTGCTTACCTGCTTTTCTGCTTCTCTGCTTTTCCCTCTTTTTTTGTTTCTCATACTGCAGATAATCCTTGAGAAACATCGAATCATATAGATAAACCCTAAATCAACCATAAATAACCCCCAAACCAACCAAAGAACCACTAAAACAACGCTAAGTAAACCCTAAACGCTCGCTAAATATATTTGAAATTAATCCTACATAAACCTTACACCAGCCCTAAATAGATCTCAAACCAGACCTGAATAAATCTTAAATCAACGCTAAACACACCTTAAACCAATCCTGAATAGGTCCTACATCAACTCTAGATAGATCCTAAACAAAATCTGGATAAACCCTAAACACACCCTAAACCAGCCCCAAATAGATGCTCACCCAGGCCTGGGTGAGCCGTAAACCAACCATAAATAGATCTTAAAAAGAGCCTAAATAAAACCTAAAACACACCCTAAAAAGATCCTAAACTAACCCTTAAAAACCTAAATAAACCATAATAAGCCCTAATTCTAAAACCAACTCTTAAACAACGTAAAACCAACCAAAACACCTAAACTAACCCAAAACCAACCCTAAATGAACCCTAGTTGCAAACTACCATGTTACATGAACAGTTCGAGCAACAGTTGAAATGTCAGCTTCCAGCTCCAAAATGCTGCAAATAGCAAGGAGGAAAACGGGCAGAAAAACAAATCCAAAAAAAAACAAAACGGAAAAACATAATTCCCAAAACAATTCTGGACCCTTTTAAAGTGGTTCCTTTCCGAATCACCATTCCTGTAGCACATGTCACGGACGTCGAATTTGCACGCTGTGCGTATTGTGGTTCCACATCCGTTGGACGTTTTTACAGTGGCCATGCCACCCACAGGAAGAATTGAAGCAGCTGAAAGAGAAGAAAGAGCTGCAGCAGGACTATGCTGGTCTCGGGGGCGAGGGGCTTGTGATGCTGTCAGCAAAGCTCTTTGCACCTTGGGGTTTAGCTCAGGAATGCGCCAGCCCAATTCAAGATTGAACCCGGTTGGCTGTTGTGACAGTGTGATATTTCAGCCATGTTTGTGGCTTTGTGGTCAAGCCAAGCTGTCTGAAGTGCTGCATGAAAGCCACGATCACTTTGGACTCTAGTGCAGTCCGTCAAAGCGAAATGTAACATACGATCTTTTGAGTGCAAGAGCCAAGATGAACTAGATACTCCATGAGGCACGTCTACCTTGGCAGGAACAACTTCGGAAGCAAAAAGAAGATGCAGCTCAGCAAGAAGCTGCCTGCAAGGACTTGTTCCCAACAGCAGTGCTTGTTGGGTTTCAATCTCTGGGGACTGGCGCATCACGGATGCAAAGTACGCAAGGCTGTAATGGAACCCTGGAACCCTTACCTTGCTGATGTTCGGTTGGGAGTGGATGCAAACCTGCCTGAACTGAGCCTTAAAGCTTTAAAGTGCCTGAATGACAGATTAAAAAACACTTCCACATTTCAATGTTGTCATAGTTTTGAGCTTCACCGGTTTCAGTGTTCAATTAAAACCATTCAGGAGCTGCAAAAGGAACGAGTTCGTGAACAAGAGTTGGTACAGAAACAGAAGGTGCCTAGGGATCTTACGGATTACCTATGGAATTTTGGGTTGATTTGGTCAAAATCGCATGGGACTGTGGCATCTTTGCAAGGCAACTTTTAGAGTGTTTCCTTCCCAAATCACCATTCCTGTAGCACACGTGAGAGATGTCGAATTTGCAGAATAAGCATCTTGTTCTTCCACATCCGTTGGACGTTTTTTTACAGACCCTCATTCTGGCAATTCCACCTGCAGGAAGAATTGAAGCAGCTGAAAGAGCAGAAAGAGCTGCAGCAGGACCATCCTGGTCTCAGGGGCGAGGGGCTAGTGATGCTGTCAAGCTGTCAACAAGTTTCTTCATACCTTTCGGTTGATTTCTACAATGTACGAACCGGATTTAAATCCGAACCCAATTAGATGTGGTTTCATTCAGGCATTTCAGGCATTCTGGCTATTTCATTGTCAAAAGAAGCGATTTTTTCAGCGTCAGAACCGAGAGAAACCAGAGATTCAAGTCTTAGTGCGAGGTTGAAATCCGAAAACGAGAAGAAGATGCAGCTCAGCAAAAGCTGGAAGTTGAAGCTGCACAAAAGGACTTGTATGGTTTATTTTGTGTTCGGGGCATGCACGGTGCTGGAACAGAGTCGAAAAGAGTGTGAATCTAAGACGTGAAGACACCTCCACAGGTCGAAGTTGTCATAGTTTGGAGCTTTATCCGGTGTAACATTTAAGACAGTGCAGGAAGAGTTGGTACAGAAGCAGAAGGTGCCTAGGGATCTTACAGATTACCTATGGAATTTTGGGTTGATTTGGTCAAAACCGCATGGGACTGTGGCATCTTTGACAGAATATTCTACAGTAAAGTGATTCCTTTCCAAATCACCATTCCTGTAGCACATGTCACAGATGTCGAATTTGCACGCTATGCGTATTGTTGTTCCACATCGGTTGGACATGTTTATAGACCCTCATTGTGGCCATGCCACCCGCAGGAAGAATTGAAGCAGCTGAAAGAGCAGAAAGAGCTGCAGCAGGACCATCCTGGTCTTAGGGGCGAGGGGCTAGTGATGCTGTCAGGCTGTCAACAAGGTTCTTCATACTTTTCAGTTGAGTTCTACAATGTACAAACCCGATTTAAGCCCGAACCCAAGTAGATGTGGTTTCATTCAGGTTCATTCAGGCATTTCAGGCATTCTGGCAATTTCGTGAAACCAAGCTATTTTTTCAGTGTCAGAACCCAGAGAAACCAGAGTGCCAGGTTGAAATTCAAAGACTTGAAGAAGATGCAGCTCAGCAAAAGCTGGAAGTTGAAGCTGCGCGCAAGGACTTGTCTGTTTATTTTTTCAGGGATGCACGGTGTGATAGCCTTCAACCGCAATGACTGCGGGTTTTAATGTCTGGGTCTGGGAGTGGTGCGTCGTTTTTTGCCGAGCCCGAAAACCACAACAGAACCGCAACGCTGGAACCCTGGAAACTTGGAACCTGCTGTTGGATTGCAAAGCTGGGCTATTTTTGAGCTTTAACAGGTTGACAATTTCAAATACTGCAGGAGCTGCAAAAAGAGCGAGTTCGTCAACAAGACTTAGTGTTGAAGAAGAAGGAGCGTGAGTATTTTTTTCCCATGAAGGGAGCGTTTGCATCTGGAGAAAATGGGAAACAATTCATGTGCTTGCCTTTCAGCGGCAGGACCAAGAGACAAGACACTGCGAAGAGTTGAAAGTGCTTGAGGAGGTGCGGACGTGCTCGGGGGATTTGCTGTGGACGTAATCGAATATTATTTGTTGCTGCAACTGGAACTGTCAAATCCTCAATTAAGTTTGTTTGTTGGATTGTGCTGGGCTGGGTGTGAACTTTGCTGCAAACAAAAAAACAACTGCAACTTTCTGTGGCTTTGTGATTGACATGGCTTGGGAGGAAAAGGCTCGTATCTGCGAAGAGCAGCGGCAGGTGCGCGTCTGAGCTTGGCCATTCGAAGCCGGCCTGAGGCATGCTGTAGCAATGTGGTAATTCACAGCATTCCAATCATTCCACACCAACCATTTTCTGTCTTAATGTTTGTAAACCTGGGAGATCTGATGACTCTAGTGGTATGTTTGGCTTTAGATCCAGCTGGTGCCTCCTTTCCACAGGAGCTTCAAAGGCACCAGGAGGCACAAGCCTTGGAGCAGCAGCGCCAGGGTGAAGGGCTGATTTGTAATCCCCTCCTCCAAAAATGGTGGTTGCTCAAAGGTTGACCACCAATTCCATAGAGTTGAACTGATGAACTGATGAACTGATGAACTGATGAACTGATGAACTGATGAACTGATGAACTGATGAACTGATGAACTGATGCACTGATGCACTGATGAACTGATGAACTGATGAACTGATGAACTGATGAACTGATGAACTGATGAACTGATGAACTGATGAACTGATGAACTGATGCACTGATGCACTGATGCACTGATGCACTGATGCACTGATGCACTGATGAACTGATGAACTGATGAACTGATGAACTGATGAACTGATGAACTGATGAACTGATGAACTGATGAACTGATGCACTGATGCACTGATGCACTGATGCACTGATGCACTGATGAACTGATGAACTGATGAACTGATGAACTGATGAACTGATGAACTGATGAACTGATGAACTGATGAACTGATGAACTGATGCACTGATGCACTGATGCACTGATGCACTGATGCACTGATGAACTGATGAACTGATGAACTGATGAACTGATGAACTGATGAACTGATGAACTGATGAACTGATGAACTGATGCACTGATGCACTGATGCACTGATGCACTGATGCACTGATGCACTGATGAACTGATGAACTGATGAACTGATGAACTGATGAACTGATGAACTGATGAACTGGTGAACTGGTGAACTGGTGAACTGGTGAACTGGTGAACTGGTGAACTGGTGAACTGGTGAACTGGTGAACTGGTGAACTGGTGAACTGGTGAACTGGTGAACTGGTGAACTGGTGAACTGGTGAACTGGTGAACTGGTGAACTGGTGAACTGGTGAACTGAACTGATGAACTGATGAACTGATGAACTGATGAACTGATGAACTGGTGAACTGATGAACTGATGAACTGATGAACTGATGAACTATTCCAATGGCCATGGTTTCGATTGGGGGATGCCATGGCAATGATCACTGGAGGCAACCCAATTCCAATGGATTGAATCATGATTTTCTAATTTTCCCGCAGATGGCTAGAACGGCTAGAACCCCCCATTTTCAGACCGAGCCTTAAATCATGAGTTTAAACAGGTCCCAAAAATGCAGATTCAGATCCAATACATTCCAATGGCCATGGTTTCGATTGGGGGATGCCATGGCAATGATCACTGGAGGCAACCCAATTCCAATGGATTGAATCATGATTTTCTCATTTTCCCGCAGATGGCTAGAACGGCTAGAACCCCCCATTTTCAGACCGAGCCTTAAATCATGAGTTTAAACAGGTCCCAAAAATGCAGATTCAGATCCAATACATTCCAATGGCCATGGTTTCGATTGGGGGATGCCATGGCAATGATCACTGGAGGCAACCCAATTCCAATGGATTGAATCATGATTTTCTCATTTTCCCGCAGATGGCTAGAACGGCTAGAACCCCCCATTTTCAGACCGAGCCTTAAATCATGAGTTATATATTAGCTATTTCACTAAGTGGTGTCGTAGTGTAGCCTTGCGGAATGCAGCAACGTAAATATGTCGAACGCTGCAGCCTTTGGTTCAAGGGCAACTTACCCCCCGGCCAGCGGGATGTGGCTGGCCGGGGGAGAGAATAGAGAGAAGTGGTTCAAGCATCGCTTCCGGCAGGGTGAGGTGTTGGAAGGGGCAGTTCGCGATGATGCTGGACTGCCTCAAGGAACCCTGCTGGTGGAGGTGCTTGAACCGCTGTCTACCGATGCGAAAGGGCATTGGATACGTGGACGCTACATAGTAGCCAGTGACGGGCATCTGCGTTGGTGGTTTGCAGAGGGCGACGGGAAGAAGCTGGCTAAGGACTGCAAGTACCACTTCTGCGATGGGCCTGCCACTGAGTGTTTGGAGCTCAAGTCGAAGAAGGGCATCCACATCGAGAGATTCCGCCCCTTGGGTACCAAGGAGTTCAAGGCGAAGGTGCCGTCTTGGGCATTTGGACGAAACTGCAATCCAGACATGAAGGCGTACTTCAAGGAGAAGGGCTTCAACCTACAAGCTGAGCCAACGAGTGAGGTTTTACCCTGGGTCGACCCGGGAGAAGACGCTGAACAGGAGGCCAGCCAGGAGACAGAGGCCTCAGGAAGCCATGACTTGAAAAAGAAGCTGGAGGAAGCGCGTGATGCAGTGCGCGCAATTGAAAAGAGGATGCAGAAGGGCAAGGAGGCCAAGAGGCGAAAGAAAAAGGGAGGAGACGCTGAAGGAACCACAAAGAAAAAGGAACGTGGTAGAAGGAGGTCACCCACAACAAGTGGAGAAAGGAGAGCAAAGAAAAAGAAGAAGGCCCGAGCCACTGGGTCAGGCAAAAAGAGAAGAGATCGGACTGAGGATTCACGGTCACCGCGCAAAGCCAAGAAAACAAGACGGTCCTCGTCAGACGGGCCGGACACTTCCAGCTCGGACAGAGAGGAGCTCTTTGGTGGCAAACGTCATGGAGCTGAAGAAGGCCGTCGTAAAGGGCATCGTGACCGTGGACCTTTCGGTGGAGGTGAGATAGTCAAGTTCCGGGAGACCACTGAAAGTGAGAGTGAGTCTTTTCGGGACGCCCCCGCGGACCGCAGGGCAGCCACCCAACTCCAGTTGGTGCGGTACGCGAAGAACAAGCCGGGTCGCCTAGCATCTCGCATGCTGTTGAAGATGCAACAGGAAGGCGCCCGAGGAGCCGTGGGGGCGGATCCGGAGCAAGTGGGGCTCACCCCACCCGCAGCAGTTCACTACCTGCTGACTGTCATGGTTCCAAAGCTCGGCAATCAGCTCAACCTGAGGTCCCTGCGAGAGATGAGAACCATTTGCACGGCGCTCGACCATTTGGCCTTACATCGGCCAGCTCAGGCCGCAGATCTTCTCACCCAGCGCCTAAAGGCGCTGGAGAAAGCCACCATAGAGGCCCATTGGGGCTCCGCTCAATTTCTGGAGCTTCTGAGCCCGGAGTCTGCGGGCCTATTGGAGAGGGACGAGGAAGTGTACACGAACCGGGAGTACCTCCTCGAGATGAAGTTGAAGAACATGGACCAGTGGAGAAGGCCTCCAAAAGGAGATCTAAAGGGAGATCGAGAAAAAGGAGGAAAGAAAGGGAAAGAAAAAGGAAAGGGCAAAGGCGGCGCAAAGGAGAAACCGAAGGAGGGGACGGCCTGAACCTCCTGAATGATGAAATGGCAGCGTGGACATCCTCTTGGCGGCGTTGGATGGAAAAGAGCCGGACTCCCGCACAGTACCTGGCAGGGATGTGGTCACAGGTGAAGTCACTTCCGACGAAGCTAGGTCACTTCGCACGGGTACTTTCTCAGGATTGGGTGCCCCTCGGTGCTGATGCATCAAGTTCAATCCGTGGAGATGACCTGCTACCGATAGACCCAAAGGAGGTGGCGACCTACCTGCTGGACAAGGGTGCGGCTATCGCAGACGGTGTCAATGGGATGATCAACGCTGTCAACTACCTGGCCCTGTGTGGGGGACACGCGCCAGTGCCTGAAAAGCTCAATGCACGGCCCTTGACCCAGGCGCAAGAGCGCGTGGTGGACAACTGCTGCGCCCTGCTTGAACACCTGGAGGAGTCAGGAGAGAAGGTTGCTTGTTTTGAAGAGGCAATGGCACCCTTGGCTACGGCGCGGTTTGGCTATGATGGTGAGCCGATAGTTGTCATGGAGGACATCGACGCTGAGCTGGTTGTTGAGGCATGGCCAGCTGTGGGGGAGGCGGCAGTCCAAGAGGCGGTGGATTTTGTGCCGCCAGAGCTGAAGGCCAGCCTGCTTGACCCTCGTGCTTGCCTTCTTCCGCTCCATGAATGGCCTGACCGAACTCCAGTTTCAAAGGTGAGGGCCACCGATGAGGAGTGGGAAAAGGTAGTTGCGGCTGCCTATGCAAGAGGGCTCATGGCGCCGGTCTCCCCGTCAGAGGTGTTCGTGGATGCCAAGGGGTCACCCGTGTTGAACGGTGCTGGAAGCGTTCAGAAGATCAAGAAGGTGGACGGCCGGGCGAAGAAGGTGCAGAGGTTCATCAGTAACCTGGTACCCTCAAATGCTTTTCAAAAACGGCTGGATGGTGATGACATACTTCTACCTTACCTGGGCCAAATCACCCTTCTTGAACAAGGTGAGGATGAAGTATGGGCACTCGACTCCGAAGACTTTACAAGCTGTTTCAACCTGTTCAAGCTTCCGCCAGTTTGGCGGCGATACATGGCCTTTGGAAAGCTGGTGAGTGCCAAGGCCTTCAATGGGCCGGCTGACGAGATGGTCTACCCCAGCATGTGCGTGCTGCCAATGGGCTGGATCTCATCGGTTGCGGTGGTGCAGTCAGTGGTGAGGACCCTCGTCTTCAAGGAGGCGGAGATCCCCGTTGAGTCTGAGGTGGCCAAAACGCGTGAAATTCCTGACACCGGCGACCTCACTGTGATTTACCTGGATTCTTATGACCAGTTGAGGAGAATGGACAAGAGGTGCCAGGAAGTCCTGTCAGGCACACCGTCTGAGCGACACCAGAGGTTTCTGGACGTGTGCAAGGCAAAAGGACTCCCTTTGAATGAGGGCAAAAGACTGGTCACCGCCACCCGAGGAGCGTTGCAGGGTGGTGAGTTGGATGGTCGCAAGGGACGCTATGGTTTGGCCTCAGACAAGATGGCTAGCATCCTCGCCCTGGGAGGAGGTCTGCTTGGATCTGATGAGTGGACCGAGTGGATGCTGAGGCACTTTGTGGGCAAGGCCACTTTTGGCATGTGTTTTCGTAGGCCGCTCTTCTCAGTTTTTCAAGGTGTTTTTGATGAGATCCAGTCACTGATGCAGTCTCAGTCAAGGGAGCGGCCGCTTACTTCATTAGTAGATGAGGTCCTACTGGTGACTGCTCTTGTGCCATTTATGGTGACGAACCTCAGAGCAAGGCTGGACGATGAGATATCAGTCAGTGACGCGTCACCCAGCGGCGGAGGAGCTGCGGTAGCAAGGGCCTTCAGGAGGGCACCGCTAACTATGGAGCATGATGGCCACAGATGTTTGGAATGTGGTACAGTGATTGAACCGGATCAGAGGTATCCCTGTCCAGCGGAGTGCGGGGCTACGTTTTGCAACCTTGCGTGCGTTTTGCAGCACAGGGACATTGACCATGAGCAGTCGCGGGAATGCCCAAGGCGGGCATGGAGGCCCCCCAAGTTTGGTGAAAGATTCTCGGGGCCGCGGGCACCGCTGAGCCACGCTGTGGCCATGCGTGGACATGTAGAGGTCCAACCACCGTATGACCTCCATTTTGGCCAGGACTTTTTCTCCGAGCAAGGGCGCCAAGAGCTCAAAACCCTCATGGAACAGGAGGAGTTGGTGGCTGAGCACTGGGCACCGGAGTGCAAGCTTTTCTCCCGCGCCAGAGGCAAGCCCATCACGTTGGAGAGTGGCAGGCGCATTGCGGGACCTCAGCCCGTGCGTGACCAACATCACCTAATGGGGTTCCCCTGGCTGTCAAATGAGATGAAGAGCAAGGTCAGAAGGTCAAACAATATGGTACTGAAGGCGCTTCGCAGAGGAGCAGACCAGCAGCGCCCAAACAAGTACCTGACAGTCGAGCATCCTTACAGGTCTTGGATGTGGTACTTCACTCTGATGAAGGAACTCGAACAGCTCGATGACTTTGACCATGCAGTGGGCTCTTCGTGCTGCTTCGGTGGCAAAAGAGAGAAATGGTTTTCGTTCTTCGGAAACTTGCCAACATTGAAGCATTACCTCCACAAGGAGTGTCCGGGCCATCAAGACTTGCTTGGCTACGAGGTGACAGAGAATCCGGATGGAACGTTGAGCTTTGCCACTGAGGAGGAAGCCGAATATCCATGGCCACTTTGCCAGGCCTATGCCAACGCTCTCAGGGAGCAGGTTGACAAAGATGGAATCTTTGAGAAGATGGTGCTGACCGAGAGGGAGTGGCACTACAAAAGCGAGTTGGAGCTCACGACTGAAAGGCTCAAGGACGCAACAGTGGCTCCGGCCGTGGCGGCCATTTTGGCCAGAGAGGAGGCAGCCATGGTGCAGGGGCAGGAGAGAGAACACCTCAGGAGTTTGCTGAGGAGTGCCACGTACAGAGGCACTGATATACGGCATTTTGCCATGGTGGACAATGGAGTAGAGTCCACCTTGCATGAGGTACCCTACCTGGCGATGGCGTGGGATTGGAAGACCATTTTGGCTTTCCCCTGGCGTGAAGAAGGGCATATCAACGAGTTGGAGCTGAATGCTGTGGCAGTGTTTTTGAGGAGGCGTGCCAGGTTCAAGAACAATCATAGCACCCGTTTCCTCCATGTGCTGGATTCAATGGTCAGCCGCGGATGCCTGGCCAAAGGTCGCAGCAGCTCAAAAAGGCTCAATCAGGTGTTGCGGAGGTGCACAGCCCATTTACTTGCTATGGATGGCTACATGTTCCCATTGTGGACGGTGAGTCGGTGGAATTTCGCCGACAAGCCGAGCAGACTCCATGAGAAGAAAGCGTAGCCTGCAATATGTTGGGCTGCATCCACGCACCCTGAGAGCCTACCGCCAGGCATTGGACCGCTTCCTGCGGTACATACGGCGCAAGCAACTGTCTTTGCGCAGCCCACGCAGTTTAGATCGCCAACTTGCAGAATTCATAGATGTTTCATATCAGGAGGGCGAGCCGATGAGCTACGCCGGACATCTCCTGTCAGCTAGTAAGCGGTTTCACCCAGAGCTTCGCCTGGAGTTGCCCCGGAGTAGCCAGTACTTTCGCAACTGGCAGCGCTGCTATGTCCCTGCCCGGGCACTCCCTGCTTCTTGGGAGCTGGTACAAGGCCTTATGGGCCTTGCTTGGCACCAGGGCTGTCCTCAGTTCACAGTGCTTATCGCCATTGGGTTCAACTGCCTTTTGCGAACCAGTGAGATGCTGGGGCTTACCCACAAACATGTGGTGTTCCATCCTCAGGGCAACGGAATGAGCGTGATCCTACCGGGCAGTAAGACTTCACAGGGCAACCCCCAGGTGGTATTGGTGACAGATGCTAAGCTCATTTCCTTTGCCAAGGCAGTCATCAACCCTTCAAAAGCTTCGTTGCTTTGGGATGAAGGGGCTCACCGCTTTCGGGCTCTTTTCTCCTCTTTGTTAGAGGCCCTAGGTTTCCAGGCTGACTCGTACACTCCGTACTGTCTTCGACGGGGAGGGGCTACTTGGCATTTTCAATCCTCTCTGTCGTTGGATGCCACGGTTACACGTGGACGCTGGTCGTGTACCAGAACAGCCAGGGCTTACATTGACGAGGGCACGGCGCAACTAGCTCACGTCAGCTGGAGTCACCGACAGCGCACCTTGGTCAACAAATGGGCCCGGTCGCTGTTGAAAGTACGGCTGCGCCAAGGAGCAAACTTTGGAAGAGCTTGAGGCCTTCAAAATTTTTTGGAGGTGGAAGAATGAGGCTCTTAAGCCAACCAAAGCCAGCCTCATGAGGCAAATGGCAGAGGAACCAGGCACCAGCAAAGCTGTGTTAAGGTCTTGACCTGTCGCCTGGGTAGCAGCTTAGCCGCGATAGGGCTGTACAGGAGTTGGGGTCACATGAGCCTCAATCTGTAGCAACTTTGGGGCACCCATGAAAAGGGTGCTTCCGTTGTCAGCGGCAGCTTGGTGAGACATTTCACTAAGTGGTGTCGTAGTGTAGCCTTGCGGAATGCAGCAACGTAAATATGTCGAACGCTGCAGCCTTTGGTTCACCCTCCTCCAGCCCCGGTCACCACCGTGTTAGGTGTGCTTGATGTTGGCTGGTGCGAGCGAAGAATGAGGCTCTTAAGCCAACCAAAGCCAGCCTCATGAGGCAAATGGCAGAGGAACCAGGCACCAGCAAAGCTGTGTTAAGGTCTTGACCTGTCGCCTGGGTAGCAGCTTAGCCGCGATAGGGCTGTACAGTAGTTGGGGTCACATGAGCCTCAATCTGTAGCAACTTTGGGGCACCCATGAAAAGGGTGCTTCCGTTGTCAGCGGCAGCTTGGTGAGACATATATATATATATATTACACTATCCCAATGATATTCCTATAATATCTCCATAATATCTCCATGATCGAAGGAAGCTTAGAAGTCAAACTTCCGACAATATGGACAGATGGAAAAGCAGCGGTGGTAAGAGTCAGAGAAGAGAAGAGCAGAGGAGAGAAGATCAGAGAAGAGAAAGAGTCAGAAGAAAGAAGATGCAGGTGCGCGAAAAGGTAGGAAAGTCGCGAAACACTGTGTTTTTTCCAATGATTTGTGGCTCCAGAGGGTCGAAAAGTAGGCTCGCTAAAGCGGCGGGTGCGGAGCCATCTGCCCAGATGAGAGATGAAAAATTGCACGCCGTTGTGGCGCGAAGCACATTTCGAAGTCAAAATGCACAAAACGCACCCGACGTCGGAGCACTTTTACAAGTTGAGATGTCGAAAAAGTGCACGCCGTTGTGGCGCGAAGCAGATTTGGAAGTCAAAAGTGTGAAAAACTGACGGGTTCGGAGCACTTTTGGAAGTTGAGATGCACTTATGGCACTGGGCTGGCAAGCGTGGCAAGCGTGGCACTTGGCGACATCCACCTTCGTTTTGCGTGGCAGGCGTGGCACTTGGTGACATCCACGCTTCAAGTGAGTCCATCTCTCTCAAATACGACTTTGTCACACGCAACTTTGTCACGCACAATCTGTCACATCTCTTTTCCATATGCAACTTTATCGCACACAACTTTGTCAAACGCAACTCTTTCGCACACAACTTTTTCATACACAACTCTCTCACACACAACTTTGTCACACACAATCTTTCACACACACACACATCTCTCTCACATGCAACTTCTCTCTCACACACATCTTTGTCACACAACTTTGTCACACACAACTTTGTCACACACAACTCTTTCACACACAACTTTGTCACACACAACTCTTTGTTACACAACTTTGTCACACACAATCTTTCACACACACACACATCTCTCTCACATGCAACTTCTCTCTCACACACATCTTTGTCACACAACTTTGTCACACACAACTTTGTCACACACAACTTTGTCACACACAATCTTTCATACACAGCTTTGTCAGAAACAACTTTGTCATACACAACTTCACACACACAACTCTTTCACTCACAATTTTTCACACACAACTCTTTTACTCACAACCTTTCACACACAACTCTTTCACACACACACAACTTTCTCACACACAACTCTTCACATACAACTTTTAAAATGGTTGACCCTCCACCATCTCCTTTGTCTTTTCTTCTTTCTCCGTGCCGCTTCAACCACTTTTTCCGATTATTGGAAGAGCTTGACTTGTGGGGTTATCTGGTCCTTTAATTGCTGAAATTATGTTTGCCAAATACACAATCACAGACCCACGTATGGTAAAAATCAGACTGTGGTGGCCCTGGTGGTATAGATATAGGCTTGGTATGGCTTGGTCATTTCAGATCTGCTTTGCTCAGGAGGCTCACAGGCAACGCCTGGAAGCCGAAGGACGGCAACGCAGCAACTTGGTGCAGGGAGAAAGGGCTTGTAGCAGTGTGGTTGCCGAAGGTTGATATTGTGCCATGGTCAAAACATGGGTGTCCCATGAATGGTGACTTTTTTGGGGGACGGTTTGTGATTCCAAGTAAATTCGGGACAGACTGAACTGCACAAACTTTCCAGCGGGCTGGTACTGTGGAAGTAGCCTGGACTGAATCCTGGATTTGTGGCAAATTTGTGACAGGCATGGCTGAAAAGGCGGAAGAGTTGGAAAAAAACGTCGAACGACTGGAGAAGGAGAGGGCCGACTCTGCCGAAAGGCCCGCCTTTGCGATGGGTTTCCTTGACGTTGCAATGGACTGACAGTAATTGACATGTGACATGTTATTGTTTCCGTGTCACTCCTCACTGTATCCCAACCAAGGTATTCAGCAACCCCTGATTTTTTCTGTGAAAAAACTGGACATCTAGAAGTTATGATCGAGGTAGATTAAGGTAGATTTCATCTACAGTATGCTGCTTCCCAATTCCTTGGGTCCAGTGTGGCAATTTTTGAGTGTGCACCGAGCGAGGCTCGCCAAGTATCAGCAACAGCTGGAGGAAATGCAGCAGACAAAACAAGAAGAGCCTCTACGAAACGATACCAGGGATGGGACTCGGGGCTTGAGGTTGCTGTGCTTGTTGTGAAAAAACAGGTCTTTGTGGCATGAGTTTCATAGACAACCTTGAAACCCAGGAAAATAATCTATTGTTCCAACAAAGAAGAGAAGATAGTTGCTTGTTCCCTTTGTCCTTGACATTCAAGTCATGAACTTCCCCCAAACATGCAGCAACGTCCAGCACTTAGGGCGCCTGTCGATCTTTTGTTTCTTTGGTCAGAGAATCTGCGTGAGGCCCATTGCTGTTGACGGCCCATCGGCGTTTCCCAAGGATCTTCGCAAGCACTGTGAAGAGATGCAGGTTCTACAGGCCCTGCAGCATGGCTTTGGTTCACCAAGAGCGGTTCCGTTTTTCGGAAAAAAGGGGGCAACATGAGAACCAAGACAAGGACATAGATCGTAACGAATGGGGTCAGAACTGCCCATATGTGAGGGTAACGAATGGGGTCGGTTGGGATAGTAGGGGCCGATCAGTGAGTGCATGGTGCCTGTGTCACAGGCGGAACGAGAGAAGATGCTGAAGCAATGTGAAGAGCAACGGCTAGAGGTGGGAAGAACAAGGGATGCAAGATCAATCTTCACTAGATCTTTCGGAAACGCACTGTGTTCCATCCTTACAGCAGGGTTAAGGGTGCAGCCGAAAATCTAGATGGAGGTTGCAGTTCATGTTGGACTGGCATGATGGGCAAGGGAACATTAGAGAGCTCCAGCTAGCTGTGCTCATCCTTAGGCCTCAGAACAAGCGCAAGAGGCGCCCAAACCTGCCGCGGAAAAGGCTGGGACTAGGAGTTTGGAGCTGTAGCTAGCAGCAATGTGCACGAATCGTATAACAATTTGACAATAGAACTACTGCAGTTTGGAAGGAATCTTCATTCCTCCTAGGTCCTAGCTTCACTTAGCGCCAATCTCAACGTGTCACCTGTGTTCAACGCGCATTTGCTGGTTCAGTTGGTAGCTGTGCTATAGCGACCTGAAAACCACCTCACCAGAATGATGGTTACCATCGTTGGAAAGCGGACGTGCCACAACAAAGACCACAACTCTGGTTTGGGATTTATCAAAGATACCATTGACTGTCCATGTTCTTATTTTCCAAACCCACATAGTCACTGGCTAAAGGCCTGCAGCTGTTGGCATCTCCTTTTCCTTCTTGATATAGCCATCCAAAAATCACGTTGCCATAAACATCAGCCGGCGGTATGAGTTGCACATTTCATCAACGAAATGGACCCCAGTTGCGATCAAACAAGTTGGACTGGAACGACTCCGGTTAGGTAGTGCCACCTCCGCTGGCCAAGGCGCGAATCTGACTTTTTGTGAGGATTGAAGAGATGCGATCCGTACACCACTGCTTTTAGATATCCGTATGTTACAAAAAAAGGCGTTGCAATCCACTTGCAGCTGTTTGGCCCACGACATGAAAACTGAATCAAGGGGCCATGGTGCTTGAGCCCAGCAATGTGAGATGGGCAAATTCCTGATCGATTTGTAGGACTTCCCGCCAAAGAAAACATGTCAGGAGCTGTCCTTTTAGAGACTGCGACCTGCAGCATTTCCCATGGTGAACTGCCGAAAAATCAGCGACGAATCACCATGACTTGATCACTCGTCAAGGCGCTCTGAGTCCAGATGCTTGTGACTTCCTTTCCGGGTTGTCCTTTAATATGTTTTAACGATATAAGGTGGTCAATCCAGTAACCATGACCACAAGGTGCTGATCGTAAGCGTTTTGCCATGGTGTCGCATGACTCCCTGGTGCGTGCCGAAAAACGCCTGGGCGTCCCCGCGGTGATCGGTAGATATCACAAGGCGCCTGAGAGGCAGCTCCAGGATGACTACCAGCTGGGCGACAAGGTCAGGGAGGGTTGGCTCGGACAGGCTGTCCATTGCGCTGGTTGTTTCAGATTCTTTTGGGGTACTGGCCATTTTTCGAAAGGATCCATGTGGGTGTGTCTGAAAATAGTGTACCCCTAAACCCCATGGTTAATGATCATTATCCCTACTAAATGGCTATAATTGGGGGTATACCCCATTTTCAGACATACCCATTTTTCGAAAGGATCCATGTGATTTGGGAGTTGTAGATCCAACACTGGATTTTCAGCAACCGACCCGGGTGTTGATCTGGTTTCAGCAGCTGTCGGCTTTCGTTATGGGTTTGTCTCCAGTTCCGGCGCCCGCCCCAATTTTTCTGTGGCAGTTCCAATGGAACATGATTTCTGAATTGTCATAGTGATAGTATTTTGACATTTTCGGAAATGATTTTGGGACAGCTCTGGGCATTCTCTATGAAATAAACGGTTGGCCATATTTCTAAGCAAATTGTGGTAATCCCGTTAAAATTGTCAATGCTTATCCCAAGACATTTGGAAGAGTGTATGAATTTCTCAATACTCTCTGAATTTATATAATTGATAGCTATCCCATACGAATCATATTAAAGCGATTAGTTTCATAATATCCCATTTTATTGATATCCCAATATTATTATAACAGCTATCCCACATGTTTTCATATCCCAATCATTAGTTTCATACTATCCCAATAATTACTATTAGTAGCTATCCCACATCATTCATAGCTATCCCACTATGCATTGAAGAGCTATTTTTATAACTATCAAGAAGCACTGTAACAATAACTATCAAGAACTGTCAAGAACTATTAACAATAACTATGGATAACTATCAATAACTATGGAAATAAATATCCCACAAATAACAACTATATACTATCAACAACCAGAAATGACTATCAAAAATATCCCACATCATTTTTGGCATGTTTCAATGCCAGATTCTTGGGTCTCCACACCAGGTGCTTGGCACGGGTTGCAGCGGCCAAGTGATGCAGGTCACGATGACACCGATGGGGCAGGGTAGTGGCTCATTCCAAAAACATGTTCGTTCATATACATCTATATATATATATATACATAATGCATACAGGAATGTATATGTCAATAAACACGCATATATACAAATATGTATATATATGTATGTATGTATGTATGTATGTAGGTATGTAGGTATGTAGGTATGTAGGTATGTAGGTATGTAGGTATGTAGGTATGTAGGTATGTAGGTACGTATGTACGTATGTACGTATGTACGTATGTACGTATGTACGTATGTACGTATGTACGTATGTACGTATGTACGTATGTACGTATGTACGTCATACGTACGTCATACGTACGTATGTACGTATGTACGTATGTACGTATGTACGTATGTATGTATGTATGTATGTAGGTATGTACGTATGTATGTATGTATGTATGTATGTATGCATGTATGTATGCATGCATGTATGTATGTATTATATATATACATACACACACACATATATATATATTATACAGACTATTGCGTATTAACCTGTTTAAAAGTAGATCAAATCTGAGATATCTACTTTTGGAATCCCGATGTCCCGATGAAACACTAGACATGGAACCCACTCGATTTCCACGGAGATGGTTCGAGAGCACAGCATCTAAACGTGGTGTGGTTTTTGCACTTTAGTGGATGGTATAGCAAGGGCAGGAAGGATCTGGTAAGGATGGTGCAAACAAAACAATTTGGATACAATGTGGGGCCCCTGAGTTTTGTTTGTTGCTTTGCAACCCCCATGAACTGTAGAATCTAGAAAAAACAGAACCAGAAACCCAACATTCTAATTATAAGTTGTTTTTTCAAAATCTCATCTGACTATAACTATAGTCTATAGTAGTTAGGTAGATTACAGTATAACTATAACTAGAAACGATAACTACAGTTAACGAACATCTAACTATCTATGTGTACAAAACATGATCAACTATAGTTAATCATATAACCATAGAGTTTATAAACATCATAAAAATATAATATGCATATGTTAATCATATAATTCGTTATAGTTTATAACCATCATATGTGTAGATGGTTATCCATCGAAAAACCTAATCACCGAGGCCACGAGCCGCGCCACGGGTGCCAAAGCGGCCGTGAAGAATCTGAGCCTCGTGGGCATCAGCGAGAAGGACCAACCTGTTTGGGTAGCCTCCGGCGTTGCAGCAGTTTGCGAAGCTATGGAAAATGGCTATAGTTATAGTTAAAAACATTTGAAATCACCATACTTAGTCATCAAAGTTTTGAACATCACCATCTTTGGAAGAAATCACGAACCTAATGGGCCAGCTATGAAAAATAGCTATGTAACAAATTACCAGAGGGTAGCTTAGAAGAAAATTGGCTCTGGAAATGGACATGGGATATACCTGGTATATAGCTTCTAAATGGCCATTTGGGGGAAAATGATGACTAAGCCAATGGATTCAGAGGTACCATATAGACAAACCCATATATCATTTATATGGTATAGTTTATGGGGATGAAGTAGCTCACACAAGCTGGTTGGCTACAATTCCAGCACATTGATCTTTGCAAGATGTCAGAGAGGTATAGTTTATGGCATAGTTTTTGGTGCAATGAATATTATAGCAATGAATATGGTATAACGGATATTCTTGATGATATTATAGTATAATGGATGTTGTTGATGATATTATGATACCCCCATATACCCATATCGTTTTGCAGCATTGTTATTTTCCATGATCTTGCACATGGGTTTTTGCCTTTTGTCGTTCATTTTTTTTTGGGGTGAAACTTGTGGACACAGGCAAAGAAAGAGTTGGAGAACGAAGTTGCCATTCGGCCGCATTTGGAGACGACATTTTCTTCGCCTAGTTTGGAAGATAGCCATTGTCATTCTTGGATGCCCTGGACCCATACAAGGCATCGACGGATTTTTTTTGGGAGTCATACCCGAATCATCACTGGGCGCTCCATCAGTTTCCAAGGAACTCTTCTTGAGCATGGACCATCCAAGAGTAGCTCGATTGATGGATGTCTATGAGTCTGAAGGGCGCCTGAGTCTGGTGATGGAATGCATGGAAGGTTGCGAGGGCAGGGCTGGTGGCTGGTGGTGCAGACGGTGGCCAAAACACCAGTGTCATAGACTTTGCTAGGGGGATTGCTCCGTCGATATACCCATATAATATTGGGTACATAGGTACGACACTGTCATTTTGTCAGCGCAAAGCCAATCGGCTTTTTGAACGGGCTAAGTTTGACTTCCCTTCAGGGAAAATTCTCTTTCCCAGACATGAGCAGGGTTCAACCTTTCTGTTTGTTGATGATTAGTTGGGGGGTTATACTGTCCAATGTATTGGGGATGGTCACAATCCACTGAGGGAAATCCGTCCTGAACCAGCCATGGGGCCACCGTCTGCCAGGTGGAGAGCTGTTTACCCGCGTGATGGATCGGGAGGCGGGATGTGGGGCTAGAAGCAAACTATAGGATGTCCATATGTATATAGATATGGACATACGTAATGTCTATATCTATATCTATATCTATATGTATATCTATATCTATATCTATATCTATGTGTATATCTTTATCTATTATATCTATAATAATTATCTATATATCTTTGTCAATATACATACACATACACAGACACAGACACAGACACATAGATGGATGAAACAGGGATATGCAATATCTAGATCTGTTTCATATTCGCTACACATATACACATGTTGAGATGACCCTGCTGTGCTGCTTCTGATTCCCTCCTTTTTCCGCAGGTTTTTCCAGAGAAGGACGCAGCTCATACTGCCTGGCAGATGCTTTTGGCACTGCTTCTTGGCTGACTTTTGCTGTGATCCCTCGGGAAGCATTGGCAAAATCTACTGTGGTAGCGATGGCATGTTGGGACTCACCTGTCCAAAGGTTTCTTGACGACAAAATCCTTGATTTTTGGGGCCATGGCCATGGTTGGACTAATCCTGATGAATGAAAGGTCACATGGCTCCACTTGTCATCCTGTTCCCACCAGACGGAAGAGCCGAAGATCTGCGTTTGTCTGAAAATGGGGGACCCTACAGTAACATCATTTTCCCCACTATTCCCACTATTCTCTGACCATAAACCGGAAAACCCAACTTTTTGGATCATTTTTTGCACAACCTTTACATTTTTCCCTACCTGTCAGGTGAGGGTCTCTGGTTTGGTAAGCTTGTCCTCCTTCCTTCCTCTTTCCTCTTCCCTCCCTCTTCTACCTACTCTACCTGCTCGCAGGGCCCCGCCGGACCCGAGCACAGCGCCAGATAGAATGCCACTTGCTGGGTATCACTCGAAGGAAGTAAGTTTCGTAAAGATCCATTGCTTTTGAGGCACAGCCATTTTCGCACAAACCCAAATCGTATTGTTGGTTATCCCATAGCATTCCCCGGTATGGTCGGATTGAAAAACCCCTTCTTTTTGCCAAGTCCTGAGTTTTGGACTCAAGGAACTACATTCACAGCCATGGCATCGTCCATCGCGCCACCTGGCAGCAGCTTGCTGGTCAAAGATCCCCATTTTCTGTGGATCAAATTGACCAAAATCCCGATTCTTTGGCCATCGAACTCCAAGCTCCAGATCTGGAAGAACTTGAAGCATTTGAAGAACTTGGCAGGACATCAAGTTAGAGAACTTCATGTACGCGCGGAAGGACACAGATCACCTGAAGCTCATTGACTTTGGCCTCAGTGCCTGGGGCCAGCATGGGATGACGGATCATGATGTGATGATTCAGGATGATGGATGACTCCTATTTAGTTTTGATCGCTTAGGACTTAGGTCTCCTATTTAGTTTTGATCTCTTTTTACCCAAACCTGGCAGTGAACAATTCCCCATTCATATCCATTCATGATTCATAGCGTCATATTTTCCCTTCGAACAATGGTGGTTTCCCAGCCATTTCCAAGGCAAAGTCTGGGAGCCCAACACCAAGATGGAGGCATCTTGCGGCACCTTGGGCTACATTGCCCCGGAGGCACCATCATCTGGGCACCATCCGTGGATCTGGGGTAGACTTCCCACCGGAAACACCCGATTTTCACCTGGGCAGGTGCTGAACAAAACCTACAGCTCCAAGTGTGATTTGACGCCCGGCTGCAGAAAACTGCTCCATCCTTTGGGAGCCAATTTCAACTGTGCCCCAGCCGTTTGAGCCGTTTGATCCGTCCCAGGTGGAGTGTGGGTGTCATTGTGTACATCCTCCTCTCTGGCTGTATGCCCTTTGCGGGCTCTGAACAGCATCAAATTGTCTGCATCATGTCCGGCATGTACGACATGGAGGATGAGGACTGGTCGGACAAGTCGCCCAATTTCGATGAGGATCAGCAAAGTGCCATCGATGTCTCACATGATTCCTACTGATCATCTTGGGACAATGTTTGCATTACCCTTCCAGTAGGTCAATACAGGCATGTCAGCCATGGCCCATTTAGTTTGATGATTTACCTTTATTAAAGATGGTGCTTTTCCAGTTCGCAAACTGTTAAGTTTCCATATGTTTTTTTCTCATTTTCAGACACATCAGACATCCATAGCCCCTGAGCAGACGACGCCCGAGGAGTGGAAATGCGTGTCGAGCCTTGCCAAAGAATTTGCACCTTGGACCAAGGGCTGCCAGGGCAGCAACACACTTGGGCAATCTATAAAGATATATATATATAAAGATTATATATATATATCAAAATCTATGGGATTCCTTAGATATGTGCATCCAACCATCCATAAAATCTGAATATCTATAATGGATGACACATTATGACACCATATTTGACGGGATGAGCATCCACCTACAGCTGGGCCCATGAAGGACATCTATGTTGACTGCTGCAGCACATGAGTTTGTCGTGAAATTGGGTACAACCGTTTTACATCGTTTTATGGCCGGCAGATAAGGGGGGAATCATTTTGATAGCACTGGATGTTTTGGTGCCTTATTTGGACAAACCATGACAATATGTAGGTAGTAGAGAACTACTTTTTTGGACACCATTCAGCTGATTTCGAATATTCATTTCTGCTGGTAACATGCGACTCTTTGACCACAAAAAACATTGTCAAATTTGCGTAGATTCCTCTATCATCCCATATCTTTGTTAGTTAAATATAGTTAAACCCCCATTGAAATCCCATTGACATCACCATACAATTCGATGAATTCCCATTTAAATCACCATTAAATCCCATAGTAATCCCATAGAATTCCCAAAGAAATCCTCTAGAAATATCATAGAAATCTTGATGAATTCCCATATTAAATCCAGCATTTTTTTTGTATCGAAACCTAGGTGAAAAAACTCCTGGTGGTCGAGGCCGCCGATCGCATGAGCGCGGAAGAAGCGCTGGCGCACCGCTGGATCCAGGTCGGGAAGTTCCATGGGAGGGAGGAAAAATGGTTTCCATAAATCTGGGTATAGTATAATAATGATATAACTATGATATAATATATATATATATATATGAAAATATGAAGTGGGTTTGAACTATATATATATATAATATGTTATCTATATAACTATATAACTATATATGATAGTAACTATAATACATATGAAGTGGGTTTGATGCATATTATCTGGGTAAATTTCATCACGACCTCACTGTTCTCCCGAAGCCTGGAATCATGGGTTTATGGGAAATCATCCCCAGCCATGGTCGAACTATTCAGGTTAGTGAATTATTATAATTTACCCAGATAAATGGAGGATCCCCAAAATAGGTGGTTTATTTATGTTTATGTACTTCATGGAAAATTCTATTGTTCAATGGATGATTTAGAGGTACCACCCATTTATCCCATGATATTACACTAAATCCCATCATATTGTTATCCAATTTGATCCCATTGTATCCCAGCAAATAGCTAAGATGTGGGGGGATTTGATTGATAGAAAAAATGTGTGTATATATATAGAGATACACATACATATGTATATATTTATATATAATACATATATATATATACATAACCTCACTGTGACCGAACCCTGGAATCATGGTTAGGATTCGGGGTATCATCCCCAAATGGCCGCAAGTTTCAGAGGTATTATGATTTGCCCAGACTATATCCCATTACATTCCCCTAAATCTCCATTTTTACTATCATTTAAATGGGAAAAGTTGGGGGGTTACCCGGGGGGGTCTGAAAACGGGGAACCCCCTCAAAATCATCCAAACTCGGTCATATTTGCAGTGGGGAAACTAATGGTTTTAGGATACCACAATTTCAAGAAGCCACCAAATGGGAAGACTTGGAAAAGCTGTAAAAAGGTTGAAGCCTTGTTTGGTATTTAGTTGATGAAATTACTCGATTTTTTCGATGGTTTGGTAGAATCCCATGGAAGTCTCATTTCTTCGTGGAGACCCATCCACAAACACGGCGCCGCCACCATCGTGGCACAGGAGCGAGAACATGTGCAGCTGAGCCGTTGCAAAATGGATCGATCCGTTGTCGACGCCTTGAGGCCTCCCGAAATCATTACCACAGAGAGATTCCCCAAACATGTATTGCAACACTGTATTATATATTGTATGTATTTTCCAAATCACTGCCCTATATATATATATATATTCCAACGTAGAACATATATATATATATATTTATAAAAATGTATTGTATTGATGTATAAATTCCATTTCGTGTCTATTTAATAGTCCCCCATGTTGCCCGATGTTGATCTCATTTATCCACCATTTCTTTCCCATGATCCCATTTTCGCTGCTTGCTGCTCATTTCTTATCATCTCCCATGTATTTCATCTATTTCTCCTTTTCCTTCCGCACTTCCATGGCAATTTCCGCTGTATGCCATGGCTGCTACCGCAACAGCGGCCATTGCGGCCATGGCAGGCGTTTCGAGCACGCCTCCAAGTTCCGCCGCGCCTGCCTTTCGGTGATGGCTTGGTCACTGACCCACGAAGAGCGGAAATCCGTGACCTGATGCAAGCTGGAGCAGCTGGTATTATATCATGATTATCTACTAACTATATTTAGTGGATATAATGATGTCGATATACCATTTGGGATATACCATTTATACTATCATAGTGGATATACCATTAATGGGTAAAACTTATTACAGTAATGGTTAAATAATGGGGATTAATGGTTACTATGGCTTATAGATGGTTAATGCTAATAAATAGTAATAACATTAATGTTGTTAATGTAGGTAAAACAATGCCATAAACCAGCCATGACTGGGAATGGTACCCATACCAGCTATAAAAATGGTGATGACTGGGGGATGGTATAAACATGACAGCCGGTTTTACCCACATAAAATCCAGGACTATCACGGCATTTTTTTCATAGGGAACATGAGGAAATCCGGTGGATTTGGGAGTATATTGTGACTGCGCGCGCAGTGATGGTTTTTGTTGATGGTCGTTGGGGATTTCAAAGGAACAGTTTTTTTTTCATTTTTGACCGCCCGCCCAATGTTTCCTACAGTGAAAGTGCCTTTAGCGGTACGTGAGTTAAGTCGAGAACTTGTCCCCATGTCCCCCAAGTGCACCACCCATTTTATAGACACCCACATTTTTGCTCGTTGCGACCCCATTTGTATTTTCCTGTCATTGACTCAAAATGTAACTTTGTGAATCCACGATCATACAGACATTGTTGTCACTTTGAACAACAAGAGTATCCATTTCAGGAGATTTGGAAACCCATGCCAAACTCACTGTTGCTTTCATGTAAGTGCACATAAGTGACATTTGTTAGCAACACAAGTTCACTTTGCTTTGATGAAGCCAGGTCATGGACTTGAATCATGTATTTCATGTGCAAGTGAACGCTATTAGCCCGCACCACCCCATCCCACCCTACTGTAACACCCAGTGTGTGCCCAAATGCAATTGAACGACAAGCTGCATATGTGTGCAAGTGCAATTGAACGTCATGAAAAAGCAACACAAAACAAAGGGTTTCTACGCGCGTGCATGGTTTTAATGGGTTTCAGACCTTTTTTGCTTAAATCCAGATCTTGTTGGATCAATTTTTTCGTTCAACCACCATGTTGGCTTAGATATGGCACAACCCATGGTAAAAAACACACACCCCGTGATTTTTAGAGACTTCCGTCCGGCCCCGTGGTTCCGGAACGGTTCCGTTACGGCCCGGCCTCCGTTGCCAGGTGGTGGACGCCTTCCTGGAGCTGGACACCTCGCGACGCGGCACCATCCGACTGCACGAGCTGCGGGACGTGCTGCAGCGCTTTGACATCCCGGATCAGGAGCCCGTTGTGGTTTTTTGTGGATGTGGATATACCATTTGGGATATACATATAGGATTTAATATACCATTTAATATACAATTTATAGGATTCATATAGGAAATTCATGGAAATCCATTATATACAGTGATAGATGATGTGGAGATAATGATGGATTAGAAATCAGTATCATTAATGGATTATCTACTATATTTACTATATGACTAGTTGATATAATGATGTGGATATACCATGAATATCCATGAATGGGATATACCATGGATAATACAGTACTAAATATGATGTGGATTATCTACTATATGACTGACTAGTGGATATAATGGATTTCTAGGATTATTACTATAGAATATTAATACAACCTGGGAATGGTAACCATACAACCTGTAAAAATGCTGACGACTGGCGGATGACCAGGTTGTTTTTGCTTGGAGTTCTTTGGGGAAAATGGCAGTTGGCAGAATTTGGCATGTTTGTTCCCCAAAAACATGGCCCAGTTGGCAGTTTTTTTTTTTTTTTCCGACCGAAAAATGGGAAAGTGATGTGAACAAGTTGGATGACGTACACCATCCTGACTCGCATCTTGTACCTATCGGTTGGTTACTTGGGGATGTACCTGGACACCCCCCCCAACAAATTGAGCGGCAATTCGTGAAAAAACCCAGAACTGACCTTCAGGACCTGTAGTTGGAGCTAATGTGTTTATCCGTCAAAAAACAGCCAAAAGAACTGAAGAACCTAGTGTCCCCATGCCCCATGATATCCTCATGATATTTCCATGATATTTCCAGGATATTTCCGTGATATTTCCGTGATATTTCCGTGATATTTCCGCGATATTTCCGTGATATTTCCGTTATCCCAAATCTCCATATCCTAATGATTTTTGGCCGTCTTGGCGGCTCCAGTGACCCCCAAGTGACCCGGCCAGGAGTCGGCCGAGATTTTCCACGCTCTGGATGGTGGTCAGTGTGATGAGGCATGGTGTTGAACTCTCCAAGGATGGGATTTTTCATGGAACCAGGCAATGAAAATGGGATTACCATCTGGTTATGACTAACATAGCCATGGAAAGATCCACCATTTTTAATAGGTAAACCCAGGTAAACCATCTATAAATGGGCCATTTTCCATGGCTATGTTAAATAACCAGATGGTAATGTAGTTAAAACAATGTCACAAACCACCCATGACTGGGAATGGTAACCATACCACCTACAAAAACGGTGATTTGGGGGATGGTTTATGACATTGTTTTAACCACATGATCCGGGATTGAATGTTTACTGGGATGTATATTTGAAGGGAGACCCTTTGGGACGCAGGTTTTGTGGAGTTCATCACAGCCCAGTTATAACTGCGTTGACCCACTTAGACGACTCATTATTTTTGAGCAAGACAGGGATAGCATCTGGTCAAACATGGCTTGCTGGACAATTCCTACATGGCTTGTTCGAGGATTTCCCAGCTCCCCATGTGACTGATTTTTCAGCATTGGAGTGTCCAAAGATTGGGACGCCAAAAAAGAAGCCCCTGCTATCAGTCCAAAGAAGTCATTTTTTGGGAGGCGCCAAGGTGAAGAAACTGCTGTGTTGCAAGTTGCACAATAGTCACTGTGAGATTATAGACACACTGCCAGCTTGTGACCTTTCGGATGGTAGTACCATGGCTGATCTATCCCATCCGAAAGTATCCGTTCGTCGTCAGCAGCGACCACTCAAGAATCCCTCTTAGTTGATCAAATTCAGAGGTTACGAGGCTCCAAAAATCTCAAGCAGTTTTTTGTGTCGCTGGGACCGCGAGAACGGAAAACTGCCAGGTCCATTACAGTGAATTTCTGGGAGCCATGGTCTCCTCACGAATTGCAATGCTCCTTGGCTCGATGGCTGTGGTGAATCATTGAGATCTTCCGGTTTCATGAGGACAAACCTCCAAAAATTCACGGGAAAATGAGCCTCATTTTGTTGTATGAAAGAATGATCCTTTTGGGGGAACAAAAGGGTATACCTGGTATACCCCATTTTCAGAAAATCCTTTTGGTAAAGAAGTTGTATAAATTCCGTGAGAGTATCAAATCGTCGTTGAGGAAACATGACGCTTGTGGATTGGGTACCTTCCGCTCTTTCCATGTATGTGCTTTTGATCGACAGGTGGTGCTACCGATTTCCGGCCAAAAAACCCTGCAATGCTTGTTTTGGGGGCTCACTGCTGCCTTAGTGACCTTAGTGGGTCCCAAGAAATTGCCACGGCATCATCCACTTCTGAATGGCTGAAACATGATACGGCAAAACAACTTGCGTTTTGTGCGATTCTTGGCATCGATCCGGACCTTGGCTGAGGCATGACCAGATGCTGCGTGCAGCTTTTGCCCGTTTCGACGTGGTGCTTTGGACCGTGAGGAGGGCTTGTGCAGATAGACCATCCCGGAGGAGGATGATGATGATGATGAGGAGGAGGAGGAGGCGGATCAGGATGAGGATTGGGTGTAGGTTGGGGATGCAAGACCTTGCAGTATACCACTTGATGATTCTAACATCTCTCTCAGATGTTTTCCATGTTTTCCCTCAAGTCCCATGGTTTATCATGTCAAAAAAACTCCATATCGTCATATTGTGAGGGTTAATTCCCTTTTTCAGGTCTCCTTCTATAGCCCAGCTCCGAGGACGGCAAGGGGTTCATCTCCCGAGAGTCCTTGACGAAGTTGCTGGGCGAGGGAGCAGCAGAGGTGGACGAACTGCTACAGGAAGTGGACCCCAAAGCCACGGGTAAAGTGCCACCTGACCGCTTGACCTGGGTGGGGGATGGGAACCAGGCATGGTAAATGGTGTGGTTGCTTTGTTGCCTTCAATTTGAGGGTGCTCACTAACAGAGGCCTTTAGGCCCTAGCTAAACTATAAACTTATTTCATTCATATATCTGGGGATAGTTCTAAAACTTGGGATGGTAGGGGTTTGATGTAAGATTTTTGGGTGGAGGTGTGCGACAAGTTTTTTTTTTTTTGAAACAAGGGCTGATAGGCTGATAGGTGTTGAACATGCTTCGCAAACTGGATGGGAAAACTGGGAGAGGAATCTTTGAGAATGTAGCAGTCAAGATGGAGCATCCTCACATGAATGTCATGAATGGTTTAATTTTTTTCTCGTGAAGGGGTAGGCGTTTGACCACAAGTATCCACGAGTGGTGCAGAGATGGTGGTGGTCAGGATTGAGGATGAATTTATATTGCTTGGGAAGGAACCATGGCGACACACACACACACATTTCTAAGTGGATGCTCCGTATGTCGCAACCACGACACAAAGTATTTTCCTAAACTTGCCACACCTGTTGCGTGTACTGCTATCTAGAGTACATAGCAATGCGGTACTATAGTTTTTTTTTCTAGAATATATATATATATACACAGTAGTTTTTGGCAGGCGGTTGATACGGCGCCCTGTGAAGGTGTGTTGAATTTTGATATCCCCATATTTTTCGTATGTGCAATGTTTTAGGCGTCGTATCAACCGGGTGGGGTGGGGTGGGGTGGGGTGGGGCATGCTAACGTCATGAACGCTTGCGTAACATGTAACACGCCATGCTACGCTACGTCCATGTGCACTTGCGTTGCTACGCTGACCACGTTGCTAACACGTCTGCACGTTGCACGGGGGTGGGGTGGGGTGGGGCATGCTAACGTCATGTACGCTTGCGTAACATGAAACACGCCACGCTACGCTACGTCCATGTGCACTTGCGTTGCACATGTACTGCTACGCTGACCACGTTGCTAACACGTCTTGCACTGCCTCACATATATGATGCTACGCTGCGTCCTGCACTTCCTCACATATATGATGCTACGCTGCTGTAATATCGTCCTGCACTTCCTCACATATATGATGCTACGCTGCTGTAATATTGTCTTGCACTGCCTCACATATATGATGCTACGCTGCTGTAATATCGTCCTGCACTTCCTCACATATATGATGCTACGCTGCTATAATATCGTCCTGCACTGCCTCACATATATGATGCTACGCTGCTGTAATATCGTCCTGCACTTCCTCACATATATGATGCTACGCTGCTATAATATCGTCCTGCACTGCCTCACATATATGATGCTACGCGACCTCAGAGCCTTCAACAGAAATTGCAGTCAGGAGTGAATCCAATGAGGTTCAAATGGGCGTACTCCTATATGTGGAGACACAACGCCAAGTGTGAAAACATGCTGAATTTAAAGACTTTGAGCGACACCTTGTGGCGTTGAGTGAAAAAGATGCTGTCCGCAAGTTGTTCACATTATACAGACTCCAAAAAAAACGGTAATTTTTCCATTTTTTTTGGGACATCCGGATGTCAAAAATGAGCGTTTCGTTGAGGCGAAACGCACATTTTCAAATCACACCAAATGAAAACCTCAAAAATCAAATGTTTTTTTCCTCGCCCCTGATGACTAAAATTAGTATTTCGTTGAGGCGAAACACCAATTTCCACTTTGGAGTCATGCGCCTGCCATCGAAAAACGATCATGACTTTGAAATGTCCTTTTACAAAGTCCCACAAATACAACGTTTCCAGCTTTTGACGTGAAAATCTTAAAATTAAAATCGGCAACCCCTCACAGGGCGCCGTATCAACCGCCTACCTAGTTTTTCCCCAAAGATATCTGTAGTAAATGATACATCTCTTTTCTAATGGGTCTTGTGGCCCAGATATTTGGAACCCAGGTCCTACGAGCAGTTCGTGGCGTACCTCCGTAGTGGAAACGCACAGGCGGGCGGAGGATGTGACACCAATGTGAGGCAACTGATCCTCTTTCATTGCCCTCCAATCATTTAACATAACTATGGCATCTATGGCATAGATGACCATAGATGACCTGTTTGATAGATGATTTACCTATTGAACATGGTGGTTTTCCACATCAAACTATTAAACAACCAGAGGGTAGCAAGATAATTCTGTATTTTTGGCAATACAGTACCTGAGATGGTGGTTGATGCAAATTGGGTACCTCCACTACAACCGATACTATCCCTGTTCGTCGGGGTCTTTCCTGTGAGGACATGGAAGGCCTCCGGGGTTCCCTCGCCCAAAGGTTTGTGAATTTCTGTTGGTAGTGACCTTTTGGGTACCCTGAGATCTCACGGCTGACACGTCTCAGTTCTCAGGAGGAGCACATGGATGTCGTGAACCAGGTCATCGACGATTTGAAACGCGCCAGGAACCCAGCTGAGGTCGATTTCTTCCCATTTGTTGGAAGGAAAACAGCCCTCTTTTCCCCTACCAAGCTGGGGATCCTGTAGCTATTGGTGTCCCAACTTCTTCACCCATAGGGTCTGTTCAAACAGCCGAGGAAGACGCGGAACCTGTGAAGCGAAGACGCATCGATTCGAGTCCCTGAGTCCAAAAAAAGATGTGCTGTGCATTTGGCGCCATGGACTGCTTGGTTTGGGGAATAAAGTTGGACAGTAGTCACTGCTTGGTCTGTCTGAAAATGGGCCATCTATTTTCATTTTTGAGTATTTTTGAGTCATGACAATAGGCAAAATGAACCAATGAAGCACTGGATTTTGGGCGCCAGGAGAAAGGTGGCCCCCTTCGTCAAGCTACGGTCCCGCAGTTGCAATGGAGAGCCCAGGATTTGATGAAGCGAGGACTCCTCATGTTTTGGAACATAGGTGGCACAATAGGTGGTGCCTACTTAGCTAAGTTGGTTTATAACTGGTCAGTAACTAGGGTTTATGGTATAATTATGTATATATATATACATACATATATGTGCCACATATGTATGTATATATCTGTATATGTCTAAATAAATAAATATTATATATATATACGCGCAACGCCTGGGCTTTGTGCAGCGTAGAGGGTCTCCATTCTCAATCAAATGTTGTTGCAACTCTGCATTCCATTGGGAAGATCAACAAAGGTATTGGAATATTAGAATCCCACCCCCGCTTAACTTTACATTCATTTGGGAAGATCATCAACAAAGGTATTGGGGAATATTAAAATCCCACCCCCGTAAAACGTTACATTCAATTGGGAAGATCAACAAAGGTATTAGGGAATATTAAAATCCCACCCCCCGTTAAAATTTACATTCAATTGGGAAGATCAACAAAGGTATTAGGGAATATTAAAATCCCACCCCCCATGAAAAAAATACATTCAATTGGGAAGATCAACAAAGGTACAGTATTGGGGAATATTAAAGTCCCACCACCGTTAAACTTTACATTCATTGAAGATCTTCAATAAAGGTTTAATTCCCACACCTCCGTTAAGCTTCTACATTCATTGAAGTTCTTCAATAAGGGTTTAATTCTCCCACCCCCGTTAAATTTCTACATTCATTGAAGATCTTCGATAAGGGTTTAATTCTCCCACCCCCGTTGAACTTCTACATTCATTGAAGATCTTCAATAAGAGTTTAAGTCTCCCACTCCCGTTAAACTTCTACATTCATTGCAGATCTTTGAGAAGGGTTTAATTCTGCCACCCCCGTTAAACTTCTACATTCATTGAAGATCTTTGAGAAGGGTTTAATTCTCCCACCCCCGTTAAACTTCTACATTCATTGAATATTTTCGATAAGGGTTTAATTCTGCCACCCCCGTTAAACTTCTACATTCATTGAAGATCTGCAATAAGGGTTTGATGATGATGAAGAAGAAGAAGATGATGATGATGATGACGATGATGACGATGATGATGATGATGATGCCTTGCCTGTCGTGGTTGCGGTTCCGGGCAAAGCCCAGGCATTTGCCGTATATATATATATATATACATCTCTTATATATTTATGTATCGAAAATAAGTTAATGTGGTTTCTAAACCGACAAACATGATGTCTGAGGACACTACAGTACGCTGGCATCGCCATTTTGGGGCGACTCTTGACCGAGGCCTGCCCTGTGCTGGACATTCGACACCGTCCGCGCAGGAGTTGGGACACACGCGCAGCGCAGGCGAGAAATCCCAGTTGCGAAGGTTTACGGATTATGGAGGTAGTCAAATCCACAATAGTTCCACTAGATCCAGAATTGATTTCATTCACTGAGAGCAGCATTGTTCATAATTCAAAGCTGCAAATCCAGAATAGCCTTTATAAGTATTGACAATTGATCTGCAGTTGCGAAGAAGGTAGTTGGAGAGGTGGAGGTTTCTGGTCGTGATCGTGTGGCAGGTTGCGGCCAACCTCGAACGTTCCAAGGAGGGGGACCGCATGGGACATGATCACTTTGGAGCTGGAGGGAACCCACAGTTTTCGTAGATTAATTTGGGGATTTGATTAAAGCTGGCATTGATCATTGGATAGGCCAAATTTGCCAGAAGCCGCTCCTTTTCATCCCTCAGCTGCTCAAACGACAGAGATCGGCTTGGAGGGAGAAGCACTTCGCTGCAAGCAAGCGAATTGAAGATGTGCGTAAAGTTCTCTCATGTTCTCTCCCAAGCAATGTACAATAATTTCGAAACATGTTGAAACTAAACAAAGATTGCCACACCATTTCATGCAGTGAACTTAGAGATTTTCTCACCCAGATCCATTTGGACACCATTCACCATGCTCATGGCTCTGGCAGCGCTGTGTTTTTTCGCATCCGCAGCTAGCGCAGTGCCAGATGCATCGCTGGGCTCCAGTGTGCAATATCTCACCCAAGGGCTAGGTTGCCTGAATCGCAGGGGAGCTGGAGTCCCAGCTGGAGACCGATTTATGGAAAACGCCACGTTACAATGACAAACGTGATGATTTACCTATGAACAATGGTGATTTTCCATAACAATGTTAAATAACCAGGGAGGTCTATTTTTTTGGGAATGTTTTTTTTTCCCGTTTTCGGATTTTTCCTTGGATTTCTGTTTCCCTGCTTCTTTCCTTTTCTGCTTTTCCCTGCTTCTTTGCTTCTCTGCTTTTCTGCTTCTTTGCTGTTCTGCTTTTCTGCTTTCCCTGCTTTTTTGCTTCTCAAGCCTAAACAATCCTTAAGATAGACTGTATAAATAAACTCTAAACCACCCTACATGCGCCCCAAACCAACCCCAAAAAACCTAAAAAACTCTAAGTCAACCCTAAACAACCCCCAAATAAATCTGAAAACTTACACCAAATAGATCCTAAACCAACCCTAAATAGATCTCAAGCCAAGCTCAAACAAACCCTGAACCAAGCCTAAATAAACCTTAAAATAACTTTAAATAGATCCTCAACAAACCCTAAATAGACCTTAAACCGGGCTTAAACAAACCCTGAACCAACCCAAAAATAAACCTAAAACCAAGCCCAAAAAACTAAACCAAGCCGAAAACCAACCCCAAGCCAACCCCTAAATAAAGAAACCCCAAACCAACCCTAAATGAATCCTAGGTGCAAAATACAATGCGACATGAACAGTTCGAGCACCACAATGTTGCACATACCACGGAAAATGAGGGGTTCGAACTACAAAAGGTTGCAAAATGCCCTTGAAATGGCATTTTCCAGCTCTGCTGCAAATAGCAAGGGAAACGGGCAATCCAAACAAAAACCAAACGGAAAAAAAATAATTCCCAAAACAATTCCGGACCCTTCCCGAGGGTAGCCCAAATCACGATTCACCATTTTGTTCGAAGTCAAGTCCCACATGTCCCACACTTTTGCTCAAATATGGTTGGCAGGTCTGGCTCGACAGCGCCAAACACGGTTTAGTTGGCTACCTTCAGTCTTGTGCTGGCATTGCGCAAGCACTTCAACTTTGAACAGACCTTCACCTTCTACTTACAACCCCTTTGGTGGATAGAAAGACTGAAATGTGGTTCATAGCATTCATAGCCATGTTTATGACGCAGTTGTGAATGGGCTATCTCTAGTTGAAATGTCAATCCGGAATGAACAACCCCTGACGATTAATTGGGGGGGTGCCTCCAAAATGGTGTTTTGCTTGCTATTTAAATTGGTACCCCTATGAATAAATTGGGGGTTTAGCAAAATCCCGTGGGAACATTCGCAAATATCACATTGTTGGTTCTATACCCCATCATATTCCCATGATATCTCCATTTCTAGATTTGATATATGTTCCTCTTATCCTTCCCAGATATATTTTTCGTATTTTCCCTTACTAAATGCCGCTAAATCACATGAAATCCCAGTACTACCCTCTGGTAAACTAACGTAACTATGGAAAATCACCATGTTCAATGGGAAAATCCAATATTTCTATGGCCATTTTCAATAGCTACGTTAAATTACCAGAGGGTATTTGCATCAAAAATCGCTCAGGTTTCCAGTGCGCCCTACTGGCGACTCCCCGGGCACCGAGGGAAGTTCATTGCTGGGGTGTCAACGACCGAGGTGCGCAGCCAGGACAAGAGAAAATGAGTGGTTACTTGGAGGATCATCCCACGAACCGTAAACAAGTTGGAAAATGGGATATACAGTATATATATATATATATACAGTATCTATATATATATATACACATACACACACATATATATATACATATATACATATATATATATATTTATATATATATACTGTGAATCCATAACTGATCCCAGTCTGTTATCAGATGTTCACCAGCTTCCTTTCAGGGGATGATCATGCTTATTGCCATAGCCACTTTCGGCTGAGGCAGCCCGCGGAGGGTGGGTTTGAGGTAAGTGCTTGGGCCATAAGACTGAGGCCGGTCTTTCCATTGCTGTGGCCAGCAATTCATACCTGGTGCAACTACTGCCATCCACTGGCATCCGAGTTTTGCTGCCGTGCGGAGTTCCAAGATCGTTGTGCTGCGCTTGAGGGAAAACAAGGGCCTTCAGCTTGCATTTGAGATTTTGGAGATTGGCTGCCAGTGAAGAACCAAGTTCTCACTGGTAGCGGAGCTACCAACAACGCTCCAGGGCAATTTTGTTTCTCTGGTGAAAATATCGAGGGGTGACGCAAATGTCACAGGCTGCAGGTGAGACAGGGGAAGTTTCAAACAATGTCTCCAACAACCTGGCCACACTGGTTCCGAGTTTTGATCCCTCCAAGGATGACCTTGAACAATATACTCAGAAGGTAGAATTGTTGGGCGAAATCTGGCCTGCATCGAAACTGAATGAGTTGATTACCCGTCTCATGCTGAACACTACAGGGACAGCGTTCCAGAAGCTCCAGCTGAACCGTGACAAGCTTCTCACAAATGACAAGGCTGGAATTCAGTTGCTGGTGACCACACTTGGTGGTCAATGGGGCAAAGTGAATTTGGAACGTAAGTATGAAACTGTGGAAAAAGCACTGTTTAAGTGCGTGCAGCGGCAAGACGAGTCCAATGACTCCTTCCTGGCAAGATGCGATGTCAACTGGTCAGAACTTAAGTCCAAGAAGATCGATCTGGATGAGGTTCACGCCTACATCATCCTGCGAGGGTCCCTTCTGAGTACGGAAGACAAAAAGAGAGTGATCGTTGAGAGTGGAGCTGACAAAGAAGGTACGTTAACTGTGGACAAAGTGAGCAAGTCAGTCCGTATGTTGGGAACTGCTTTCTTCAATGAAATGATCGGACAGAAGAAGACCAAAGGTAAGATCTATGACAGTCAAGCTCTAGTTGTGGAGGACGATGATGAAAATCAACATGAGTCTCAGGTTTTTGCCACTGAGGAGATCACTGAGGAGGAGTTCTTTGAGAGCCTACTGCAAGAAGCTGACGAGGACGCAGCCCTCATCGCGGACTATGAGTCGGCGATGGCTGTCAATCTGATGAAGATCTTGCAGCTGCCTTTACTTCGTACTCCGAGGCTCGAAAAAGGCTTTCTGATCGATTCAAGAACAGGGGTTTCTGGCCGGTAGGTCCCAATAAGGGGAAGGGCAAAGGATACTCCAACAAGGGTCGTGGAAAGTCTTTTGGGAAATTTCCAAAGAAGTCCTTGCAACAACGAATACTCGAAAGCTCATGTAGAATCTGTGGGAAGAAAGGGCATTGGAAAGCTGAGTGCCCTGAAAGATCTAGGGGTAGCGCGTCCACCAGTGCAGCCGGAACATCAGCAGCGATGACCACCACTGCTGAGCCCCTTGATGATGCATCCGAGCCCAATGCCTTGCCAATGGAGTTCATGCAACTGCCTCTCATACATGAAGCCGCCCTCGATGAACCTAGCATGCATGAAATTAATGTTGTAACTGCCACCGAATGAAAGGGTATTGGGGGGTAAGGTTCAATAACCCGAAGAGTCATGGTCCGAGGAATGAAAACCTCGCCGAAAAGCACATGGAGATCCAGAACGACTGCAAACCTTTTGAACCGGAGATGATTCTTTTCTCCACCCATGGTACCAGTGGCATTCTCGACACAGGCGCAACGAAGTCAGTGATCGGCAGCAAACTGCTGCCAGCGTTCATTGAAAGCCTGCCGCATGATGTCCGAAAGAACCTTTTTCGAACAAAGTGTGAAATCACTTTCAGATTTGGTAATCAGGGAACTCTGGATTGCCAACAAGCCTTAGTAATTCCTCTTACTTCCATTGGTTTGGGTTTGAAGGTAGCTATTGTAGAGGGTGAAACCCCCTTGTTGCTTTCCAACACCTTGATTCGGACACTGAGGGCAAGGCATCAATAGTGAGCGTCAAGTCCTGTCAAGCCCCTTTTTGCACCGTGATGTCAAATTGCAATTGACCCCCAAAGGTTTGTAAATGCTGGATATTCGTGATCTAATCCAAGCACAGAAGGGGCCACACAGCAGGACCTCACCGTCCACTGCAGAAACCTTCGTGAGCAGCGATTTTTCAGAGTGCCAAAAGCCAGCAGTCGACCTTTCAAGTGCAGCCGAGGCCACAGGTATCCAGGTGCCAGTTTTGAAATCACCCAATGGTCCACAAACATGCAAAGAGGTGTATAGCAGCAGCCGATGCCAAGGGTTTGTAGATCAGCCAGTTCATGCCGAGATCTCCAGGCCCGAGACCACCTCAACCAAGTTCATTGAACTTGTACAGAGCCTTCAGGATCGCCAAAGCCATGAGCCTTGCCAGTCGAATGGACCGAGTCATGGCTCAAACATCTCCCGACGGAATAGCAGCCTTCGAGCAGATGACGTTAGAAGAGATGGGCAACTGCAAGATAGCGTTTGGAAAAGCGCATGTGGGCAAGTCATACCTCGAGATGTGGGAACAAGAGAAGTCGTGGATGAAATGGTTCATCCGAACCTACTCAGACAGCCAACGAGAAGAACACAAGAAGCTGATCATCTATGTCGAAAAGATGGTGCAACAGCTCGAGATCAGCAATGGTCTCCCAACCCTGGAGGAGACAGAGACGCAACAGGGGATTGTACAGCCTCGCTGCAAAGTACACCCCAAGGCCAAAGCGTCAGCCCGCATGACAAACCAGGCACACTTCGATGCCATGACCATCATGAGCGAAGATCCCAACGACCCATGGGATGTGATGGAACAGATCCACACCATGCCGGTGACCATGCAACACCAGGAAGACATGAACGCCATGCAGAACCGCGTTCTCGCCGTGGAGAATGCCCTGACAGAGATCCTGAGCCTCTTGCGTCCCGGGCAGTGAGAGATCCTATGGACCATTTGTGCTTGGCTGGAGACATGGATCAAGACTTTGAATCAATCAATTTCCATAGCAACCAAATGAATCACCGTCAAAAGAAATTTCAATCACTTGTCGACCAATTTGCCAAAGAAATGCAAGAAGTCTCATCGAAGCCAAGCATTCGTTCCGAGCCGATGGTACAGGTAATGGAAGTTCTTTGTGGTCCCCAGAGTGAACTCACGAAACAAGTGAACAACATGGGATACCGAGCTGTGAGGTTTGGGTATCAAGAAGGGGATGCAGCCACGAAAGAAGGAAGAGAATTGTTGTTTGCAAAGATCCATGCCTGTAGTCCCAAACATATCTGGTATAGTCCAACATGTGGGCCATGGTGCGCCTGGAGTCACTTGAACGAATCCAAAAGTGAAGCCAGTTTTCAGAGGATTCAAGACCTCAGAGATGAAAACCTGTATCAGTTGGCTTTAGGTTTGGTCTTGTACCGCCACCAAGTTTGCCGAGGATGTCACATGCATTGGGAGCAACCAGCCAAGTCAATCATGTTGAGGACCCCATTGTTAAAGGAGGTCATCCAAGGTACACAGGTCGCAGAGTTTGACATGTGCCGTGTTGGACTCATGAGGGATCCAGTCAACCAACTTTTGTACAAAAAGGGAATGGAGATTGCCACCACATCACAACAGTTTTACCTACAATTTCACGGTCGAACATGCAACCATCAACATGAACATCAACAACTAGCGGGTGAGACCACTGTCAGAGGTATCAGAATCAGAAGAACAGAATTTTCTGAAAGGTATAACCGAAAATTTGCTCGAGCTCTTGCAAAAGTCCTCACAAAACTCTCATGTGCCAAAGAGGTCCCATTTGCCTTTGCGAGTGCATTTGCCGTTGTGAACAAACGCAGAAACAGTGCTTCCAGTGCGCCTCCTCTGAAACGAGCCAAACTGAGAAACAGCGAATTGATTGAGCCTGCCGAAATGCCTGTCAAAAGAAGAAGAACTTCTGGAAAGACCCCAGAAGCCACAAGCATGAATAGCCTATGTGATCGCATTTGTTCTCAGATATCTCAGGTAGCCCCCCGAGTAGGTCGCAAAGAAATTGATCAGTCTCAAATACTTGCTGACCTCCAAGAGTTGTTCCATGAGAAACAAATTGTTCGGGTTGTTGCATGTAAGGGGACTGAGCGAACAATAATGCCACCAAAAGACTTAGTACCAGATGAAGCCCCTTTCCGAAGAGCCATCATAGTACAGAGAGTCACAAAAAAAGTCCTTGTGGAAGACCAATGGGAAGAGTGGAAATACCTCTCCAACAGGCAGCTATGGAGGCGCTCTCATCCATGTTTCCTGAATATAACAGTTTTTGCTCGCAATCCAGATGCACATGATCCCAGCGTAGCCAGCGTGAGAATTCAAGCATCCGAGCCAGCCACTGCAGACCAATCCCAGGCCTTGGAAAGGCCACATACTGACATGCCTGAATCAGGATCACCAGCAATGTCTCCAGCCGAAGAGACACCGAATGTCAGTCCAATGCAGAGGCCAAATCCAGAACCCGTCCAGGAACCACTAGACCCAAGTGCAATCGATGAAGCCAGCACTCAACATGGCCCGAAGTTCATGAGCATGAACCCTGAAAATAAGAAGATAGCCATCCGATTGCATAAGAATCTAGGTCACCCTGATCCTCAGAAGCTTAGCAAGGTTCTCCAACAGCGAGGATACAGCCCAGAACTTTATCAAGGGGTACTGGATTTGAAGTGCTCAACATGCCAGATGCAACAGTGTCCAAAGTTGCAGCGTCCAGCCACACTCAAGGAAGAACTGGAATTTGGGGATAAGGTATCTATTGATGGGGTTAAGTGGAAAAACCGACAAAACCAAGAATTCCTTCCATTTCTATCACTTCATTGATCATGGTACTAATTATCACACAGCAGTGATTGCCCCAAATCGAGCAGAAATTCAAGAAAGGTTCATTTCCGGATGGTTGAACTGGGCGGGCACCCCGAATACTGTCTTGATGGATTCTGCATCAGAATTCCTGTCGTCAAGCTTTCAGGAATACATGCAGAGCATGAATGTACAGTTTGTTGTAGTGCCGCCAGATGCTCACTGGCAAGTTGGACGCATTGAACGCCATGGTGGAGTCCTCCAAAACATGCTCGGAAAGTATGAACTTGAACATGATGTCACAAACTATCAACAACTTCAGCAAGCCTTGATGCACTGCACCATGGCCAAGAATGCGTGCGGTTTGAGACATGGGTATTCACCAGAAACTCTGGTGTTTGGCAAAGGCCTGCGAGTTCCCGGATCAGTAGTGAGTGACGATTCATTACCAGCACATGCCATTGCCAATGCAGAAGGTAATCAAGGTGTCAGGTTCAGAGAGCTCCTTGCAAAAAGGGAAACTGCTAGGAAGGCATTCCATGCAGCCGACAATGACATGTCCTTGCGAAGAGCCGCCCTGCGCCGAGATCGACCCTCAAGAGGTGCTTACGAGCCGGGAGAATGGGTGATGATTTGGAAGGTACACTTGAATCAAGGTTCATGGATAGGACCAGCCAAAGTTGTCATTCAAGAAGGAGCCACCACAGTTTTTTGCAATAACTCTGGGACCCTGATTCGTGCAGCACCTGAACATGTGCGTCCGGTGTGTGCCGTGGAAGCTCAGCTCATACCTTTGGAAGAACAATTGAAAATCATTCACAGTAACCCTACCACCATCAATACTCCGAATCTAAATCCCATTAACCCAAGAGCGACAGGCTCCAATGTGAATATCCCACCAGAGGATAACATGCCTACAACATCCGACAACCACCAAAGGACCCATAGCAATTCATCTTCAGATCAACCTGACCAAGAACCTGGCAATGCCAATACACCTCATGCTCATAATCCCAACTCCAATAGTCCCATCAATAATCCCGATAACCCACATGCACCAGAACTTGAACCACATGAAATTCCACTCCCTGATGAATCAAGCGATGAGCTAATGTGCGACCTGCTCACATGCATGGATGATGATCCAAATGAAAACGTGTGTCCAGAAGGGGATACATCTGTTTGGCGTGCCGAGCTGGAATTTTCCAAAGACCAATTGGAATCAACGTGCCAGTTTCAAGAATGTCCCACCGAAGAAGAGTTTTTATTTCTGGCTACCAACGCCAAGAAACAGAGAACTGAAGTCAAGCTGAGCACCCTGACTCCAGAGGAACGTTTGGAATTTGAGAGCGCGAAAGCAAAAGAAGTTCAAAACTGGCTCCAAACAGGAACCGTTGAGAAGATGTTTAGACATGAGTTGTCTCCCAGCCAAATCTTGAGATGCCGCTGGTTATATGTTTGGAAGCCCCTCACAGAGATTGCCGACCAACAGGCCAATGGTGGAAAAATGAGGAAAGCTAAAGCAAGACTGGTAGTTCTCGGTTTTCAGGACCCCCAATTAGACACGATTCCAAGAGATAGTCCAACTTTGGGAAGAACATCAAAAATGTTGATTGCTCAAGTCATTGCTTCAATGCGATGGACACTCATGTCATTCGACATCAAAGCTGCGTTCCTTCAGGGAAAAACTCAGGAAGGTCGAGTGATTGCAATCGAACCTGTTCCCGAGATGAGTGACGCAATGCAGCTCAAAGCCACTGAAGTTTGCCGGTTGGTAAAATCCGCATACGGGTTAATTGATGCTCCGTTTCTCTGGTTTACTGAGTTGGATAAGACCCTAAGGACCCTCAACTTCATCCCATCCAATTCGATCCATGTTTGTACCTTTTATATAAAGAGAATACCAATGAACTCTCTGGAATCTTAGGTGTACATGTCGACGATGGTTTGTGTGGAGGAGATACCTATTTCCTAGCCCAACTCAAAAAGCTTGAGACCAAGTTCCCGTTTGGATCCAAAAAGTCCCAAAATTTTGTGTTCACTGGAATTGAATCGACTCAAAACAATGATCACAGCATAACTATGTCACAAGAAAAATATATCACCAAAATAAATCCCATCCACATTCAACCACAAAGAAAAGCGCAGCTCGACCTACCAGTGACCGAACGTGAACGCCAAGATCTCCGGGCCTTGATCGGATCCCTTCAGTATGCATCAGTGAATACAAGACCTGATCTCTCCAGTAGACTCAGCTTTCTTCAAAGCGACATCAACAAAGCAACCATTGAAACTCTCATTCAAGGAAACAAAGTCCTTCATGAAGCCAAGAGACACAAAAACACCACCATAAGAATCCAATCCATACCGATGGAAAGAATAAGGGTTTTGGCCTTTTCTGACGCATCGTTTGCATCCCAAAAACAACCAGAGTCACATGATCATGGCAACACACGAAGATATTGCCAAAAATCATGTATGCCCCGTAAACCCAATCAGTTGGGGTTGCAAGAAAATACAACGGGTCGTAACCAGTACTTTGTCAGCCGAAACAACATCTCTCAGTACCACTCTCGATCAACTTTCATGGCTTAGGCTATTCTGGAGTTGGATCCGAAATCCCAAAACAAATTGGAAGAACCCTACAAGTACCCTCAAAACTTTACCCCCAACGTATGCCACTGCCACTTTCAAAGCTGATCCATCTATTGCCGTCACCGACTGCAAATCACTGTATGACCTTGTGACAAGGACGGCACCCCCTGCGTGCCAAGAGTTCAGGACACAATTGCAGGCACGTGCAACCAAAGATTTCTTAGCTGAAGGGACGACATTGAGGTGGGTACATAGTGGTGCTCAGTTAGCAGACGCATTGACCAAGATCATGGAGAGCCACTTTTTACGCCACACCCTCCAGCTGGGCCAGTACAGCCTTCAAGATGAGAAGGAAATCTTGAAAGAACGTGCATGCACTCGAAACAGAATCAAATGGCTTCAATCAAATCAAGAAATCGAAGAAACAAAGTCTTGAAAAATCCTCTTTTGGGAGTGTGAATCCATAACTGATCCCAGTCTGTTATCAGATGTTCACCAGCTTCCTTTCAGGGGATGATCATGCTTATTGCCATAGCCACTTTCGGCTGAGGCAGCCCGCGGAGGGTGGGTTTGAGGTAAGTGCTTGGGCCATAAGACTGAGGCCGGTCTTTCCATTGCTGTGGCCAGCAATTCATACCTGGTGCAACTACTGCCATCCACTGGCATCCGAGTTTTGCTGCCGTGCGGAGTTCCAAGATCGTTGTGCTGCGCTTGAGGGAAAACAAGGGCCTTCAGCTTGCATTTGAGATTTTGGAGATTGGCTGCCAGTGAAGAACCAAGTTCTCAATATACCTATATATATATATATGTATTGTAAAGGGGATAATCTGCTGAATGGGGACTTAGAAATCAGAGTAATATAAACACTGACCAAGTGGGATGATCTTTCAAGTAGGTATACCATGGGCATGGCAAACCCCAAATAGAGAATAAGAAGTTGAACATTGTGGAGGAACCAGAATCTATAGTATAACATCCTGAAAACACAAAAATCAGCATCTTTTTTGTGGATGTAACATTTGGGGATATGAAAAAAAAGGTAATTGTTGCTACACACTTACCAACTCGTGGGGGATATCAATGCGGATATGCAGATTTCCCAAAGCTGAGAGGGTTTTGGGCGGCCTTTTGGGCCCATTTTAAGAAACATCCGTATCAATCTTCAAAAGTGAGGATAGACCCCCCTTATAGTTACCATATGTTACCATAGTTGTCCCAATTTCCGCTTGACCAATTTAATTTGGCATTTTTTTCTTAAGCAGTCTGGGCAAATGATGGTGGATCTTGAATGCTGCAGCCCTCGTCTTTCAGGCCTTGGATTTGGTCAATTTGGTGCAGCATCCAACTCATGGCAGAAAAATTTCACCCAGCGATAAGTAAGGCCATATCCACCTGGTGATCAGTAAATGGGCTGTAATTGCAATGGATCGACAATGATTGACCACATTTACTGATTATTTAACTGCAAATGATGCATCGAGCATTTTCTGTCGATGAGTCGATGAGTATTATTTTCCAAGAACAATCTCTCCTGTAGAGCGGAAATGAATAGATCCACTGTACATTCCACAGGGATTTTTGGGGGTGTTTATTTGGGAGGAAGGAACATTAAACCAACTCATGGTGATTTCATAAACCAGTTATTGAGGTTTTGTCTGGGAAAGGCTCCGACAGTCTTCCATTTATGAAGGAAATTTGAAAACATCACTGGCTTTACCTGGCTCTGGTGACTTTGCCGGCAGGGCAGCTTGGTCAAGGGGATACCACTGCCCGACCCTTGAAGCAGGCCTGGGGGTATCATTGCTGGGTTGTAACCATAGGTTCAGTGTTATTGGCAATATGTAGATATTCCATAGGTTAGTAACCAAAGGTTACAAACACTATCAGAATCATATTACAACTTACGATTTAGAGGATGCACCTCACTCTATCCGAAGTGCGTTTTTCTGTTTGACTATTCTGGTGTCTCCATGTTTTTGTTGGAATATATTGCCCAGAAAAGAGGATATCTGACAGCTGTACATGTCTTTTTTAAATGGTGAAACCCCAAAATTATTCAAGGATATCCAATGTAATTGTGATGGACTTCCCAATTTGTTTTGGGGGTACCCAATTTTTCAGCATCACCCAACTCGTTTCGGCTCAATCGCTCGGTTCCCCCAACGTTTTTGGTTCCCCCGGCCAGGAGAGGGTCTGGCTGGGCGGAGCTGTGCAGAACATCACCAGCGGATCCCATCATAGCTGCGGGCTGCTGATCACCGGAGAGGCCCCAGGGGATTCTTCAAACACAAAGCCGGGCGTTGGGAGTCAAAACAGTTGGTAAATGGATGTTCATCCCACAATTTGGTATGGTTTTTTATATGTTTCGATCCATGCACAGTTCATCAAGCAGCTTCAAGGAGTTCTGTTTGTGAAGATTTGAAGATCCTAGTCTTTTGAATGTGGGCCTTGCTGAAATCAGGTGAAGTGCTGGGGAGCCAATTCCCGTGGCCAGCTGGGGACGGGCGACACCTTGAATCGCGGAGACGAGGCGAATGAGATGGGAGACTGGCTCATGGCGGCAGCTTGGCTGTGGGATCCAACATTTTCTCCGTTCCTTTCCCCTCAAATAGTGCTGAAAATGGAGCCCCACATAAATAGATCCAATACTAAAGAAGGGTTCGAGGTATTTGATGCCGAGAGGAAGGGAGTAGTATTAGCACGCTTGTAAACGTGGCTCGAAATTGCATCAAACACAAAACACCTTGTGGACATGTTTACGTCGTAAACTTTACGACATGGAGTGGCAAACTGGTGGTGGATGATATCCCTGAAGCCAGATGGTAACTAGCAGAGATTCCTAAAGGGGTATTCCCAGGAATATCTGCAGTTGGATCTTTTTCTTCCTAATTAGTCTGCCCGTACGCCCCTGAAATTTATTGGTTGGAACCGAAGAAAGACAGTTTCAACCGCAAAATCTTGCGATCAAAGGTCCCATCCCCCATTTGTGTCACAATCCCCCTTGCTGATCCTTGCTGTAGTTTGGTTCTATGTTGGCCATAGCACCACCTTTGATCCCATCTTGTCCAGCAAAAATCCTTTTGCTGTTCAACTTCACCATTTTTAGCTTCAACCACAACAAAATATCAACACATCATGATTTTTGCTGTTCAACAGTTCTTCATTTGTTTCATCATCTTCATCACTTTTCATTGGATCCCAATCAAAAACTAGACGACGGATGGCCCGAGAGCGTAGAGGAGCAGGTCTTCTCTTGTTAGTATGGAGACACCATATTAGAAACAATATATTAAAGATGTGTTATAGGCAGTCGAGAAGAGGAGTATTAAGACAAAATAGCAGAAGTGCAACACAATAGTTTGCATCGCAAACACGCACAGACCCTTTTACGCACAGACGCTTGTACACACAAAAGCTTTCACACACAGAAGCTTTTACAGACAGACACTTTCACACACAGACCCTTTTACGCACAGACGCTTGTACACACAAAAACTTTTACACACAGAAGCTTTTACACACAGACGCTTTTACACAGACACTTTTACACACAAAGCTTTTACACACACGGACGCTTTTACAGACAGAAGCTTTTACACACATACGCTTTTACACAGATGCTTTTACACACAGACACTTTTACACACAGACACTTTTGCACACAAAGACTTTTACACACAGACGCTTTTACACACAGACGATTTTACACACAGACGATTTTGCACACAAACACTTTTACATACATACACTTTTACACACAAACACTTTTACACATAGATGCTTTTACACGCAGAAGCTTTTACACGCAGACGCTTTTACACACAGAAGCTTTGACACACAAACGCTTTTACACAGAGACGCTTTTACGCACAGACGCTTTTTACACATAGGCTCTTTTACACACAGACGCTTTTACACACAGACGCTTTTACACACAGAGACTTTTACACACAGACGCTTTAACACACAGCCACACAGAAGCTTTTACACATAGACGCTTTGACACACAGGCACTTTTACACAGAAACACTTTTACATACAAACACTTTTACACACAAACACTTTTACACATAGACGCTTTTACACGCAGAAGCTTTTACACGCAGACGCTTTTACACACAGACGCTTTTACACACAGAAGCTTTGACACACAAATGCTTTTACACACAGACGCTTTTACACACAGACGCTTTTACACACAGACGCTTTTACACACAGACGCTTTTACACACAGACGCTTTTTAGACACAGGCTCTTTTACACACAGAGACTTTTACACACAGAGGCTTTTACCCGCAGAGACTTTTACACACAGACGCTTTTACACACAGAGACTTTTACACACAGACGCTTTTACACACAGACGCTTTTACACACAGACGCTTTTACACACAGAGGCTTTTACACTCAGAAGCTTTTACACGCAGAAGCTTTTACACACAAACACTTTTACACACAGACGCTTTACACACAGACCCTTTTACACACAGACGCTTTACACACAGACCCTTTTACATACAGACTCTTTTACACACAGACGCTTTTACACACAGATGCTTTTACACACAGAGACTTTTACACACAGGCGCTTTTACACACAGACGCTTTTACACACAGACGCTTTTACACACAGACGCTTTTACACACAGACGCTTTGACACACAGACGCTTTTACACACAGACGCTTGTGCACACAGTCTTTTACACACAGACGCTTTTACACACAGAAGCTTTTACACACTAACTCTTTTACACACAAACACTTTTACACACAAACACTTTTACACACAAACACTTTTACACACAGAGACTCTTACACACAGACGCTTTTACACACAGACAAGTCCGGCACAAGTAAAATCGCAATTTTTCCTCAGTTTTTGCCGATCGACCCTCATTTCGTGGGAAAGGGTTGCTCCGGCACAAGTAAAATCGCAATTTTTTCCTCAGTTTTTGACGATCGACCTTCATTTCGTGCGAAAGGGTTGCTCCGGCACAAGTAAAATCACAATTTTTCCTCAGTTTTTGACGATCGACCTTCATTTCGTGCGAAAGGGTTGCTCCGGCACAAGTAAAATCGCAATTTTTCCTCAGTTTTTGACGATCGACCTTCATTTCGTGCGAAAGGGTTGCTCCGGCACAAGTAAAATCGCAATTTTTTCCTCAGTTTTTGACGATCGACCTTCATTTCGTGCGAAAGGGTTGCTCCGGCACAAGTAAAATCGCAATTTTTCCTCAGTTTTTGACGATCGACCTTCATTTCGTGCGAAAGGGTTGCTCCAGGGCAAGTAAAATCACAATTTTTCCTCAGTTTTTGACGATCGATCCTCATTTCGTGCGAAAGGGTTGCTCCAGGGCAAGTAAAATCACAATTTTTCCTCAGTTTTTGACGATCGATCCTCATTTCGTGCGAAAGGGTTGACGTTTCGTGACTCACCGCCGGCACCACCCTCGGCCTAAAGAGAGAAAGATAAAGAAGGCGAGAGAGAGAAAAGGGAGAGAGAAAGGAGAGAAGATGTGAAGATGAGAAGATGTGAAGAGGAGCAGATGTGAAGATGAGCCGATGTGAAGATGAGCAGATGTGAAGATGAGAAGGTGTGAGAGAAGGTGTGAAGATGAGAAGGTGTGAAGATGAGAAGGTGTGAAGATGAGATGTGAAGAAGAGCAGATGTGAAGATGAGCAGATGTGAAGATGAGCAGATGTGAAGATGAGAAGGTGTGAAGATGAGAAGGTGTGAAGATGAGAAGGTGTGAAGATGAGATGTGAAGAAGAGCAGATGTGAAGATGAGCAGATGTGAAGATGAGCAGATGTGAAGATGAGCAGATGTGAAGATGAGAAGGTGTGAAGATGAGAAGGCGTGAAGATGAGAAGGTGTGAAGATGAGATGTGAAGAAGAGCAGATGTGAAGATGAGAAGGTGTGAAGATGAGAAGATGTGAAGATGAGAAGATGTGAAGATGAGAAGGTGTGAAGATGAGCAGATGTGAAGATGAGAAGGTGTGAGAGAAGGTGTGAAGATGAGAAGATGAGATACAGACCCCCACTATTGGAAGAACCCTGCGCTCAGACGCTCTCGGGAAAAATCCAAAAAGATCCACATGATCTTTCCGTCCTACTCCCCCTTTTTTGGGACGCCTTTTAAAACCCCTTAAGGTGCAGCTGGGGGGCCCGGCCGTCCAAGTGGCGGCCGGTGCGGAGCACAGCTGCGCGCGGATGGTGGATGGTACCCTGGGGCAATTGGAGGATTTTTCAGCAGAAAAGCTGGAGGGAAAAAACATATAGATTGGAAAGCTGATTAACCATGATATATTATATAGATATTATATCACTATTATAATCAAAATTTTTGACCCTCCATTTTTTCGAAAGCTGAAGAATTGTGGATCCAGTAGGCATTCAGTAGGCTGTGGCCTTGAGCCATGCTTGGCAGGGGGTGAGCCATCTTGATTTCAGGAACTCACGTTTGAGCTGGGATGGATTGAATTTGAGACATTGGATTCATAACATGGGTCATTCCTTCCGTATTCAACCCATTGATGTGTGTCCGAATCACCAGCAGGTTTTGTGGGCCATTTTAGGCGAAGCGAAACATGGAAAACGTCCCAGAGTTCTGAGACGTTCGAATGAGAACTAATTTGCGAAAGGAAAGGCAACCCTACTTGGTGGTTCATCCCACTTAGTAAGTGGGTTATAACCCCAGTTATAAATGGGATAAGTAGGGTTAATCCACTTATAACCGGGGTTATAACCCACTTACTAAGTGGGATGAACCACCAAGTACATACTCCCTCCATTTAATTTCGAAACATAGCAGGATGTTGAACGCATCCCTGTGAGATGCAGGCTTGTTGTTCCCATGCTGTCCTGCCTATGCCAACATCCCAGGCAGTGTCAAATGCTGGGGAGCTAACAGCCAGGGCCAGGCCCGTGCCGCTTGTGGGAGGTTGAGGGGTTTTGCTTCTTTTGGAGACTGAGCCGCATCACCTTTCGATACTTTGTGGTTGGAAAATTTGGTGATGTTTGCGGAGAACCTTGCTTACAACATCTTACAACCCAGTTGTGAACGTGATATGCCCATAAAACCATCATATTTCCCTGGACTGATCTCCAGCAGGGGCCCATCCAGCCCTAAAAAAGTAGCCTCTGGTTATTTGTTACACTTCGCCATGGTTTTTCGATGGCCCTAATCGAAATAGATGGTTGACCTGGGTTTACCTAGCTATAAAATGGTGGATCTTTCCATGTAAATCACCATTTTCCCATGGTTTTCCCATGGTTTTCCTATCAAAAACGGCGAAATCTGATGCGCTGAAGAGGCCTTGTCCTCGCAGCGCTGCGTCTCCATTGGCACCATGCCCTGGGAGATGGGAAATGCCCTGGTGTCTTGGATCCAACTGTCACGAAAACCATTGAGACCCATGGGGACCACCAAAAATTGGCTGAAAATGGGTGAAGGACCTTCCAATTTGATGGGTTTTGGGTTTTAGAAGCTCATTTTCCCCATGAAAAAGTGGCTATGACTGATTATGACTGGGGGTATGCCGGGTATGCCAATTTTTTGGACACACCCATCTGCATATCTTTATGGGATTGGGTGAAAAAAATGAGAAAAGACAACAACCAGCAATTAGCAACGGAGCTTTGGTGATGGCAGGTCGAACTCCACCTGTGAAAAAACTTGGGCCACTGGGTGGAGTCACCTCTCAATTGCTGACTGATCGGTAAAATGCGGCCTGCCATTGTCTGGAGGGATTCCGTACTCAATTCAATCAACGCCTTTCGCTTGAAAGCTGGCAGCCCCAGCACAACGGACTAATTCAGAGGGATTTCATAATTAATTCAACCCTGAGCTGCAACAGGTTGATCCAGAACCGATCGTCCGTGTATGCAACACATACACCCGATTTGATGCGGCAAACAATGGATCCTTGAACAAGGCATCTGGGCATTTTGACAGGATAAAAACCCTTGATTTAGCAGCTGAAACCACCAGCACAATCGCAAGCTCTCGTGGCTCAATTTTTTGCCCGAACCTTCAGCCTTGGAGCATGTTGCGTGTGTCTTCAGCCGCGTTGCCGAGAAGTTGGAGATGATCACACAGGCAGGTCTACCCTTGATATCCTTGGGCTGAAAAAGTACCTCTCGCACCAAGTTGGTTGCTCCAGATTCAGACAAAGAATTCTGAATGGAAGTGCTGGAGAACTTTTTGATGATCGGGAGATATGTGCCCCTGTGGGTTTGCAAATTGTGATTCTGGTTTTTTGGCCATCGGACGAACATGAAGATGCCACATTCGTTGCTGCGTGCCAGCAGAGTGAGCTTGAGCGAGTTGAGGGGATGCTTCAACGACCACAGAACCCCGATGTGAGAGATCGTGATGGCTGGCCAGCCGTACGCTTCGCGGCACAAATGGGCACCGCGAGCTGCATGGAATTGTTGCTCGAGTCTCGTGCTGATCTTGAAATTAGAGCCACAGAGGATGCCTCAACAGCTTTGCATTACGCAGTCTTCAATGGTCATCCCGAAGTAAGATGCTGTTGGATGCAAGTGCTGACAGAAACAGTGCATTGGAAGAAGGAGCAACAGCATTGCATTTTGCAACTGAGGGAGGCCACTTGGAAATGGTACGGTCGTTACTAGATGCTAGTGCTGACATGAATAGTGAAACAACAGACAGCTTGACCCCTCTGCATCTTGCAGCTCAGGAAGGCTACTTGGAAATAGCACGATTGTTGCTTGATGCTGGTGCCGACAAGAACAGTGCTAATGTCTTTGCTGCTGCGTGGTAGAGCTAAGTTTTGGAAGAAGTAGCAAATGGCTGTACACCTCTGCATCTTGTCACAATGACGGGCTGCTCAGAAATAGCACATTTGTTTTTAGATGCCGGTGAAGGGAAGAACAGTGCAACCAAAGATGGCTTCACCCCTCTGCATCATGCAACTGAAAAGGGCCACTTGGAAGTAGTGCGGTTGTTTCTCTTGTCAGGTGTTGAGACAGACCGGAAGACAGCACGTGGTCTGACAGCTTTGCACCTTGCAGTGCAGCATCAGGAGGTGGGAGTGGTTAATTTGTTGCCCAAATCCGGCGCTCATGCTAACGCTGAGACGGATGCTGGTGAAACAGCTTTGCACTTGGCTATCGAAAACGGTTGCTTGGAAATGGTTCGCTTGTTGCTTGCATCCGGAGCTCACATTGCTCCGGCTGATGTGGATTTGGCACGTCGATGGCCAGAGGTTCAGGATCTGTTGATTAATCTATAGATTCTGAATGAATTTGGATGGATTTCGCGTGCTGCGACAGCCGGAGAAAAAGAGTTCTACTATGCGATTCCCGACAGCAAGCTGTCAACCATTGCGCAAGTGGTCAGAAAGATCAGAAAGGAATGTGGTCGATCTCGTTCAGCATCACTTAGCTGTCGGTTCAGTGAGATGGAGGGAGCTTTGAGTAAGTTGTCAACCCTTCCCAGGGGGCAAGGGGGTTTCCAGTGGGACCTTCCTCATCTAGGTTTAAGACCGCCCAGGTGGCTGAGAAATTGCCGCGAAAAGCTGTCAACATCCTTGCGGGACTATGGCACCTGGGCTGCAGATGGGATTTGGATGGGTTTAGGTCAGATTCTTCGGTCTTGGAGTCTTGGATTTCCATTTTTATCTCCCAGATAGCTGGGTTCCAACCACATTCGTAGGTGTTGACTTAAGATATGGCAGATCATTCAGACGCTTGGGATGGTGCTTCGACACCACTGGAAGCAGCAAACACAGGGGATTCTGAGGATTGAACAGCAACGGCGGCAACAACCGACCACACTTGGAATGAGGAAGACCTGGGGGCAAATACAGGTCTCCCAAACAGCGTTTTGATGCCCCAGAATTCATGATGGCTTCTGGAAGTGTCGACCACGACTGTTTGATGGGTTTCAAACAGTTTCGATTTTCGCTATCTGGATAATTTGTCCGTACTCGATGATTGGTGTTTTTGAAGGATGTTCAAAACACCAAACGGGAATATCTGCCATGCGAAAATTGATCCAACACCAACTCATCAGTACAATTAAAATCAGTATCATCATGTTGGCCGGTGACATGCCTATTCTACTGTACCCATTTCTACCCAAATTCTGCACCATCATTGAACCTTCACCTCTTCGCAAGTTTTGGGCACCACTCCAAGGCACACCTGTGCGATTTTGGACGACAAGACGTCCAAATGCTGGGGCTCAGTCAATCCGGCGGATGCCTGAGGTCCCCTGGTGATGTACATAGACCAAGCACCTGACCTTGGAGAAATGGAGCTGGGTCAAGGTGCTTCATAGGGAAACAAACATCCTGATAACTATCCAGTTGTAGGACATGATTTGAGAAGTTGGTATCGAAAAATGCGTATCGTGACAGGTCTTTCATGATTGATAGCCACACCATCAGATTGGTTCCCTTGGTATCAGATGGTATCAGATCCAAAGGACCAGATGCAGTTGCGCTGTCGGCGCTGTCACCACCGATTTTTTTTTCGACAGTTTCTCACTGTCCAATCACAGTGGAGTATCTATGAGAGAGTCACGACTGTCCACTCAAACCTCTTCTTTTTCAATGTTGTACAACAACTGCAACCCATTTTTTGAGACATCCAAGTGATAAAGCTCTACGATTTTTCATCCCCAGGAAACTGGTGACAGCACACGCTATGCGCCAACGGGAATGCAAAAAGTCAAAAAAAAGACGCAGGTTGCCAGCATCTGCGCAACGGGGATTTGTTTGAGGCCCTCAAAATTTGCAATTTACATACAATTTTTTTTGGTGTTTTCCCAAGTTATTCTACAAGTCATCCCAATATGATCCCATTATTTTCAACTGATAGAGATAGTAACACCATGAATGGTATAGCCTCTGCTCATCCCATGGGGTGGACATCTGGTCACACTTGAATCACTTGATATGCATCGCAGGAATCGCAAATGGATGACAGACTTGGATAGATAGATAGATAGATAGATAGATAGATAGATATATATATAATATACATATCTGGAATTATATATATATATATCTGGTTGGTGGTTTGGAACATTTTTATTTTTCCATATATTGAGAAGAATCAAGCCAACTGACGAAGTCATATTTTTCAGAGGGGTTGAAACCACCAACCAGATATGTATAAACATATCTGGAAATTGTATTTCCATCATCATCACCGCTGAACTGGAGATTCAGAGATGATTTCCCTAGTCAGAAAGGTTGTCCTTGGGCGGGCCCCTCCAGGATGCCTTAGCGCAGCGTCGCGCTGAACGCGAAGATCGCCGCGCGGATCGCGTTGCTGGTGCGAAACCGAAAGAGAACGCGGCCATCGGCAAGGCATGGGGGAGATTTCGCCAACAAAACCGGGGGATTTGACCAAGGACCGGCAATCATTCGGCAATGGGAACTGAAAAAGGGGTTCCTTTGTAACAAAAAACCTGTCTCTACACTTGTTTTTTTTTCAGCTAACCAAGTAAGATTACCAAAGGGCAGCATGGACCCCCATTTGATAGCCTTGATTCCAGTTCGAAAATCAGCATTGTCCAGAGTCCAGACCCATTCGTTTTTTTGCTTTTATATGTCAATTTCCAAGGAAATAAACACGTCTCCCCTTTTAACCCACACACAGGCGAGACTGGAGCAGCAGGCTGGCCCCACCTCTGCAATAACCCACAGGATCCATAGGTTTATCTTCTCAAATCAACTTCAAATCAACTTCAATTCTCATCAATTCTCATGTTTTTCTTGCCAAAAAACTCAATTTTCCATCCTTTCAGGTGATAATTCTCAATTCTGGGCTGCTTAAATCTCAATTTCCATCAGGTGATCTCCACAGCTGGGTGAGCTCCCCATGGTCAGGTGGACGCCTCAACTCAGGCGGCCATGGCGTCCACGGCCGAACTGCGCAAGGCGCTGCAAGCGGAAGTGGCGAAGGTGGAGCGAGGCGAGAAGGCACTGAAGGAGAACAAAGAGGAGATGGACGTGAAGTACCTTGGATTGGGAGATCTATGGAGATCTACACCTTCAATGTCTTCATGTGTACTAATTATAGTACTATTGATGTACTATGTGTACATGTTTTTTTCGTGAAAGTGAAGTACCTTGAATTTTCATCACCACACTCCATAGTTTCCACGGGATACCCCGAATTTGCCATGGAGTTTGATGGATGTTGTGTCACCTGGGCCTTGGATCAGGAACCGATACCAATTTCGGATCCCAAAGGTGCCGATTTCAATCAATTGGTCGTTTTATATGATTGGATTAAACTTAAATGAGGACGATTCAATATTGATTGATAAAAAAAGAACATGTTTTGGTAGGATAATCCAAAGGTCGAAGCCAAATTCATGGAACACAGTTGTAAGTGGGACCGAAAAAAACACACCCTGGGCATCCTCAGTGGCGGGCGAATCCTCTCTTTAGATGATAACGTCGCCATGTGTGCATGGATTTAGATTTCAGATTCAGAAAAAAACACTATCGATCCGAAGCATTTCTTCACCATCCGAAGATTGAGCAGTTCATTGGGGTAGGGTACCCTCAGCTGGTCCCATACAGCCTGGTGCCCGTGGGGGTGAACCCTGTGGCTCGAGGTTCGCGGCTCTCCGGAAAGACCTCGTTGCGCGTGAGGAGAATGGAGAGCAGTTGGCTCAACAGGTGGCGGTCCCCCAAAAGACGGAGTGAAGCAGTGAAGCAACATCTAAATCAGCAGAAAAAAGTTTTGGGCACCATTGTTCTATGGATTTCTGAAAGACCCCTATGAAGCTATAAAGCAATGAATGTGATGTTGTAGCCAGTACAACGGAGTTCTTTGGTGAAACCGCGAAGAATAGAGGGATCTTCAAGCAATCTTCGAGGAATTCTCACCAAACTTTCGATTTTTCTGAGCCAAGGCCCAGAAAAATCCCCAAGTTCCAGGGAGCTTCCAAGAAACAGGTTTTCCTATGGTTTTCCCATGATTTTCCTATGGTTTTTCCATGGGTTTCCCCCATCTTTCCCCAGATGACCAGCGCCGAAGCCGCCGCAGCCGAGCTGCGCAACAAGTTGCAGGGCCAGGAGGCGCAGGTGGTGCGCAGCCAGGCGGAAATGGCGAAGGCGCAGAGAGGAGAGAAGGAACTGAAGGAGGAGATGGAAGCGAAGCATCTGGGATTTACTGGAAGATTTGCTGGGATTAAGTGGGATATATTATGATATATATATATGATATATATATATATATTATAATATGTATATATATAGATTAATATGATTTAATGGAAGTGAAGCACCTTGGATGAAAAGTGATTTAGTGGGCCAGTCTACTTGTTGTTTTCTGGATTCGACAAAAACCGATGAGTTGATGATCCCTGTTTTGATTCATGACTTAGATCTGAAGTGGCTACCCTCTGGTAATTTAACATAGCTATTGAACATGGCCATTTATAGTGGATTTTCCCATTAAAATTGGTCATTTTCAATAGCTATGTTAAATTACCAGTGGCAATCCGCAGATTTTGCATTTGGTTTTGAATTTTGACCTTTGACATCTTTGTTTTGCTTTCAGCTTCATTCTTTTTTGCCATGTTTGGGAGATGTAGAGTTGCGAATGGACTACAGGGATTTCCAGGTGGATCTGCAGTTTCTCCAGTTTTGAGGTTTGCGGCTCTCCAGAACGAGCTTCATACCCGTGAGGAGAGGGGGTATTTAGTCGCTGGTCCTGGTAGATGAATTCGATTGAATTCGGATCTAGAGGTGGTTTCAAGTCAACAGCTGACTGATTCTCTGGAATATCAGGTCATGAAGCAGCTACCATAGGCCTTTCAAAGCACATTTCATAGCCCTACTGGGTACAGTAGCACATGATTGGGTTTGCCTGCAGCACCCGACTGATTGACCCTTGATTCTCCATGGGTCGTAAACTATTTGCTTTTTTGCATTCAATAGCTGGAGGCCGAACAAGTACCAAGAAACACTGGAATCATCTTCAATAATCTTCAGCACAAACATCATTTTCAACCCAAGAATCATCTTCCGGCCCCATTGTTGGAGTGCCTCCGAGTTTTTACGTAGCGTTTTTCTGTTGGTCAGAAGTTGCCCAGCAGGAATTGAGTTCTATGTTGGAGGCTGGGTGGATACCTTGAAGCAACAGGTTCAGCATCCCTTACCCCTAATATTAAACACCCCCCAATAACCATGGTTCAATAGGGAAATGACATATTTGGGACCATGGAATGGAAGGGTGTTTAATGTCAGGGGGATGGCATTCTTCCGATGTCTTGAAGGACTTTGGACCGATGATTTCTTGCTTCCCCCTAAAACACGCAAACTTCCCATGTTCGAGATCAACTTGGTCGAGCAGGTTTTTCATGGTTTTGCTATGGGGAGAAATGTAGGAATTCAACCCAGCTATTCTTCCTGTTTCAGGATATCTAAAGTATCTAAGGTCAGCCATCCTTTTTGGTACTGCAGTATCACTTGTATTCGTGTCGCAGGCAGAAGTTGCCCGTGAGGAGGCTCACCTTGTCTGGAGGGTGCGTGTGGAACAAGTCGTCCACTTTGGGGAACCTACATTTTCATGGATTTTCAAGTTCACCAGCAAGGGCTCTTGAAGGGTTGCCTTTAACTTGCCCTACGCACACCAGCTGATGAATTCTGATGATCTTACCTGAAAAATCCAACAGGATTTCAAAGGTACATGGGCACAATGGGCACTCAATGATTCCAAAAGAAACGCCCTAAAATTTTGCATCAAAACGAGAAAGCATTCCATTCTGTGCTATAGCTGCTAGGCAGCGGATGGAAGGATCTCTCAGAAGTCGACCGAAGATCTGGAAGAAGCCAAAGAGGTGCAGGGTGGTTTCAATGATTGCAATGTGGTAAACCAGAAACCATATAAGCCATCCCTACATCCGTCCCCAATGACTTGCCAAAAATAGCTCCAAAAAAAATACATCTATATATACGCATCATTCATAGCTGAAGTTTGACTCTGAGAGAGCATGGTGTTGTTTTTTTTTTGCGCCCTTTTTTGCTCAATCATTCACCGTTGTAACCCACTTTTCCATGGCTTTCCCACTACTAAACCCCGACTGGTTGGATGCACCAGCGACTGACATTTCCAGAATCAATTGAATATAATCCAACCGCCCAATTCTTATCTTTCTTAAGTATTCTTAAGTGGTCTTCTATTTTTGTTAGATCCTAATGGACCTGTCTAGATCCGCATGTATTTTGATCTTTGCTGGCGTTTCTCCCTATATTTTGCCCTCGCTTTCCATGGATCTCCCCACGCCCAAGGCCCTGCTGGCTGCGCAGCATGCTGCGCATGCACAGCAGGAGGCGGAAGTACAGGTCGAAGAAGCCAAAAGGTCGGTGGGGAAACAGTTCCTTATCTTAATGAGATTTTAATCGGGTTTTAATGGGATTTGAGGGGATTCTAAGGAATTTTGATCAGCAAAATTACAAGGTGACCCCAGATATGTTTGGGGGAAAATTGGCACAAAATTGTGGTACTCGCGTACCTGGAATTGGAGCAACGCTGATGATGGTTGAACCCCTTCTCCAGAGTGATTTGGGGTCTCATCATCGTATAGAGTCCTTTTCAATCACGAGCAGTTGGATGATTGTTGGGATGATTTTTTTTTGCGAGGAATTTTTGGACCTTTCAATGACATTTCCATACATTGCCATATTCTATCTACAGGATGACAAAAAATGTAAGTTTCCTAGAATGAGGGTACCCTCAAATCATCTATGATTTTATGGGATTTTCTATGGGATTTTCCATGAACAAAAACCATCCATTTTGATCATTTTGGGGATCCCACTCCGCCAAGGACTGTGGCCGCAGAGGCGTTGATCCGGCAAGCCGAGGACAATGCTGAGAGATGGAGCAATGAGCTGCTGGGATTGGTCCAGGATTGGTCAAACATGTTGCAATGTGGGTAAAACAATGTCATAAACCAATATAAACCACCCATGTGGGAATGGTAACCATACCACCTATAAAAATGGTGATTTTCCTGGGGGATGGCTTATTATCGATTTACCCACATTAATTAGATGGGATATGTTTTTTTTTTTCAAGCTGGGGATGGTAACAAATTAAAAGCTATAATTAAGACCAATTATATGTTTTTTTTTGACATTTGGGATTTTTTTTTCCGCCCGAGAATTGGATGAAGGGGAAATCTGCAGGCCTTATCCCCTTCATTTGCAAACACTAGGGTTCTGGTGTAGATTTTCCCAGCTAAACCAACCTGTTGAACAATTAGCGCGGAGACATCACTATTTTTTTAGGGCATAATAAATTTGTTGGGTTTATTTTTGTTTGCCTTCCTCTCAAGATGGCTAAGTGGGCCACATAGGTCGCGGTTAGGTATACTGTAACTGCTCTTGTTGGTTTGGTTTTTGATATTTGTTGATTTACATCCCCATTTTTGTTGATAAGAGGGTTTAATTCGGGTAGGTGAATGTCCCCCTGTTTGGCCACTTCCATTCTTGGCTTTTTCCCTTGATAATCCAGGATCTCTACAGGTCACAAGTTCAGTTTAAAATTGCATTTGACATGATCTTTATCCAGAAGACTCGGGATTTACCTGCGATTTGCTTTTGATTAGCTGATTTACCTGTCCTCTTAGTCATCTTGCAGCCTTGCCACCATGCCATGATCTTCTCTTTGGTGCTCCTGCTTTGGTTACTCGCTTCTGCCTTGGCTGAGTACGATGCCGGAGACGCTGCTGGATATCTGCGCTTGAATGCGGTGGCCGTTTGCGAAGATCGACGCATTGCGGGATGGAACTGTGGCCGGCAATGCAGCACGACTGCTGCCTTAGTTGAGAACGGCTCACAGGTGTTGATCGGCCCAACGCCGGTGTACAACCTCCATGGATTTGTCGCCCGGCTTCGGCATGAGGGAAGCAGCAGCTGTGTGGTGGCGATTGCAGGCACCTCTTTCTACAATTGGCGAAATATTCGGGCAGATCTTGAATTTTGGCGCACAAAGTGGCCCACTTGGTCAGGGAGTTGTGCAGATTGGTGCTATGGTTGCGAAGTTATGAAGGGCTTTGCGAGCAGCTACCAAGAGCTGCGAGATGAGATTTTTGCTTCCTTAGAACAATTGAAATGCTCCGCAGTAACCTTTACTGGGCATTCCTTGGGAGGAGCAATTGCTGTATTGGCATCTTTGGAAGCACGTGCTTGCCACAATTTCACAGTCTCTGTTTGGACGTATGGAATGCCACGTGTTGGCAACCTTGCTTTCGTGGAGGCATATGTATCTACAGCCAAGCAAAGGCAACAGAGTCCACCCATGTGGCGTATCACACGTGATTTTGATCTGATTCCACAACTTCCGCAGACTTGGCTTGGATACTATCACATCCCATGGGCAGTCAGATACTGGAAACATGGCACTGAAAAGGTGATTTGCACGGAGAGGTACGAAGATCCTGACTGCACTTATGCCGGTGGTACCATGGCCGACCATCACAACTATTTTGGTGTCACGGGCACGGATGAAAATCAAGCCTCGCTCGACTGCATATCTCAGTCGGCTTTGAAGTCGAAGCGGGATCAGTTCTTCGCTTGGAGGGCTGGGTTCTGCACGGCGATGGTGTTTGCAAGCCTTTTGTGCTGTGGCAGCTGCTGTGGCTGCTGCTTTCTGTTGTGCCAGGGACGCCAGCGGTTGAAATTCAACCCGACTGAAGTCCAGTGTCATTTGTTGGGCGATGAGACTGACAGCAGTGACTCGGGCAAAGTTTGAAAGTCAAGGTCTCAATACCTTCCGAAGAATGTTGAAGCTTGCCAAGCTTGCTTGATGCCAGAGCAAGGGTCTTGCGGTGTTTCTTTTTAGGTCAAGTGTCAAGTCCTGTGGGCGACCACTGCGAAGAGAAGTCGCAGGTGATCCCTTTGGCCCTTTGTGAGTTATTCTCGTACTGGGTTTTACAGGGGTTGGTAACTGTCCCATTTTGGGAATATTGGACATCACCTTATAGTAGCCATTATAGACCATATACCTAATGGTTGGGTGATGTTCAATGGGGACATTTAATGACCCATGTTTTAGATACAAACAAGTGCAATTTTCGAAGGCTCACTGCCGAGGCTTGGCTGACCAGTCTGCCCCATGGACCCGTTGAATTTTTTCAGCGTGACTCCCTTCCCACAATTGAAATTCCATGCCATTTGGGGATGGGTCAAAACCCTGGTACCTAGTGAACCCCAAAATAGCTGGTAAATGGATGTTCATCCCACTAAAAATGTATCTATAGGTATTGACCCATACCCATTTCTGACACATTCCCAAGCTCCAGAACTTGGATGAAATCACCAGCTCCCGAGGCCATCCCCTGCCACGTGCAATCTGTGGACCCTGGCATCTCAGGCGAGCGGCTCGTGCCAACATTCTTCCAACCAACAAATTTATAGCAACCCGTGAAAATAGATAGAAAATGATAGAACAGATTAGAAAAGTGGAAACACTGCAAATATGTATTACATTACATTGCACATTTATTACATATCAGTTATCAATTATACTCGTAGCACCTCCCAGAAACACTTTTGGATCTGGGGATGACCAGACTGCTGAATCAACTTCCAGACACCCCGGTGATGTAAACGTGCCCCTGTTGGCTGCAATGCCATGTTTGGTAAGTCGCACATCCTCAAACATCATCACAAAATCCTCAAACATCATCAAGTCATCCATAGTCATCCTCAAACATCATGAACAATAATCAACAATCATCGCGAAGTCTTAAAAACAATCAGCATCCCGATGACGAGAACCATCCAAAATCTCAATCCGCCCATGGTGAGGCGCGCGCGAGCGAGGAGGGTGTGGTGGCCATGCGGGGTCCCGGGGGGCAGATGATGCTCAGCGCAGAAGGGCCACGGGCCACGGCTGAGGCAGGGCGCATCGGGTCGTTGGAGATGGCCCTAATTCCAATGGAGTACGGTCATTATCCATCACTATCCCTACTCAAGTGGTCATTTAGAGGGTATACCCCCTTTTCAGACAAACTCATTGTTGTTGGGCTAGATTTCATGGGTGTCCTAGGCGCAGAAAGCCGAAATGGTACAGAAATGGTGATTGGTCCCCCATTGTCAGAGCAACCAGATCCACCAGGGTTTGTCTTATCATGTGTCTAAAACTCGGGTACCCTAAGACCCGAAGATATCATGATGATCATTTTCTCATTGCAGAAACCCAGACATTTCTGGATATCTCCGATTCTATCTCAGTAAAACCTCACCACATCCTAGAGATTGGCTAGTTTTCAGATTACTAAAGCATAATGCAGCATAACAGTAAACCATCTTTGAATTCAGAAAAATATTCACCATTTTTATGGGAGGTACAAATCATCAATCCATATGGGTGATCCATGGTGGTTGATCATTGCACCAGGCGCGTCTTCGAGCGCGTTGCCTGGTGGGTTCTGCGGAGGTCGAAGATGGGCAGTGGGCATCATTGGAATGATGGTTAGATATATGGATATGATATAGGTACATATATGGTACATGAAACTATCCCGCATTATTTCAGGAGATTTCAGTTTAAATCACAAGATGTGCCAGTTTTTTGGCCACGAATGGTCTGATTTGGACAGCCAACATGTGGATTCAACGAGGAACAAATGGGAGTTGGTCAGCCAACAACCAACATGGGCTTTGAAACCAAACAGCTGGATTCGATCGTGAAGAAATGGGATGCTCAACAAACAAGAACACGGAATTCACCAACAAATCTCATCATTCAATAGGAATGAATGACCAACCTATGGTTTCTATGCATTTTTTGACCGTTGCCTTGAGACCTGTTGTCACCGGAGGGTGCAGCCATCTGCAGCCGGGCCTGGCTCAAATGGCTCAGCAGAACCATGCGGATTTGATGAGATTTGGCATCCAATGGGGATGTAACGGGATATCACCAACATTTATGGGTAATCACCAGGAACATCACCAGGAAACTGAACCGAAGCACATTGAACGTGGCCAGCAGTGGCAGTTCCATGATCCGGAATTTTTCTGGGGTTCCTGTGGCATTGAACGCACCGAAAAAGGGTTGAATTGGTTGAATGCTACCGTTCCGCCTTTGTCTTTGGTTCATCATGTCGACTGCTGCAGGTGGGATTCTGAACATGTAAAAGACGGCTGGTGGTGGATTTCTAGGATTATTATCCTCGAAACAAGAAGTGCAATGAAGGGAAATCAACACTTACCTTCTGGGAATCAAACTTGGCAAGTGAAAATCCCCCAGTTATATATATATTATAATTTATATCATTTTCCAAATTCAAACCTGAGTTTAAAAGGGGATTTCCCATTGCCACCTTTGATTACAGGAGGGTAGAATACTTTGTGAATATTGTGCTGGACGATTTTCTTTCGCCCCTTGGATGACGCTGACTGAAGATTGATAAAGTCAACGGCCACACACCGGAGCCTCAGACACCACGAAACGCTTCATCACAGCACCGTAGTGTTTCCATTGATTTCCATCTGATAGGAAACATGTTGAACCATGTCCACTATCATGCTGATATTCAAGGTACCAATATTTTGCCATAGTTTTTCCTGATATCAATGAACTTCCTACTGTATTCTACAGGAAGACGTGGGCAGGAAGTACCAAGCCACTGGCGATCGTGACGGGCGCCAACACTGGCATTGGCTTTCACACAGCAGGCGGTGGGGGACCTCTTAGATGGGACCCATGGTCAGTTTCCACACACTTGCCATAGAAGAATGAGTGTCCTTATGGAAGTGTTGGATAGAGGGTGGTATGGGAAGTGACCGGCTGTGACCCTGCGAATGCGGCTCTCATTGTTGGCCCTGCGGGCGTCAGCTTATAAGCAGCGATAAGAACCTTTCAGGCAAGCTTCAGATATTTGTTTGAGAGAATCAGAAGATGTTCATTTCTTGGCTTGGCCATCCAACCATCTCCAAACTTTGGCACCAGACCATGCCAGGTTCACTATTTTAAATGGTCCCATCCCGGTAAGGGGAATTACGCTACTCATGGCCGGAGAATCCACGCCATTGCCCAGAAGCCCTGGCGGAGCGTGGCTTTCACGTGATCCTGGCGTGTCGCAGCTTAGAGCGCGGAGAAAACGCCCTGGCCGCGGCGCAAGGGAAGGGCAGCGCTGAGCTTCGCAGGCAGGCAGGTGGAAAATCATGGGTATGATTGGATGTATATGATTATATAATTGTAATAATAACAATAATAATAATGATAATAATAATAATATATATACACATGTTTATTGATGTGGTATATGATGTGGCATATAGTGTGGTATATGATGTGGGTACAATCATGCATAATACCAAGATAGTACATATAGTGGGGAGAACTCGCGCAGACTTTCCAGGACGTTGGGCAACAAATTGGTGAGAAGGACGTTGTTTGTTGATGCTTGCGTTGGTTGACGAGAAATGTGAATAGACATTCAGCTGGGTTGAAAAAAATCGACTTGATCATTTCTCTTTTCCCGTAATTCCAACCAGAGGGTTTCAGTTTTTGGGGGTGTCTGCGACGTATAGTACCCCAAAGCTCCTGGTTTCCATTTCAATATCAAGAACTTTGGTGTATCTTATCCAAAGCCACATAAAAGAAATGGAATCTATACCCACGAGGAGAGTGAACTGCATGAAGTTTTGGTGGACTTGAATCAGTTGTATGTGGAGGGATTGCTGATTCTTCTAAATTTTGTCTCCTCTTATAACTGCAATGTCTATCAAGTTTTTCCCCGATTCAAAAAACATTTGCTTCGAGAAACCGTCAGGAAAGACCCTTTGCATACCAAACCCAGATTTCCAGACATTTTCCCTGGATTTCACACGATTTTCGCAGCATTTTCCCCATGGAGTCCAAGCTCCCGGCATGGGGTCAGCTGCAGGTTGGACCTGTCGTCCTTCGCATCGGTCCAGGCTTTTGCAGCCGACCTGGGGATACTGGGGCGGCCCGTAGAGCTCTTGGTGTGTGCCTTGCCCAAAGTTTGGTCTCACCTTTTGGTGAGACCAACGGAAACATATGGTAGGTTACTAGTTACGAAATGAGTTTCAAAGAAGTTGAAACACCTGAAATAAAGACATCGCAGAAATTCCAGGGCAAAGGGGATATACATGTCTATACACATGCAAGATTCAATGTTTTCTGCCAGGTGAAAGCAACCCAACGACATCTTTCGGCTGAGGCAATGCTGGCTTGAACTCAGCTTCTGCCAACCAGGATATTCTGGGATGGTCGTGGCGAGGCAAGTTGCCATTGACCCCAATCAGAAGTCAAAATTCGGGATGCGGCGGCAGGAGCCGGATGGTCAACTTTCAGAGGACAAAGTAGATGTCTTGTACCAGACCAACTATTTGTTGGGCTGCCCAGCGGCCTTCGACGGACACAGTCGCCTCTCATGGACCTGGCTTGACGGCTTGATCTAGTTCGTGTAGAAGCCTTTAACAGCCATGGAGACCATTTTCGGACATAGCCATGATGTCGCCATGTCCATTTTACCATTGGACAAGGTCGCATTTCCTCCTGACTTTGTTGCTTCTACCTTTGCTGCGCCGTGCGCGTGGCAGAGTGACGCTTGCCAGCAATGAGGGGCAGGTCAGGTTGAGTTCAGTTATAGTCAAGACCAGTCACCCCGGAGAATCCCCCATAGGCTCCAAGTGTTCCTTTCCGAGTGGCCAGATCGAATTTCGCGGACCTGCATGAGACTGTGGCGTTTTTTTTTGACGCCAACTCACAGGGGAAATCTTCCCAGGACCAGCCTCCAGCCATCGCCAGGATCAACATCTCCTCCGTAGTGCACCGCTCTGCGAGTTTGGATGACTTTGAGATCACCACAAGGATCCGTGAGCCCTACGTGTCGTCCCTGGCCTGAAGGGTGGGCTTTGGAAGATGCTTTGGTGAAAAATCTCGGGATTCTGAAAGCAAACGGTTGCGTTGTGACCGTTTAACCTCAGGTTCATTGCTATTTGTTCGCTGGTTCAAGCACACATTTTGCTGATCAAGTCACAAGTTTTGTTGGTTGAATCAGATTCTTTCTGGCTGTACACTAGTCCCATCACCCTAATATGAAGCACTCCCTAAATTATTCCAAGTATGTGGTAATTTCTCTACTAAACCATATTTTTGGGTGGTTGACCGTTTCGCCGCGGCTTCAGGCTCTATGGCCTCTCAAAGCTTGCACAGCAGCTGGACTCTGAGGTATATTGGGGTATGGTCATCAATCCATATCGAATTTAGAGGGATTTATACACCAGCATTATAGAAATCTACTATACATTGTTGTGCATTATAGATGTTTGGATTCCTGTGGGACATATGACCATACCACATGTTTTTTTTTTTAAATCATGGTGCATATGGCTGTGGGTCAAAGTCCTATGCCCCTGGTGTCGGTAGGTTTTGACCCATCCCAGATCGAAAATAGGGGCATAGCGGACCAACACCCGATCAGCACCTGGTTTTCGTACGTTTTCACATCAAACATCATGAAACTATATAGCTAGAAGTTTGGAATAGTTTGGATCATGCCTTATTTTCTCTTTGTGCTCTGTTTTCCGGGAAAGAATTGTTAGTTCATATTTCTACACTCCTTGTGGTTGCGCACATTTGGTATCTGAAAAACTTCCGTTTCCCAAGATTTGGGAACTTCACCACCAAAACACTGAGAATCGGTCTATTAAATATACCCTCTGGTGATTTAACATAGCTATTGAAAATGGCCAATTTATAGATGATTTTCCGATTAAAACCTCCATTTATAAAGGATTTTCCATAGCTATGTTAAATAACCAGATGGTACACGTCTTTTCTTGGAGGCTTTCCCCCCAATGTTTGGAGATTTCTTCCCCTGACATCCCAAAAAAAGCCGTGAGGATTGTTTCCAGCTATGCGCTGCACGCCAGATATGGTGAGGAGAGGAACCCCCATTGCCGCCTGGAAAACCACGGGTCAAACATGTGTTCTTTAATGATCATATGCTGCCCAGTCGCTGCAATCAACAATCCAACTATCTCCAACTACTATGACAGTTTGCTGAGGGTACTGTCTAATTGCTCAAAAAATGGTTAATTGATGTTAATAGCGAAGACCTGTTTGTTTTTTCGTTGCTATTTCATATAAGTATACAAAATACATCAAAATACAAAAGAATGAATCTATGTGTGTGTATATATATATACAGAAATAAATATATTGTATATGTACATACACAGATTCAGCTATATACAGCTTTATCTCCAGGCTCAACGCAGGGCTCCACGGTAAGTATATTCCAAGGAGGTCTTTTTTTTTTGCGGCAGGTTTTGGATCTTTTTTGGGGTTCCTGGTTCTATGCTTTCCTGCTTTTCTGCTTCTCTGCTTTTCTGCTTCTGTGCTTTTGTGCTTCTCTGCTTCTGTGCATGGCCACATGTAGCAAATACCATGCAAAATGCAAAGTGACCATGCCTAAATGTGGCAAATACCATGCAAAGTGACAGGTTCTAGTTCCAAACTGTTGCAAATACAAGCAAATGGTACCAGGAAAGAAAACAAAAAGAATCCAAAACCCGAGGCAAAAAAATCCAAAAACTATTCTACACCCATATTCCAATGGTAAGGAATGCAACATCCAAAAAAACAAATGTGGTCCAAATGTGTTTCAGAATCCAATTATTGAGAAACCCAAACTGACTGGATAACACAAAGATGTCGAACCGATAAAGGTTCGTTGACGGCACGAGTTGCTTGTGTATATATATAAAATTATATATATATATGATTATATCTATTATCTTTATACATAGTCAAAACTTAGGATCCACATATCCACAAAAACGATTTCTTTGGTGTCGTTTCAAACTAAACCCGTAGCTGTAGAAGATTTCGGATTTTTTCTTCCAACTTGGATAGGAGGTAGCCTTCCACTGCGTCAACCCCGGTGGAGTGGGTTCTGACATCTGGCGTGGCTATGCTGGGTGGCAGCAGAAACTTTTTTCGTCCATCCTCATTTCGCCAAAAACTGCAGCCAGTGCCTTGCCAAAACCAAGCAAATTGTAAAAATAGGTTTGTCTCAAATTGAAAGCATCCCCAAATGATCCAACATATGGCATCTGGGATGGGGTAAACGACATTTTTTTTAAATCCCGATTTTCACCGTTGATTTTTTTCCTGGAACATAATGAGATTTGAGTGCCGCAAAACTACCAAGAAAATTGGCGATCCCAAACTGTTCAAGCTGCGCCACCAAGGTACAGTGGTCGCTGCGTGCACTGCGAAAGAGGCTGCTGCACCATGCCGACCCAGGCTGGGTGTATGTTGAAGATTTTGAATTGAGTGTCTAATCATGTTGAAAAATGTTGTATAACAGTGGTGGGGGATTGTTGAGCAGGCAAGCAATGTAGTTTTGTTGATTATTGATCGGAACACCACACATTATAATACATTATAATATTGGGGATCGCCAGACAGTTGGTTCTGCGGAAATAAAACACAAAACCTTGGCACAATGATGCTCTTGAAACGCCACGAGCTTCCCCCAACCACAGGCGCTTAGATCCCTGAAATTTTGCAACCGGGTAAGCATCAACCCATCAACCCAATCTCCCCCTGCAGGTACTGGCCACTTGGCTCAAACATCGTTCCCACCGGGAACTGGGGATCTTCCGCGGGGCATCAGCCACTGAGGAACGGCTATTTGGGCGCTGATCGTTCGGCCTTGCTGGAATTTTGGAGCCCTTTCCCCGCACGAGAGGCGTTGGTGGAGTCGCAACCAGCGCAGGTGGCCTGGGTTGATCTGGGGCCACGCACCCAGGGACATAAGAACGGTTTTTTTCCGAGAAGTGACAGGCATGCTGACAACGTCAGAGTCAAGTGTACTGACCCAGGGATATCAGAATATATCATAATAATGTATTTATCAGTATTTCCATTTTTGTATATTTTTGTGGGTTTGGTGAGCCAGAATATTCCTTTGGTGGTTCGATTGCAAGAAAAATCTGCGGGAGCCTTTGATTCCACTGACTCCACCAGGATCACCAAGACCCAAAGCTGGCGGAAGAACTGTGGGAACAGAGCCTGGGAACCTCAGGAAGACCACCTGTAGGAATTGTTGTCGCTTGTATTTTGTGTTGTAATGTGAGTAAAACAATAATAAAGCATCCCCCAGTCATCACCGTTTTTATAGGTGGTATAAACAATTCTTCAGTCATGGGTGGTTTATTATTATTGTTTTACCCCACATGATTCCAGTTTCCGGGTGTCAGTCAAAGACTTTTTGTGGATAGAAAACCCAGGCCTCTCGGAAATCCGTGCTGCGGGAGTGGAGGTGAACGTTTGACCGCCCAAAGTTGGCGGAGGATACAGCCAGGAACAGGGGGAAGCAACCTGAATCCAGCTGATTTGATTATTATTTCGGGTTGAAATATTGTCAGCTGGAAATGAGTGAACTGATAATGGACTACTTGATTGATGTGATTGATAGTGCTTTTATTTGATTCTCTTGCCGGTGTGTTTGTGGAGTGGCACTTGTTTCAATCGAAGATAGGCCGATTTGCTGCACGGTCACAGGGCTGCACAATTCCCCCCAGAGCCAGATGTGGGAAGGAAAAAACTGCTTGTCGGCAAATATCGGAGGTGAGATGCTGAACATCTATGGCCAACCTCGGGCAATTTAACATAGCTATGGAAAATGGCCCGTTTACAGATATTTATAATTATTTATACCATCTGGTTATTTAACATAGCCATGGAAAATCACAATTTTTAATAGGTAAACCATCTATAAATGGGCCATATATACCATGGCTATGTTAAATAGCCAGAGGGTAGATGATTCACCCATCAAAAATACAGATTTTCCATAGATAGGCCTCTATCAAATCACGCGAGGGCAGTATGCATCCTGTTTTGAAAGAGCTGCAGCCACTGATGTGGCGGTGCTTCTTCGGATTATGTACACATGTGTGTATATCAATATATCTATATAATACGTATGGATCAATATGGGTATTTGCTTGTGGAAGATTTTTGATTACAGATCCTATACTGATGTATAATTTGAATTCCACTGACTCACCACTCCTGCAACTAAGTTGTTCGGCCTCATCCCAGCATCGCAGCCCTCTGGCAGATGCAATATGAGCGGGCTGAACGTCAGCTTCTAGCGGCCAACATGGAGCGACAACGCCACTGGACCACCGATTTATAGCGGTCGACCGGTAGAGCTGAGTGAAGGATAGTTGACTGGTGTCATTTTTGGCCATCAATGGGTTGATCTGCTAAGAGCAAATTCTCGGAACCATGTTAGCTTTGGGTACTGCAGCATGGACATGCCCAAATATTCAGGACTCCAGAATCAGTGGGCCGCATAAGAAGGGTACTGTAAGCGGGCTTCAACACACCTTAGACCAATATTTTGGGTTCGTTAGATACGAGCAGAAAATCTGACCTTACCGACCTTACCCTAATTTTGTCCTAGCTATAAAGCCAAACTTTTTCTATGGCTATGTCAGTCCATGTTTTTGCTGGCAAATGTTAAATCTGGTCACATATCTATATAGTCAGATATCCAGTTGGTTACAGTCTCCACTTGATGACTATAAAGTCCAGCATGTCTTGGTTGGTCACACACCTTATTTTGTTAATTATCTGATCTTCAACAACTATACCCAGCGAACAGAACAGAAAACGTCTGCCAAAAAATGGTTGAAGCATCCAATGGCGACTACATTCCCCAGAAACATATCCTCCAACTAGTTGAATAATCCCTTTGCCTAGCTCCAACTGGAAATCTTGGTTGAGTATTGGATCTATGAATTGGGGGTCCATATGGGGCGTTTCCGGGGTATAGTTAACATATCCAGTGAAATCAAGTTCGAAAAACATCCACTTAACTATTCGGTACTTTCTTGGTCTTGATTCACATTTTCTGGTTAAAGACCACCATTTTCGTCGGTCTTGATAGGCTAACGAAGCACCAAAAAAGTCAACTTTTTTCCTGGAAAACCCACCATATGGTGCTTGACCAAAAAACTTGTTGCTTAAGTTTCAAGAACCACAGCAAAAAGCACAATATGTACACATTACGTTTTCCCATCATTTTCCCACTTTGTTTCTTCTAGGAAACCTAGAATTTTCAGCCACCCCGCCATCTATATAGATCCATTTAAATCAACCTGCACTGAAAACATACAGTGAAGTATTCTTGGTCTTCAAAGTTGGGTCATTGTTCTCATGGTGTTTTCAGTTACAAGTGGATATGTGTTTTTTCAGCTACAACTGGATATATATATATTTCACCATAGTTCCAGGGGCTCCATATCCCAATAACAAACAATTTTTGTTCTTGGTGTTCATGTTTTTTCGCTAGGAAACCTACAATACATCCCATTACGTATCCATTATTATAAATGATCCACCATTATTTCCATTGGTATTCACCATTTATGTAGGCCATTCTATTACCAGAGGTTATATCCATACAGCTATCCAGAATCATCCACTATAATCATCCCATTGATTTATCCCATTGATTTATGACGGATAAAATTAATATCCTATTTGGGTTTGTCTTAAAATAGCGATACCCTCATTTGTAGCCATTTTAATAGGGATCATGATGAGAAACCATTGGAAGTGGGGATAGGTCCTATGTTCACCACCCTAATCAGGGATATCCCCAATATAGCCAATTCCAACGGTAATATCCCTAATATATCCTCATATTTCCCTATTTTTTGTGAACATAGTCACCAATCGCCTTAAAAAATGGCACCCGTTTAGTTCACATTCACAGAGTTGAGGCAAAGTTTCACCAAGTTTTCCATAATCCACTATAACCAGGGGGTATTACCAAAGGGTATCATCCAGAATTAATCCATAATCATTCATAATTTAATTAATCCACTAAAATCCACTATAAATCCACTGTAATCCACTATAAATCCACTGTAATCCACTATAATCCACTATAATCCACTATAAATCCACAATAACCACCCAATTTTTTTCAGGTCTCAACGGCCTGGCGCAGCACTTGGCCCATCTGGCGCTGCAGCGTTCCGCAGCCCAGCTGGGCGCCGCGCAGCGGCGCTGGAGCAAGGCGGAGCGGCAGCGGCAGGCGGCCGCGACGCTGCAGGAGCCGCGGTGCGGGAGAGTTGGGGATTCACCATGGAGAAACCATGGGATTTCAAGGATTTATAGTGGATTATAATGGATTTATCCACTATAATCCACTATAATCCACTATAAATCCACTATATTTGAGAGGTAAACTATATAGAATTTGGAGTTTGATTGGGGATTTAATTGAGGATTTGGCCTTGTTTCTTTATGAGTGAATGGGGCTATTTCATGGGGATATATATATATAAATAACGAGTATTTTTCTGGGATATAACCAACATATATGTTTTGTGTGTCTGAAAGTGGGGATAATTGGTTTATAGCCAATGGGGACATGTTTTGTGGCTTTATAATGGGGATATTGGCCATGGGATTTAGTGGGACCCAGTTTTCATAGCGAGGATTTAATGAGGATCGGGATTCGGATAGATTGATAAGGACAAATGAACACAAAGAATAATTTTAGCATGTTAAACTCTGTTAAACATTTATGTGTGTGTTTCAACTGGTTGACATAGTGGCAACAATGGCGAAAAAAACATGAGAAACCATTGGAGATTCCAGGTTTCAAAGCATACCCCGCTAGGCATTGATCCCAGACTTGGTTGGTTGGGCATATTTGGAGGACCACCTAATACTTGGCTGCAGCAAGCAAGGTTCCTGCAAATTTTGCCCCCACCCAATCGGTTGAATTGAACCAATATGAGCAGACATGTTGATTCAACCAGTACATACCAGCAGCCCCCATGGGTCGAAGAAAGAAACATGAGGATTTAACCAGCGATGATGAAACATAGGGTTAAAACCATTGACGTAGAGACTTATATGGGGAAGATAGCAAACACCTCTGGCTATCGCAATTTTCTTCGAGGATTCAAGGCTGTGTTCCAACCACCAGCCGCTGCCAACAGGAGGAGGCGAAGGCCTTGGGAGAGGCATCGTTCACAGAGATGCAAGCTTTCAAAGCGCTGCCTTCCGTTGAGCCGGGAACGTTCCTAGGCAAGACGTGCTCTGACGCGCATCCTTTTTGTGAGTCAGTTTGGGTCAGAAAAAAAATACACCAATGGACCAATGATGTTCAATAGTAATAGTCCGTGGATCTACAGATTCTTTACATAATTTAGCAACCAATGCTTTTCTGGACATCCTGGCGCTGTGTTTTGCAGTACACCTCAATCAACGCTGAGTCTGATCAAATGCTCTATCGATCCCCAACATTAAGTGTTTTGCAAAATGGCCCCCCACTGTTTTAACGAGGAGCCCGGATTTTGGAGGTTGCCAAGTTCGAGAAAGCCCGCTTGAGCAGTGGTCAAAACACCCAATAGTGTCTCTATTCTACATTGGGTTTTACTTTCATTGGGAAAATTAGATGATCAAATTAGCTTTCCAAACTCAGTACAGTACACAGACTATTTCCACCACGAAAGGCCCCCCAATCATTTGGCGTTTGGGATTGATGCACAAGCAACATCAACCAACCAACCAACCAACCATCACCCAAGAGACCCGTGAAGCCCAGTGTTCCCGAGGCCGCAGCCGAAACGTCCCCGCACGGCGCCCGACACGGCGCCCGCCGCGCTGCAAGACACGGCGCTGGAGGAGGAATCCAAAAGGCGACAGGCGGCGGCAGAGCTCTATGCCCAGGTGGGGAACCCCCATATTTGGATGGTAGAAACCTGTTTTCCGATGTTCTCCTGTAGATTTTCCTTTCAACCAAGCTATTAAATGAGAAATCAGATCAATATGGATCAATATGGATCAATAATGATCAATAGCTATAAAACCATATAAAACCTGATTTTCTAGGAGGATGAACATCCATTTTTCCAGCGATTTTGACCCATACCCATTTGGCACGAAAGAGGCTCGACTCCATCGAGACTTGGAGATGGCCGTGGAGCAGGCGGCTTCGACACAGTTCATAGATGGTTCATAGAAAGATACATCTGGTGGATCTTTGGGGACCTTTGGTGTTTATACATGTTTATACTGTACATCCTCTTGATAAAGTCATGCCATTTTCCCCAGGCGCGCAAGCAACTGCAGCGCCGTCACTTGGCCAACGAGCACCGGGCTGAAGCGGAAGTGGCGCGGCGCGAGAACGAGGAGACCGTCGGAGACCGTGGTGGTCGGAGACCGTGGTGGTTCACAAGGGTTTTTTGCCCAGGTGCTTGGGTTTTCATGATGGGATTTAGAATATTTAGATTAGATATGATTAGATAAGTTAGATCAGTTGATTTAGTTCTGTTGCTTGGTACCCATCTGGAACCTACCAGGAGCTTCAAAGCTCCTTGGCATCCCGACGACCTGAGGGGTTGCGAACTCAGCTGATGAATCTGCGTGGATCAAACAATTGATGGTGTTCTGCTGGCTTTCTGTTGAGTACTGACTTGACGAATTTTGTGGTCCCAATCACCTTCCATTCTCAGGTGTTTTTTGGCAGAAGCCGAAACATGTGTCGTTTTGATGGCTTCGATTTCCATTTTTTTAAAAAATGTCCAATGGCTACTATCAGCCCCCAACATTTCATGGTTTGGACAGTTTCCACAGTTTTGACTCTCTGACCCTCCCCAAAAATCATGAAACATCCCCAAAAATACAAGAATGTCCAATGGTTCTCGAATTCTTCCAAACACTTTCCAACACAAAAACTGATCATTTTTCCCACGTGTTTCCCAACGTTTTCCCAATGATTTCTCAACGTTTCCCAAGTTTTCCTAGATTTTTCCACAGTTTTCCCAGTCCTTCAGCATCTGTTTCCATGGGTTTTCCGCCGGTTTCCACCCAGGCCTCCACCGGGGCACGTGGCCTTCGCCCTACGCTCGGCTCTGGCGTGTTGGTCCAAGCGTCGGCGACTTTGCGAGCAGGCACCGCACTAAATGGAGGCCAACATAGCTGGGAAAATCATCGGAAATCATGGGAAAACACTATTGAAATAGAGGTTTTTGGATGGGAAATTGAAGTCAATGGTGGATTTCAATGGAAAATCCTCAATGGTGTCTTAATGGTAAGATTGTATATAACTGGGATGATTAAAAGGATGTTTTCATGGGATTTCATGGGATTGAATGATGATGATTTGAGGATACTTGATAAACCATAGTGATTTCCCCGTATTTTCCATGGCTATCTTAGAGGATTAGGTAATTTAAGGATGATTTGAGGATGATTTAACCATCATTGTGGCTGTTTAAGGGCGAGCATGAATAAATGGATGCTGGATGAGGTGAAAAATAGCTGGATGAACTGGGAAAAAGGATGATTAATCTTGGAGATGATCTCATCCAGATATGATTGCTTTGTATTCAACACAGTGGGATTAGTTAGCGGTTTGTACCCTCCGGTAGTCAAAGTGGCAATGGGAAATCCTGTATAAATACGGGCTTTAATAAGAGAATCGTCTATAAATGGTGGATTGTCAAATACCACCTTTGATTACCGGAGGTTTTTTCCGTAGAATTTACCCTCTGGTTATTTAACATAGCCATGGAAAATGGCCCATTTATAGATGATTTTCCCATTAAAACCTCCATTTATAAGGGATTTTCCATGGCTATGTTAAATAACCAGATGGTAATCATCAACTATGAGAGCTCAACCGTTAACTGGGGGCTGTCAGCCCCACTGGAGCATCCGGAAGTCCGCTCACCTGGGTTGCTGGGCGCTAGTGATCCTGAAAGCCGGTTTGCTGGGTTGCTGGGTTGCTGGGATGGAGAGTTAGACTTTCCTAATCCGTAACCCAGAAATGGAAAGTCATTCCTTACTTTCCTTCTCATTTGACTTTCCTGACTTTGTTTTCCAACTGCAGGTCTTCTAAGGTGATAAGAATTCCACGACATATCTCCAGAAGCCTCGACATAAGTCCGAAATACCGGATCCTAGTTGTCACTTGATTAAGGGTCCATTTGCAGAAAACACATTTTTCTAATATCTTCTAACCCCCCAAATGTAGGGTTTTCCATGGGTTTTCCCCTAACCCTTCGACCACTTGCACCATCCGCTTCCGCTTTCAGGTGCTGAATGGCGTGGCCGCTGCCGGCCTGCAGAATGCAGCGGAGGAGTCTGGCCTGGTCACGGATGAGTGGCTTGGAATGGGATGGGAATCCTCCGCAAATGGAGGGTTTCAGTTTCACCATGTTTTCACCAACAATCATGGAGGTATACGAAGGTTTTGCCAGCGCGATGCGACCATGGCAAGATATGGGTCTGTCTGAAAAAAACTCTGAGTTTTTTTTTTTTCCAGAACATATTTTGCACATGGTTGATTGAGGTGTGGATTTAGAGGTGTCCTATTTGCAGATAAACGCAAATGGGTACGGGTTAGAACCATTTACACCCAAACTTGGATGTTTTAGGGCAATGACCAGCCATTTGCAGGTCCAACATGGTATTTTCTTTGAGCCGTATCCATACCCAAGTTATTGCAGGAAGGTTCCCCTAGACAGCCAAGTTGGTTTATAGTTGTAATACCTTGGATTTATAGTGGAGATATCTGCAGTTGGATGTGGGAAAATAAGCCAACAGGCGTAACTTGGGGCCCTCTGGCTGTATTGCCACTTAAATGTGACGGGTTGTTGCGTATCAAATAGCAAACTACTCGGCTTACTAGCCATGGTCATGTCCATTATCTACTACTGTAGTTGATCAGGGGTTGGTAACTGTAGCCATTATAGACCATATACCTAATGGTTGGGTGATGTTCAATGGGGACATTTAATGACCCATGTTGATACACATTTTCTTGATTGATAAGTCCCCACCAGCGCAGCGCAATGATTCGCCCATCGGTAATGTTTTTTTTTCATTGGAAGCTTCCATGAAAGCAGCTGGTGGTTTATTGATTTTCAGGTAGTGATTTTTGAATCATGAGATAGTTTTCGACACTTGTTTGTAACTAACCATTTCAATCATATGTAACCATCAATGGTTTCAATCTTTGCATTGGAAAATTAATAGAAAATCCCATTGCTAGCTGGGTGTCTTCAGCGAACATTACCGAACATTGCCCAAATGGAATTGCGCTACAAAAACAATTGATAATTCACTTATTTATCCCAATAGTGAGGGATTATCCCAACTGATAATAACATATAATACACTGATAATACACTGATAATAACATGTTATACCACTAACTGATTACATGATAGATCACAAGAGAATACAGTGATAAATGATGTTAGTCAATGTTAGTTGTTAATGATTATCATCTATTATTACTGTCATAACAACTAAGCAACTAGCTGATCATCCTATAAACGTGATGATAACGTGCTGAGGTCCTGTGGTCAACAGCTGCCACCGGGTCGTTTTGACCCGGTGCTGGGCCGCATGCCGGTGCTCCCGGAGGTGTGGGGAAGGGTTTTTTTTGGCGTTGGTTTTCTGGAAATATGGGATGAACATGGGGATGGATGAGGCTATTTGTGAATTATTTCATATTGATTATTCCCCACCTGCCAGGTGAGGGTTGTTAGATTTTATGTCAGTTGCCTCCTCGTCCTCCTCCTCCTCCTCCTCCGCCTCCTCCTGCCTCGTCCTCCTCTCCTCCTCCTCCTCGTCCTCCTCGTCGTCCTCGTCGTCCTTGCTCAACTGCGACCCGCGATCCACATTGTTCTCTGCCGGACCTCAACCACGACCATCCACGCCCAGTGTTCCCTGCCGGACCTCAACCAAGACCATCCGCGCCCAGTGTTCCCTGCCGGACCTCAACCACGACCATCCGCGCCCAGTGTTCCCTGCCGGACCTCAACCGCGACCATCCGCGCCCAGTGTTCCCTGCCGGACCTCAACCGCGAGTATCCACGCCAAGTGTTCCCTGCCGGACCTCATGTAGGAAGATAAAATGTCAGATAGAGTGCCAGAAGATTTGCCAGGTAGAATGCCAGAAAATATGCCAGAAGATATGCCAGATAGATATGCCAGAAGATATGTCAGTATATATGCCAGATAGAATGCCAGATAGAATGCCAGATAGAATGCCAGAAGATATGTCAGATAGAATGCAAGAAGATATGCCAGAAGATATGCCAGATAGAATGCCAGAAGGTATGCCAGATAGAATGCCAGAAGATTTGCCAGATAGAATGCCAGAAGATATGTCAGATAGAATGCCAGAAGATATGCCAGATGATATGCCAGATAGAATGCCAAATAGAATGTCAGAAGATATGTCAGATAGAATGCCAGAAGATATGCCAGAAGATATGCCAGATAGAATGCCAGATAAAATGCCAGAAGATATGTCAGATAGAATGCCAGAAGGTATGCCAGATAGAATGCCAGAAGATTTGCCAGATAGAATGCAAGAAGATATGCCAGAAGATATGCCAGAAGATATGCCAGATAGAATGCCAAATAGAATGTCAGAAGATATGTCAGATAGAATGCAAGAAGATATGCCAGAAGATATGCCAGATAGAATGCCAAATAGAATGTCAGAAGATATGTCAGATAGAATGCCAAATAGAATGTCAGAAGATATGGATAGAATGCCAGAAGATATGCCAGAAGATGCCAGATAGAATGCCAGATAATATGCCAGATATGTCCAGATAGAATGCCAGAATAGATCAGAAGAGAAGATATGCCAGATCAGAAGATATTGCCAGAAGATATGCCAGAAGATATGATATGCCAGATAGAATGCCAGATATGCCCAGAAGATATGCAGATCAGATAGATATGTCAGATAGAATTAGAATGCCAGAAGATATAGATGCCAGTAAGAAGACATGTATAAATGTCCAGATATGTCAGCCAGAATGAGAAGATATGTCACCAGAAGATATGCCAGATAGAATGCCAGAAGATATGAATGTCAGAAGATATGTCAGATAGAATGCCAGAAGATAGATATGCCAGAAGATATGCCAGATAGAATGCCAAACAGAATGTCAGAAGATATGTCAGATAGAATGCCAGAAGATGTGCCAGTAAGAACATGTATAAATGTCATGGTGGGGATCACACGAAGTAAAGTAATTTCATATGATTTCTATGAACATGAATATGGGATGAACATCTTCATTTCTTAAGTTTCGTTTTCTTCATTCTTTTGGGAGTAAATGAGGAGAGCATCCAATCTGTTGGGTGAGGATCTTTCATCCCATTGCCCCCAATGACATCATGAGAATGGGGCACCATGCAAAGAAAGAGACCCTGTGCCTCTCAACTCATTGCTACACTTGCTGTATCATCAAAGATTCTCACCAAGCACCACTTCGCATTGCCATGTACTCAATCAGGCAAAGGTCAACATTTACTGTATTTTTCCCATGTTTGCTAACTGCTAATTCTTGGTTTCAACGCGACAACTTCGGTGCAAGCTGCTTGCGCCATCAGCGCAGGACGATCCAACGGAAGCCCTTGACTCTGCCTGGTGATTTCGGGAAGGGCCGGCTTTGGGAGGCACCAGTGGGAGATGCATGGCCGTGGTCACGCACGGCTGGGACATCCCCGAACGATGGGCATCTAAATGGAAGAATCATCTTTGAATGAGGGGCTTTTGAGGAGAGGGCAATCGGATATATCACTCCAAAAAAATGGAAACTGAGTGAACCTATATTGTAGAAATGGGTTATATGATTTTACCTGTATATTATGTCCGACCATTGTTAATGCCCATTAGATCGGAGTTTGTTGGAGCCTATCTCGAGGAGTGTCGCCTGACCAGTTTTTCCAGGCATGAGAAGCTTGAGCTGTGAGCCATGGAGATTTGTTAATTCGGATTTGAGCATTGTGAACAATGCAGATACCTTGGATACTTGGATGGGTATGTCTCAAAAATTATTGGGCTCCAACATCCCCAGGGTTTGATTTATAAAATTTGTGATCAGAATTGCCGTTATATTTTGAGACATGCCTCGCCGTGGGGTTCGGATGGATGGTTCCTGAATCCAGCGAAGATGACATGCCGCGCTCTTCGGCTTGCCATCTTCACTGCCAAAAGAGGCGATGTCTATTGATTGGAAATCTGGTTGGTGGTTTGGAACATTTTTTATTTTTCCATATATTGGGAATCATCATCCCAACTGACTTTCATATTTTTCAGAGGGGGTCGCCAACCACCAACCAGACACGCATTGAATGAGATTCAAAAAGGCAATGTTGAATTTCCATGAATTTCCTCCATTGGAGCGTCATCCTTCAGAGATTCTGTCAGGTAGCGTAGCTGGATAGGTCGCAGCTTGATCTGTGAGCAAATCCTCACTCCGTTCGTCGATTCGTGGCATGTTTCCATATGGGCATGGGTCAAGATTGATAGCCTCGAGAAACAACGACGATCTTCACCTTAGTAACTGGTTAAAAACCTTAGTAATTTGTAAGTTCCCAGGTTATACAATTTATACAGGGGATACAACTCTGGTTAGTAACTCAGCTACTAAGTGGAGTGATCCTCCAACCAGTAAACCATATCTCTTCAGGCACCCGATTTTGACCCATGTCCACAACGAGCACTTGACAGTCATCAAAGTAGTCACGAGTAGCCACCTGGGGGCTACTCCATCCGCTTGTGCATTTTGAGGAACTCTCAGGACCAAAGTTGGAGCCATCAGGAATGAGATAACCATCCATCATGTTTCCATTTATAGATGGGATTATCCCATAATGGATGGTTATTTATAATGGATAATCCCATTATAATGGATAATCCCATCTATAAATGATGATGCCAGGAATGGATTATCCATTATAAATAACCATCCATTATGGATGCCATGGATCTGAGCTGATCTAAGCTGATCCAAGCTGAAAACTGTCATAAAGCCTCGAAAAGGCCACCTCGACTTGAATGCCCACCTGAGGCAACAGTGGCGACGCTCTTTTGATGTGTTGCAAAAGGAAAGACAGCGACCCTTCTGAAAACTAACATGAGCCCAAAAAATGCAGTTTGGAAGCACTTTGTCATAGGAAATTGCCATTTCTATCCATTTCTTCCATCTGAGTTTTCAGGGGTGTCAATCCGGCCTAGTGTCCAGGTCTGCTTCCAAACTCACAAGAGACATTTTTTAAGAAGGTGGAACACAAACAGAAGCTGTGGCAAAAAATATTTCGGGTGCTTTCAGCAACTTTTCGGAAATTCCATCGCTGCGCACTTTTTGTTTGTTCTTATATAAATATTGGAATTTCCCCAGAGACAGGAGCGAAAAATTGTGATCACCTTGAACAAGGGGTCCCAACAGAGAGAACGACCCTTTTCTCTCCGCACTAGATGATCATGTACTTTTCCATCCGCTGGAGACCCCAATGGAAAATGACGATCATTTTCCAGATTTAGTTATCAACCATTATCAACCATTATCCATTATTAGCCACTATCAATTAACCATTATAAACCGAGGCCACAGGGCTACTTGTTGGGCTCGCTGGCTGACCCAGGGGACCCAGGGCCCAGGGGACTGGAGTGGCATGGTGATGTGGGAGGGAACCACCAATTTGCTGGATCCTGTTCGGACTTTTCCCAAAAAATTGAGGTTGAATTCGCTTTTAAAATTTCTTTTAACCCGATATTCGCTGGAAAAAATACGTTCAATTTTGTCCGATGCCAAGAAATTGTTTCACCCGAGATGGGAAAGACCAACGTTGCTCCCCCCCAAAAAAACATGCAGGGTAGCAGGTACCTATCTTCCAGCCATTGATTTCCAGTATGGTATGGTGCCACTTTTCCACGCGGTTGAGGCTCGCGAATCTGCTGTTGCCCAACCTTTTGGTCGCAAAGAATTTCTGGGTTTCTTGGCGACCAGGATCCAATTAGTTTATCGGAACTGCGGAACGTGTCTGGAGTCAAAAGCATGATGTACCAAATGGGCAGGTTCAGTATAACCATGGTATGTATCAACTGATTTCAGGAACCTTGACAAGACATTAAGATATATTGAGAACATTGACAGAATATGTAGAACCATGGTTTCAAACCATCTACCATGTCTTACCAAGTGCTTCTGTTTGCCAAGTACCAAACTTACTTGGATAGAGAAGTTGTTGAAACATGGATGGGAACCCTGGATAGTAACATTTCCTCTGGTAAACGGACCCAGAACTTTTGCTGCATCTATATCGTCTATATTACATAATTAATATGGATAAATCCAGTTGAAACATTATATATATACATATACAGATCATATACACATACACATCCGATTGAATAACGATCATACCAAGAACAACATATCAACATTTTAAATAAACATTAATGACAATGTATATATATATACACAGATATGTTTGATATGACGCTAATCCATTTCTATTTCGACATATCAACGGTGATGTTGATCGCCAGGCACCCTCGACCCGGCTTTTGTCGACTGCTCTGAGCGGCGGCCTCGCGGTGGCCGTGCGACAGCCTGACACCGGGGTGTCATCATACCACGATAATTTGGTGAGTTAGTCATGGTATAATTAACTAGTTATGGTATAATGCTATAGTTGGTTAGTTGGTTAGTTGGATAGTTGGTTAGTTGGTTAGTTGGTTGGTTAGTTAGTTAGTTGGTTAGTTGGTTAGTTAGTTAGTTAGTTGGTTGGTTGGTTAGTTAGTTAGTTGGTTAGTTGGTTAGTTGGTTAGTTAGTTGGTTAGTTGGTTAGTTGGTTAATTAGTTACAGTTAGTTATTGATGATTATAGTAGTATAATTAATAGTAGTCAATATACCATATTACTATACCTGACTACTATGAACTCAATTATTATACCATATATATTTATCCTTATGTTTATGATCACTATTATTAGGGACCTTGAGAGAAGGCTTTTGGTTTCTAAGACCTTGAAGTGGGTTTCTTTCCTCCGCTTTTGACAGGTCGTGTTTTCAAACAATTTTCAGCTCCGCTTCTGTTGGTCATGCGGATGTTGGATTGACATCCAAACTCCTTAATCGGTTCGAGACAAAACAATGGATTAGGACCATGGGCGCCGTCGGTTCCGTGTCCTCGTGCCGTTCCTGGAAGGGGGGTTATTTTCCAACGCGAGATTTCGGTTATTTTCCAACGCGAGATTTTGGTTATTATTCAACGCGGCATAGGTTATTTCTCAACGCGCTAAGGCGGTTCCTTCATGGCCATCTTGGTTTCTGGGTTTCTTGGTTTCTGGGTTTCTGGGTTCCTGGTCTGCTGGTCTTTTGGGTTTCTTGGTTTCTTGGTTTCCGGGTTTCTGGGTGCCCTCGGTTTCCTGGTTTCTGGGTTCCTGGTCTGCTGGTCTTTGGGTTTCTTGGTTTCTGGGTTTGTCGGTGTCTTGGTTTCTGGGTTTCTGGATTTCCGGGTTTCTTGGTTTCTGGGTTTCTTGTTTTCTGTGTTCCCGGCCTGCTGGTTTTTGGGTTGCTTGACTTCTTCCGGGCTTCTTTCCGGGTTTCTAGGTTTCTTGGTTTCTGGGTTCCCGGTCTGCTGGTCTTTGGGTTTCTTGGTTTCTGGGTTTCTTGGTTTCTGGGTTTCTGGGTTTCTTGGACCTATCCATCTATCCATCTTTCCACTCATCCATCCATCTATCGACCTGTTTATATGTCTATCTGTTTATCTGTTTGTCGTGCTGTCTTCCTATCTATTATTCCTGTGTTGTGACCTGTAAGTATGATTATTGCGCTATATTGTGCAGATATAGACGCGCATTTGGATAGTGAGTGTGCTTTCGACATTCCAGGCGCTAAATACGAATATGAACGGAGGCAATCCAAGAGCCTACAAAGTTTGTGGCCACAAGCACTATACAGATGCTTCCATTTTAGTCAGGCTAACCCTGAGATGAAATCCAGGTCCAAGATTTTGTAGTTTAAACTTGTGAATCTCATTTTATAAAGGAATCATTTTAGTCATATTAGTCCAGCATGAAAATCGCAGTGGCATTTTGTAGCATGACGTGATGAGCTTCATGCTGGCTTATCAAAGGGTATGTCCTTGTATGATACAGTTGTTGAAAACGAAGGGGCATTTTGTAGCTAAGGCTATGTTGGGGAAAAATGGAGCTCAGCATCCTCATTCTATAGCCCCAAGCTTGTGAATCCTTTTTATAACATACAGACCAGGGGTCACAGCGTCCAAACAGTAAATTCCAAGCAATAGGATTTGGAAAGCAAAGAGTTTGTTGAGCTCAACAGCGCGCAGCCGCTAAATTTCGTGGTGGGAAGCGTCGTGCCTGTGTGGTTTGGCTTAGCAAGTGCCGAATGTCAACAATGCTTCGCACGAATGGAGATTTGAAGCCATGCAAACATGTAGTTTATTGGTGCTGTGTGTGTTCGAAAGATTTGAGAAACCGTGGGAAGAATAGTAATACCACAATATAATCACAATATACTACAATGCTAAGAAAGGGAAAATCACAAGAACAAGACTAGGGAACGGAAGGCTGTTATTTTGCTTTGTGCAGGGTTGGTGGCATATAAATAGCAGACCGTGACCTGGTCACCATGCGCGCTGTCGTTGGCAAACATGTCGGCCTCTGGTTTTTGTTGCTGCTGGCGAGCCACTCGCTGCCGCCCCGCGATGAGCCTGTGATCGCATTGCCCTGCTTGAAGTATAGCAAGTGGAGGCGCAGCTGTCATGTTGGTCTGTGATGGCTGCTGAATAATGATGTTGATTTGGTAGAAATTGTGAAGGCGTGCATGTAGGTGTGTTTGTGTGTGTGTGTTTTCTGTGTGAATATGTGTGGCGCACATGAGTTGCAGAGTTCCTGCGTTCAGCACATGAGTTCAGCACATGAAATCGTGATGAACGTCTAAGCAAAGCTGGTGAGCACAGTTGTGCTGCCCTGGAGTCTGATCCGATGCAAATATGTCGGATGTCGGAAAGGTTCAAGTACCGAAGAAATTTGCAGAAGGAGTTCATGCCCGTTTCTTGGTGGGAGCAAGGCCGAGGTCCTGATTGTGTAGACTTGAAACTTGAAACAAAGTAAAACTTAAAGACACAAATTTCCAAATCAAGATAGAATTAAAACTCTAAAGCAAGGTCATCAAAATGTAGGCCCAAGGAAAAAGTAGTAATAAGAAATCAAACAGGCAAGTCAGCCAAGTCAGCGCACATGTGAATTTGACCAGCAGGATTAGGGGTTTTGGGGCAACGCATCAAAGCCGAGGAGGGGTTCCAATACAGCCATTGGAAGCACTGAGTGAAGGAACCACCAAAGGGGAGACTTTTGAACTAGTTCTTGTTCGAGTGATTTGAAAGCAGGAATCAGAATGAACCAGATATGTTTTAATACGAAAGTCCGAAACAGTTCCAAAGCCGAAACTGCATCAAAAATGTGAAGAACTTCATAGAAAAAGTGGGATTTGATTGTTCTCATCCTTTCAAAATTGGAGGCTTCAATGCCAAACGTATAGTCTCAAACCTGGTGACAAAATCGAATCGTTGATCATCACTGTCCTCATTAAATTGCAGAATTGCGCCTTTGGGGAAAAACTATTATTAGACAAACCGGTGGTTGGCTTTATCATATTGTATGCTTACTATGCCAATTTTTGATGGTGGTAGTAACCAACATCATTGGAGGAGTGAATTGTGAAGATTCGTGAGATTTCACACGTCAGGTGGCACGCCCTCACTTCACCAGTGTGGCTGCGGAGAATCACTGGCTGCGACGAGAGGCAAAGCAGAAAATTGTGGGATTTTCGCAATGGGGATAGTGGGCTTATCCCAATATGTAAGTGGGTTAGTATCCCGGTTAAGAACTAGGTACTACATGTACTACGTGGGCTGATCCTCTAAGTAACCATCAAAAAGTGGTAAAAACATCATCAATAATGGTGATGTATCGTTCAAAAGTTCGAATTTCATAATCCCAGATACCAACAACTTTTTTGCACAACTTTGCACCTTAAAAAAACATAGATGTTTGCTACTTAAAGCACAGAGGGAGCTTTGTGGCTGCTGCTTCAATCCCGGGCTCCCAAGGGTACGGTGGGAAACCGCGCCAAACAAGCTTAAGGATGAAGCCAACATGACGGTCCTGCCAGGCAAAGCGTGCTCAACGACCTCAACCTGGACACATGTTGGTATATGCATTTAACAGTGGGGAGCCGTTTTGCATTTTATGGTTTGAGGTTTGAACTATCCATTTTACAGCAACTCCAGGTAACCATTCTAGCATAAAAAATTGTTTTTATTTGTCAAAAAATATCCATATTACAGGCTTTCCCCATGCTACAGTGTAGAATGGTTGTCCCAAGTACCCCCCTGTTTATTTCAACGGGGATACAAATACACGTTAACAAATACCCAAGCTTGGGATGTATAAAATGCCACAAACCTCGGGTATGGAGCGTCTATAAAATGATAACCTTAACTTTAAATAATTTCGCCCAAACGCAGGGTATCTTGTCAATCCGGAAATTTGGTCCATTTTATCATGGAGATACAGATGTGTATATCCCTAAGAGATGGATTTATAGCCTTCCGAAAGGGGTATTTTACCACTAAGTAAGGGATTTTGTACCACTAAGGAAGAAGAAAGTATAGCCGCAAAATCTGTTGGGTATTCTATCCCTAAGGAGGGCGCACTGTTTACCAAAATTAGGATGGTATCTTGTCACGAAGAAAGGGTTCGTCTATATTCAAAAATTGTGGTATTGTATCATTAAAGGTGCGTTTTATACTCCAAATATTGTGGTATGTTTGCTAGTCTATCTTTGTGTCCCGCAAGTTGAACGGAATGCTAAATGGGTTCCCTCCATCATATGGGAAGACTGTTGTTGCGCTGTGGTTGTTTGAAAATGCGCATACCTGCTTTCCAATGTGGCCACGACACACTCCGGCCACGCTCTAGGAATCCTACATTCGACTTGGAGCTTATGCGAGCGGGGAAATGGAGAAAAAATGAGCTTCTGAGGGAGTTGTGTTGGGAAATGACCGTTTTTCGGTGTTGGAAAATGACCGTTTTGCAGTGTTGGAAAATAACCGTTTTTCGGTGTTGGAAAATGACCGGTGTCCCTTAGGACCATGGGCGCCGTCGGTTCCGTGTCCTCGTGCCGCGCCGGATGGGAGTGGCGCTTCTTTGTTCCAGTGCCACTTGATGAGGGAGAACTGCCATTGGCGGGACAACGGGAAGATATCTATTTTCCGGCAGGAGACGGTTGTGACCGGTTGTGCCACACGACCCGCCTGGGATTTGCTGGGTTCAAAATCTATGAAGTAAGACCTGCTGGGAACCACTTGGATAGCTGTCTCTGGGGTTCCTCGACGTTTCTATTTTGACCAGGAGATGGTTTGGGCTTGAAACTGCGCAACTTGGAAGCGAAGAATTTCAGTCCCGGTCACATCTGACAATCACTCTCGTTTCAAAGATCAAAAGACACATTTTATCTGCGGACTCCCGAGGCAACGGCAGCTCGCAGTCCTTGGAGGTGAAAAAACGTTTGAATCAGTCGCCCGAAGGTGCGGAGCAGTGGAGCAAGAGCCTTCATCGAGGCGAGGCAAAGTTATGGCGGTTTTGTAGTGCGGATAAACATCGGGATTTCATTGGGATATACCACATCAATTGGGATGTAATTGTACCGTGATATACCACATCAATTGCGATTGAATTGGTATTTATGTCCGAATTTGGGATGATAATTGGAGATATATACCATGATACATAAACAACATAATGTAATAGTATACTAAACCCTAGAGAGATTCAGACAAGTACATCATCGCTATTTTTGTCGGATTTTACCAAGCTCTATCTTTTTGGGGGTTGCTGCTATACAGTAAACAGTAATCGTTTCCAGAGCGAAATAGTAAATCTTGGTGAAGGATACAATGGGTGAATGGAGGGAGCCTTTAGGAGCTATGGTTGTATCATATTCCCAGTGGGGAGCCAGCCGATTTGAGCAGATTTTCTCCGATTCTCCCAGGTTCATCATGGTGGATCTCTATCCCTAAGGGGGCCCCAACATGACAGGCTGCCTCAATGCAGATGGGCTGTTAGATGTGACCAGATGCGCGGAGCAGATTGGGATTGCTCCAGAGGAGTCGAATTTTTTCAGGGGTCCTTCTGTTTGAAAAAAATGATTCCGATAGGTCCCATAGGTGAAGAGTTTTCCTAGCCTGTGAAGAGTCAGTTCTCTTGGAGGTTGGCATCTATGATTAGCCATGCTTTCTGGAGTTGAGCTGCCAAGAATGGTACGGAGTGATGCTTCTCAAATTGACGGAGTTGATATTCCCGCAAACTTATATACTGAAATGAGATCTCCAAGTACCAAAATTGAAGGTTTGAGACCCCCAGTGCCGTTCGCGACGTCTCAGTGCCTTTCAGTGCATGTTCAAATCAGAGAGTACAGTATTTTTTTTTTTTCTGGCTGGTTATGTCTACCCTCTGGTTTATTTAACATAGCCATGGTATAGATGGCCCATTTATAGATGCTTTACCTAGCTATAAAATGGTGATTTTCCATGGCTATGTTAAATAACCAGATGGTCTAAGGTATATCTATCTATTGGAAAACCCTTTGCCAAAGATGTGGTTTCTAAAAATGTTCCCTTGAGGTCCTTTTCTCTTCCGCAACATGGCAGGTTTTGGGCTTCAAACTCTTAGACTTCCCCGGGCCCCTTTTGGTCGGAAAAGACCACAATTTTTGTTGGTGAAAACCCATTCAATCCCAAGTTGTTGATGTTTTGATTCAAAATTTTGCTGGGTGATTTCCCCATTGAGTCACAACTGAATTCCCAGCTCATCCAATGTCCTGGGAAGGAGTTCGCCGCTCGCGGCCTGCCGGTGGTGCGGGTGCGCAAGAAGCGGCGATGGACCGAGCTGGGGGAAGAGGTGGGGCGATCGCTAGATTCTATATCTTGGTGAAAATTTGTAGGGTTAATATGGATTAATGATGGTGAATGACGGCGAGTATACATGTATATAAATAAATATATATATATGCAATATATGCATTGTGAAGTGCGTTAGCTTCTTTATTTGCAATTTCTGTAAAATCCAGAAACTATTTCTTGCACAGGTAGAAACCATTTGCTAAATACTAGAAACCATTTGCTAAATACTAGAAACCATTTGCTAAATACATCTAAATACTAGAAACCATGTGCTGAATACTAGACACCATTTGCTGAATATTTGAAACCATTTGCTAAATACTAGAAACCATTTGCTAGATGAATCGAATACATATGTAAAACCAATTGCTAAGCAAAGTGGAAAATGCAGAAACCACATGATTTACCAGGATCCATTACTTAAATCAAAGGGTAATAGTTGCAAGTAAAAGCTGTTATTGACCATGTTATCAGGGTAAACCTATGCAATCTTGGAACAGTCATTTGCCAATACTAGGTGGTGAGAAAGAACCAATGTCTTTACCCCACGTGCCAGTTCAATTGTACCTTTGCGCCTCCTTCACCGGTGGTTCACCACAGTGTTTCACGGTTGACGCTTAAAACTTGAAACCATCTAGAATCCAATTGGGAGTACTATCACGCCAAACCAGTTGTAATGCTTGTTCAATCCAGGAAAGGGTGTATCAAACAGCAACAAAAGCATGGCATACTCTGTGCCCAATGCACTTTGTGCCAAATGCGCCATACAACACTGCGAATGCTTCCACATGCGATACCCACAAGTTGTGGGATCCAAAAAAAATCAAAAACATATGTTTCCCAAACAAAACCCAAGTGGCTGATAGCCTTTGCGCGTGAGTTGGGGGATGTTGTGAGCCGGGTTTTAGCCACATGGCATTTTTGACACCTCAGAGGATACCCAAGTCAGGATTTCCCCCACAAAGTCGGGACTGGTGTGTGCTTGAACTTTTTCTCTATCTGTTTCGACCCTGTCCACCATTCAGGGCCTAGATGGTTTTGTCTCGAACATAGGGGGTGCTTTTGCGAGCATTTACAGAAATTTGGATTGCGAAAACAATGACAAACTATGCATTGAGAACCGATGAGTCAAATGAGTGATCTTGTAGCTATACATATGGAGTATCAAAGAACATCCTGCATATCATACCCTTTCAATTGTGACTATTATGACAGGTAATCACCCCAACAACAGTTTTAGGGAAAACCGATGGGCATAGCATCTCTTTTCATTTGAACAAGTAACGTTCAATTCTTGAGCATGAGAAATGCAAACAGGTGATGTCTCAATGCAGGATTCTTTAACAGCAACAGCAAACTACGCACAGCAAGACACAAACTCAATCGTGTTTGAACTCTTCAACGCAGTTTCAGTTTTCTGTAAAGTCAAGAAACATTCCCTTCCGTAGCACTTCCCTTTACACAGAATGTGATGAAGGCCTCTCGAAAGGTCCACCAGCTGCGCAGGTCGACTGCCTTTTCATGGTTGAAGGTGATCAGGGACTGATAGCAGAGCGCTACACATCCGTCTCAGTGGAAGCCACAGATTTGCAGGAGAGGCTCACAGATTACGGATCACTGCAAATTCTTGGTGCATACCGCCCCTTTTCATCCCTTTTCTGGTTGATGGTTGTCAGAAACAACTTTCCAGTCTTCAAAAGGGGTCCTATATAAATCATTATAAATCTATATATCCATTTTTACCGTCAAAGTGGGTGATATAATCAACAACACCTGGCCAACTTGTGGCCCCATTGATCACTGATTTCTGAGGCCATATCCAGGTTGCTGGGTTTTAGATCCAAATTTTGGTAGATGAAATCCCCATTGTGGTCGGTTCATATTAGCGAGTCCCGATTTATGGGTTTTCCCATTTGCAACTGGGGTGTAATTCTGGTACGTTACAAAAACCGTTTCAATTCCCATTAAATCCACACTTCCCTATAGTTAAATCACCATTTTGCCTACTTACTAGTAACTCAGCATTTTATATAATTACTTGAATTACTTGGTTGTCTCACCATTTTGCCAAGCCAAATCCCCTTTTTTTGTCTGGTGAAGTCCCCCTTGTCATTGCTGGGCCCAAGCACCGAACACCCAGACTTTTTCACCCCCGGACCTCGACAGGACGTTCTCCGTGTGACTCGTCAACTGCAGCTTCCCGACGCTCGGTGGCCGAGATAGGGATCCATAAATTTTCAGCGATGGTTCAGCTGGGCTCCAGCTGATTGTGGGACCTCAACATATCAGTAGAAAAAAGGAGATATTGAACGGGGAAACAGTAGAACTACATGGCCAGCTACCCAGCTTGAATATGATATTTGGGATTGTCTCGAAATGGGGTGTTTACCACCACGTTCTGGCCTTTTCAATAGGACAGATGATGATAATCCATTGGAATTCGGAGTACCATCCGGTACCATCCGGTACCCTATTTCCAACCAAAGCCAAGTTTTGAGGACCCCAAAGTATCCAAGTTATCCGTGATTTTGTAAAAAAAACCAAATGGTTTGGGTCCAGTTGAACTGTTGGAGAACCGAATCACATCTTGGGATTCCTATTGTGCGGTCTGCTTGGCCTAAAAAAGTTGGAAATCCCGCACCGAAGTTCTCATTGTAGGAGGTACTTCAACAGTGGTTTCGTTGGACCCCGATTTTGAGATATGGGGGTTTCTTGAAATGGGGGCGAAAAAAAAAAAACACGGCTTTCATTACTAAAACGGTCTAATGACTTGGATGATTTGGGGTACCTACATTTTAGGAAACCTCCATATACCCAGTTAAAGATTTTAAATGAACAAAAACACCAGCCTCTGTGATTTTTTTCTACGCAAATGATTTCCACCATATCGCCGTCGATGTTGGATAGGTGCGCATCTCATGTCATGTCGAGTGGTTTTGTCTGAGAATTTTAAGGGTGAATCCCGCTAAATCCATTGATGAAAACACATTTTCCCCATGAACATGGCAATAACTTGGAACCACCACATTTTTGGACACACCCTAATCACCATGCCATCATAGTTGAAATCCCCATTGATGGTGAAACCAACATTATTGTTGGGTTTACAGCTCCATTTAAGGCTGGAACCTTCCAAGGAGTTGTCCTTTCGAGGGGACACGTTCTGCCTCCAAGGACAACGCTACCATGGCGGGCTATCCGCAGATCGTCCAGCGCCTTGCAGAACGCGCAGGATCACCCGGGTGACAAGCTCGATGCTGGGATCATCCGTTGGTACATAATTACGATAATTACTGGTACAGGATGATTTTATCGGTGGAACAACGCCCAATTGGATGTGGTTCCACTCGCCTTTAGTGACTGCTGTTTCTTACTTTTGTGGCGTTCGACACCGCCCTTGTACAGATGGGTTGGTGCCGGGAGAACTTAAAAAGTGGACCGCTGGGATCGAAGCCACTTGCGTCCCCAGTAAGCACCTGAGGACCTGGTGTGGCTAGCCATGAGTGCTGAGGCATACAACCAGCTGGTCAGAGGTCCCAGTTATACTCCTCCACGACTTGACGGTCGTGCAGGGATGCTCAGCAACCCGGGATAGGGCTGGTTCCTGCTGAAACGTGGATGACACGGCCAGTTCAGCCAAGATAAGACTGTTGGAGTGAGTCTTTGCGGCTTTCCAATGTTGATCCTGTGGGAACTGATCCCTCAAACTGTGAATCGCAAGGGCACCAGTGACTCATTGATCCCATAGCAGCTATGTAGCCTGGGTTGTGTTGATCCCATGGGGTTCAAGTGCAAAGAGCATCCACAAGTTCCACAAGTTCCAGCTCAAGTAGTTCAGCAAAAATGATTTCACTGGAAAGCCTCAGGCACTTGGGTTTGCTATGGGCTTTGCCCCCCAAATAGCAATTTTAATCAGGAACATGGGCGCGACCACATCTGCAGGTGTACCTGGTGACCGGTGTCGTACTCAGAGGACAAGTGTCACTAGTGGAAGCGGCCGGGGCACCATATCAATCCATATCATTTAAATGGAGATTTAACTATATTCAGCTATAAATGATAGGCATTTGTTACCATCAAGCATGAGGGGATTGATAAACGAGGGTTGGTTGATGATTGCATGGGGCATGTTGGTGCTCTTCCATGCTCTTCCCCCTGTTGACCCAAGGTGCCAACTCTGGGATTGGCTACGAGGCTTGCAAGGCCTGGCGATGGCTCAAAACCTATGGATTCTTCGTGATTCTCCATGAATTTGAGGATGACCCTCCATTTACCCACTGGTCAACTGTTACATAGCGAACTGGAAAGATCCACCATTTTCAGTGGGTAAATCCACTATTTCGACTGGGCCAGCTATTCAATAGCTATGTTAAATTACCGGAGGGTCAACTTGGTCAGCCAGGATACCAACATTTTGACCCAGAAGTGTTTGTTGACCTCATGATTTTTTGTCGCTTCAATTCGCAGGGAGCAACAACGTCCTGGCACTTGCACACCTACTTGATGCTCCGTCACGAGAAGTTCTTTTCAACTTCATGCTACGCTATATTCTATATATTATATTACTTGATGCTACGTCATAAGAACTTCTCTTGATGCTATGCCATAAGAACTTCTCTTGAGTTGATGCTACGTCGTAAGAACAAGTGGTCAGAATTAAGGATCAAGTGGTCAGTTGGCAAGTTGGCAAATGAGCAAACTGTCCCGGTCATTCTCAACGTTTTGACATTGTTTATGGCAGCCAGCGTTTCCCACATTCATCATCATTTATCCCTATTGTTGATGGTTAATATCCCGTTACAATCCCTATATTATATATCATTATATAATATAATATTATATATCCGTATGTCATGGGGGATGGGATGATTTACACCATTCCAGTCAACCATTCATCTATGATGGTGGCTTAAATATAGCCACTGTTAACTATGATTAACCATAGGCTGATGTATCACAGAATTGGATGATGGGACTTTTTTTACAGGAAACCCTAAAAGATTTTTTTGATGGTAAAAACCATGGTAGAAACCCATGGGAAAATCCGATATCGTCCCAACGCATCCGCATTAAGACTACCATGCCCCAGTGTTAGGCCTTCGCGCTGGCGGGCGCCACGGTGATCTTTGCTTGCCGCGATGCCCAACGGGCGCGGGACCACGATCGACTACAGCTTTGGGGATGTCATAGAGGACTTTTAAAGAAAAGCATCGGATTTTCTCGTGTATATAATATATATATATATATAATATATATATTTATATTGGTATATATTGTCTTGGATGAAGACCTATAATTACCAGATATCTGAAGGCGAACTAAAGGGTACTAGGGTTTGATGGTTTTGACCCAAACCCTTTTGCCCCTTCGGTTGGTATTATTGCAACATGTCGGAACGTGCAAGGGGAGAATTGGCCAACGCCGGATCCGTCATTCACCCAGGCGAACGCGGCAATGGAGTCCATTGCGAAACTGCCTGGGGTGAGAGGTGAACAGCATTTCTTGCCCAGATCCTCAGTTCCATTCACTTCCTCTGCTGACCTGCTGTACATTTGTTGCGACTTGGATGTTCTGCATTGACAGAAGTGGAGGATGGGACAAATCTTTTCAAGAAACCATGTGTTTTTTTTTAAACCACAAATAAGGGTTTCGGTTTCTTCAAGCCATTTGGGTATGACATTTTGACCCATTTCAGGTCAACAGGGGTGTGATGGTTTGGGTGCACCCTTAGCACGGACCCGACAGCAGCCAGTTGGCTTAGACTTAGACGGTCGCAGGTTGGCAGAGTTAAGAGATGAGAAAGGATGAAATGGGTCTGTACTCTCAAAAATTGGTGGTTCATCATCATCTTCCCCATGAAAAAAGGCCAAAAAAGGCGTAGTACGTCCTTGGTACACCCCATTTCCAAAGATATCCAGATATCATCAGATATCCACATACCTTGTGGACTTCATGTATATTTCAGACTTTTGCCGGAACTAATTTTTAGTTGGCCCTGCTGGAGTCACCTTCGGTTGACTCGATCCCTTTAATGGCTTCGTTGGTGACTGATCTACCAAATCTCTTTGATCATGTGGGTTCATCTTTGGTTCCAGGAACCCCACGCTGAAACGGGATATTTCCAGATATTTCCAGTTAGAGTAGTCTTTGTTTCTCCAGTTACTAGCCATGTTATCAGCACAGCAGATCAACCAAAACTCGACCTTTTCCATCCACCTCCGGCAAGCCATGAACTGCGGCTGCTGCGGGGTGCTGAAACTTTTGGGGGCTCATCCTGAGCTGGTGTGGTTCGGCAGGGTGGGAAGTAACAAGATTAGTTTATCATCAAAGTACAACACCGTCCTAAGCACATGGCTTTGGAATGTTTTTTGTTTTTGAATTCTAAGTTGGAGTTCGTCACGATGAAATCGTTTTGTTGCACATCAAATTTATACCGCATGTTTTTTTGACAGCGGCCACGTCGCAACTGAAACACCATGACATTTGGATCTAACAACAACCGGATTTCGCAGGTGACCTTCACCACCTTCTGTTATCCTGGAAAGAGTTTGGGCCTGCTATGGAGGCCGCCTTGGTTTTGCCAATGGGCCTTAGAGTGGAACCGGGTTATGAGAGATGTGGAATTTGGATTTGTTTCCCCCTCAAGCAATGATTTTAGTAAAGGAACATCAACTATAATTGGAACATCAACTATAAATGGATAGATTTCCATAGATTTCCTCTACTTTTTTGTTTCTCTTTCCCCGCCCTTCAACCATTTCTTCACCCAACCAATGCATCATTCCCCAAGCCCCCCGTCGTGCCAGGGCAGATACCAAGTTTCTGCAGCAGCTCTGTGACAAGGTGCCCAGTGAACAGATGCAGCGGGATCTGCCCATCTTTTTCCGCGAGGCGGTTTCGCCCGTTGTTTCGCAAGGGCGGACAGAACATGATGTGGGTATGGATCAATACCTATACATACCATTTTTAATGGGATGAACATCCATTTACCAGCTATTTTGATGTTCACCAGGGGTACAAGGTTTTGACACACTGCCATGTGTGTTGGAAACGTCACAAGAACAAGTATCAGACCCTGAATACACTATCAGATTTGTTGACTGGTTGGTGGTTTGGAACATGAATTTTATTTTTCCATATATTGGGAATAATCATCCCAACTGACTTTCATATTCACGTCGCTTCGCGACGGCAACCGCCCGCACCGCATCGTTACCAAAAACATCCGAAAGTACTGATTGTCGGAAAAAAACACGCGAAGAATTTGATAGCCATGTATAGCGGACCAACGCAGTTCAAAAAATAACGAAAAACATGAAAAAACGGCGAAATTGCTGTTATTTACAGTGTTTTTGCACGGTGAGAAGCAGAAACCACTGCAAATACCATGGTTTTTGAGGGTCAGGTGGCCAAAAACACTGTAATTTACAGTGTTTTTTTAACCAACGTCAAAAAACACTGGTATTTACGATGTTTTCATTCACACCGTAACATAAAACAGCGTAATTTACGAGGTTTTTGGAAGTTTTGAAGCTAGCCGTCAAGCATGCAGAAAACAGAAAAACATTGTAAAAACCAGTGTTTCTGCTATCACAAAACGACGAAAATCAGTCCGAAAACGGGTCCAAAAACTCAAAAATCCGCCTCCGGGCCAGGCCACCTGCGGAACCGCAAAAAAAGATGTTGCAAACCAAAAAATTGAGGTCAAAAAGTTGAAAAACACGGGGTTTTTCACTTTTCGCTTGCCGATTTTGGACGGGCGCGTTCACGAACAGGTGTCTTCCGTACTGTTTTTTACAGTGTTTTTTGAAGGCGAGCGTCACGACCTATCAAAAACAGGAGGTTTTGGCCGAAAAATGCCCCCCCCCCCGCCAGGTAAACCTGTAACCTTTTACGAGTGCCATCCGGACGATCACGCCCCAGCACCTTCGGTGCGGGCGGATTTTTCAGAGGGGTTGAAACCACCAACCAGTTGATGACATTTACCAGTCCAGGCAATACCGTGTTTTTTCCTTGCAGACAAGCGGCCAAAACCTGCAGCTGCCTTGAGGACCACCTTCCATTTGAAACGAATGGCCACCAAGAATGACCCAGCCAAATGTGAGATTCAAGTGGGATTCAGAAACTCCACTGTCTTCACTACGCCACTACGCTTCAGAAACTCCACTGGCCATGTGGTTTTCCATGGCTAGTCCCATGGCCATCCATCTCTCCATCCCCAGATGTCAGGTGAGCTATCGTCAGTTCATGGATGTCCTCGTGCCACTGCTAAGCAGTGCTGAGCTCCAACCGCAGGTTCTGGCCATGTTGAACAGCCTGGGCTCTTCAGGCGCGGGGAAAGCTTGGGTAACCACCAAAAAGATGTAGAAAAGGATAGGACAGGTATGGACATTTACCACTGGAACTATCTGTAACTATCTGTAACTTTGGATTGGATTTTGTATGATTTTACTGACGTCTGCTTCTTTGCAAGGGGGGTTCGGGGGTTCCTGTACTTTTTGCCAGGATAGTGCAGGTATTCTCAGCATCCAATTTCATCCAACATCAGTCTGACTATACTGAAGAACTTCATAGTTTGCTGAGATATTATCCAATATCATCCAACTATACTAACTATACTGACTATACTGAAGAACTCCCATGTTTTTTGGGAATCGTACCTTGGAAAGTTCTACCCGATGGCAGAGATTTGGGGATTTTGAATCTGGCTGGGCCATGGGCCATCGTCCCAGGTGTTGCCGTTGAATGGCAAGGGAAGCTCCCGAAAATGACCAAGTAGATGTACAATGATGTACATACTCTAAATAAATGATAATAAAGCCTATAGTATGCCTATAGTATGATATAATATGATATATATATATGTATAAAACTCCTACTATATATATATATATGTATATATACACGTATTAATTAAAATATCATTCATGTGTATATATATATAAATGATACATATATATATATACACATACGTATATTATACATACATATATAGATTGTGTGTAGGTTCTGAAGATCTCCTGCAGGCATTGTCCATGGTCTTTGACACCGAGGTGCCATGCTGGTGGTGCTGAACAGCGCGCCCAAAGGGAAGCTCTCCATCGTGTTGAAAGCACCCGTAGAGGCGCTGAACCCATCGGGAAATCCATTGGAAAATCCTGATGGAAAACATTGGGAAACCTCTAATAATGACCACCTATCCAGAATTATCCAGATGTTTCTTTCTTTTTTTTTCTTTTTGCAGATCCTTTGGTGGTTTCGCATCGGGGATGGGCTCGAATCACCCATTTGGCGTGTCCATCTGTCCATCCCTTTTCAGGGACGGAGAACACATCTTCCATGGGTGGGAAAAACGAGGTTTCCCAAGGAGCAGATATCCCCAACACCCAGTCCAAAAATCGGATAATCATCAAACATCATCAAACATCAATCCCAAAAAAAAACATCAAACATATGCAAACATCACAACTCAGGACATTCCAACAAAATGGAGGTTTCCTAAAATAGGACTACCCCAAATCATCCAAGTCATTAGACCATGACTTAGCATAGGTTAACCCATGGTGACTTGGGGATCCCCTATGACTAACTATATTTCATCTATTGATGGTTTATCCAGTGTATCCCATGAAATCACCATTTCCTCTAGTTAAATCACCATAAATCACCATAGTTGGAATGACATTCCATATTTTGGTGGCTTCATCTAGCTTTCCATAGCTTTCCTGAAAAGGATGACCACCAGGGCCCCAGGGCAACCATCAACTGCTTGGGGATCCACGGTTGACCCGTTGACTCGGCAGGTGCTTGTGCCAGTGGTGTCAGCCACCACGGCAGGCAGTGCACGGGACGTGCTGGTCCCTGTGCTTCAGGAGATTTCGAATTTGTCCATGGGAAATGCTGGTGGGCTGGAAAACACTCGCATTAAATGGAGGTTTTAATATGTTTTAATGATGGGAAAATCATGGGAAAATCAACTAATTATAAACGGAGGTTTCAATGGACAATTCTTGAGAAAATCATCGAACTAACTGGTGGAAAATGAGTATCTAAAGCCATTTTCACCATACTAAATTGGTTGTATCATGTTGTATCCTGAAATCTTTGAGTGCCCGATTTTCCACAAAAGTGTTTTTCTTGGTTTTTTGCCCTATTAGGTCCTAGATGTATGGTCATCAATCCATAGGGATAGATGGATACATGTATATATATATATTATAATATACATATATTATAATATACATATATATATATATACATGCATATATCTTATAATATATATACATATTATAATATATATATACCCATTATGTTTGGATTGCAATGGCATGGGATAACCATACCAAAATTAAAAAACCCATCTAACTTTGATCATGGCATGTGCAACCTTCGCAGTTTGTCTTTCTTTAGAAACGCCATTGACTAGTTCAATGTTGGCTAAGCCTACCATAAGGACCATAGACTTCACCATACTTTGCCTCACTAAATCCCATTTATCATACCCTCTGGTAAACTGTTACATAACTATCGAAAATCACCATGTTTAATGGGAAAATTCACTATTTCTATGGCCATTTTCTATGTCGCTATGTAACAAATTACCAGAGGGTATCCCATGAAAAACCCATGAAGTCATCCCATGGCGAGGAGTCAGATGAGCTGCTCTCCGGAACCCTGGTGCCTCTGCTAGGCACCTTGGACCCGTGGTTCACCTGACCGTGAGGCCTTCCAAGTACCTAGAAACATGGGCTAATATCATGGGTACTATAATAATGGGATAATCATATCATGCTGGGATCATCATATCATGATGATAAAGTAATAATTATCCTCATTATTCCTGAATTATTCCTCATTTTTTTGAGACTTTCAGCTATTTTCATGGGTACTTATGGTACTTGGAGGCGTAGTTGTATACGGCTTGTCATCCAACTACTTGTACTACGTGGGACACACATCTACTTGCAGGGTGGAACTTTCCAAGCCACCCTGTCAGGCTTGGTGACGGAACCAGAGCGAATGGCTATGGTGGTGAACCAGGCTGTGCGCTTCCTGCAACTGCAGTGGACCACAAGCGGATTGTGAAGATCCTACCAACTCAGAGGGCACGGAGTAGGCTTCAATTGGTTTATGTTCAGAAGTTTATGACAAGGTTTTGACCCACTGAAGAGTGGCAGAGACTGCTGTATCAGTGAGCGGTCATCCATCACCCCTGATATGAGTCAAGGGGATCAAAGAAAACTCCAACCCTTCGCCGTCAGATTTGATGGAGTAGATTGGCATAATAACATAAAACAATATCATGATATCATATGCACACATGCACACACTCACAACGTATACATCTACCATTTGTATTCATATGTAACCTTCAACCAATCCCAGGTGCAGGCGAAGGTGTTGATCCCGATCCTCCGTGGCGTGCGCGCGGAGAAGCTGGCGGCCATCTTGAACGGTCTCAACAAGGAGTTGCGTTTCGAGGATGGCTGCGGATTTTGTTCGATTTTTTTTACACCAAAATCGACAGAAATAAGGATCCCCAGTAAACATCAATAAACCCAAAGAAGCATCCGAACCTGATCCTAAGCCCATCTAAGCCCAACCAACAAACCCCCCCCATGGCTGGTACAGGAGGACCTAGCTTTGAGCGGCTGTGCGGGGCAGCTGCTGCAGCTGCTGGGTACGGCTGGGAGGCTCCCGGCCTTGGAAAAGGTGGTGCCGTTGATGGACCAGGCGGAGAGTGGAAAGATGCTGCGCCTGGTGCAGGGCATCCCGGTGCCTTGGTGGTTGGGAGGTTGGGGGGTTTGGGGGTTGTGAGGTTGGGGAGAAGTTTGATGTTTGTTTTTCTTTTGGATATGTCAATGTTTTTCCTTGAACAGTTACCCTCTGGTTATTTAACGTAGCCATGGAAAATGGCCCATAGAAATAGATGGTTTACCTAGCTATAAAATGGTGGATCTTTCCATGGCCATGTTAGTCATAACCAGAGGGTATATGGAAAGTGTTGGGATGGGGACTGTTGGGAACCTCAGCAGCTACCAGTCCATGTGGGTTTTCTGAACATAGGTACCAGCAAAAATTGACTACTTATTATTACTCATTATATTATATTTTATTATATTTTGTTATTGTTTATCATTGTTCATTATTGTCTATAGAATATATTATTGTTTATTGCATTTTATTTATTATTGTTCATTACTATGTATCACAGTGGTGTTATTTGTTTATAATCATTTACTATCATTATCTATTATGATACTATCCATGTATTAGTTATTTATTTATATTTTAGGTATCATTACTACAATAATATTTGTAGTATTATTGTTATTTCGATTCTTTTGCTAACAACTACATAACTATCATTTAAAGTATCATTCCCCTCATCGAAATTGGCATTTGGGGGCTATACACCCCATTTTTTGGACACGCCGTAGCCTGAGGCAGAAAAAATGTTGGACGTCTTGCAGAGTCTGGAGACCAAAGACGTCCTGAGACTTTTGGAGACGCTCGGCTCAAGTGCGCTGCCGGCGATATCAAGGTGCCATACTCTTAGGACAACTCCAAAAAAATCAAGCTCTATTTGATCTCTGGGGTGAATCGCAGAGGGTCATTACATATACATATTATACAATATTATTATTAATTATTATTATTATTTATTATTTATTATTATTTATTATTATTATTATATATATATATGTTATGTTATATATATATAGACATGTAATATGCGGTTTATATCTTTGAATCATACGGCTGGTCCAAGAGCACCTGACCTTTCCAGACTTTTCGGGGGTTTGGCGCCCTTCTCCACAAAGCTGAGGTTAGATTACTGGCTGATTGTTGGTGGAAATTGCCAAATGATGGATTACTGGTGATCAATTTTCAACAATTTTCCGAGTTCCTATAGTTGTTGGTGACATCCAAAGTCATTTTGTTGGCTGAGTCATAATTTTGTGCTGATGAAATCCTCAAATTTTTGCTGGTCGAATCACCTTTTGTTCTTTCAGAGTCCAAAGCTGTGCCGGTTGAAGTACCACTTTCGTTTGTGACCTCCGAATTTTGGCGATTTTTGGACAGTTTTAGATGATTTATGTACCCTCTGGTAAACTAACAGTTTGCTATTGAAAATGACCATTTATAGTGAGTTTTCCCATTAAAAATGATGATTTTCCCATTGAAAATGGTGAACCTTTGTCACGTTTCGGAAAGGAACACCAACGCCGACTTCGTGGTGCGTCTCTTCAACGGACCCCTGGACTCAGTTCCTTGGATGGCAAGCCATACATGGATCCTATGGGTTACCCTCTGGTAAACTGTTACATAACTATGGAAAGATCCACCATGCTATTAATGGGAAAATCCACTAACTGGTGATTTTTCAGCTGGTCACCCAGACATGGCTATGGAGAAAAATACCTATGAAAATACCAGCTATTGAGTGGGTTATTCACATCCATTTTAACCCAGCTATTTTGATGTGAACAGAAGGGGTACAAGGTTTTGACACACACCCATTTTAGATTGATTTGGTTGAATTATGTTGAATTCTACTGGCATCAGCTGGATGTCACCGTAGAGGATGGTTAGAGGGGAACTACACCAATATCGGTTGATTTGCGGTTGGCAAAGCATTATAATTCAGCCAGGTTGATGATTCATATATATATATATTAATATTATATGATGGGATTGGACAGAAATGTTCACCATCTGCCAAGGGCTCAAGTTATACGGACCTTTGGGGTAAACTGTGGCTCCAGTTGTATCCCATGGTATCGGCAAGCGCGGCAAGCCCACACTCCCCCGATCTCCACAACAAGCCCTCCCCAGTTATATTGGATATATGAATATATATGATATATATCCATCACAAATCCAAAAGAATGCCTAGTTATATGTAGCCCAACATAAGCCTATCGTCTGTGGGCCCTTTTCTTGTTACATTCCCATTTTGGTTGCAATCAGTGAATTCCACGACATGGTTTCTACTTCAAATCCCATTTTTTCATGTTTCAAATGTTTCAAATGTTTAAAATCACCATTTTCCTGGCATTTCACAGGGGTTGGTAACTGTCCCATTTTGGGTCTATTGGACATCACCTGAAAAAGTAGCCATTATAGACCATATACCGATTTTGGTTGGGTGATGTTCAATGGGGACATTTAATGACCCATTGATACCTATAGTTATATCTGCCATAAACCATAGTTATGGGAGTTATAAACCAACTTATCTAACTATGGGGCACCATTTTCCTGGCATTTCATGGCATTTCGCTCCAATCCCAAACCATTCGCTTCGCTTCGCTTCGCTTCGGCTTCGGCAGGTGGTGTCCACCATGGCGGGCTCCGTGGCCTCGGCCCTGACGGATCGGACCATCGCGGAGTTGGTGAAGCATAGCACCGACACCATCCAGGTGGGCTTAAGCCCGGTGGAACATGGGAAATCCATGGAAAATCCATGGAAAATCCATGGAAAATATGGAAAAACCATGGAAAATCCATGGAAAATCCCATAACATGAATGATTCTTGGGGGATTTTAGGGGTAATCCGGTAAATGAATGACGACTGAAGGTTTTCTTGATACGTTTGGGGTATCCCGCCATTTTCGGAAAGCTCCATTTGCGAAGGGGATTGAATGAACCTTCACATTTTTTTGATTCAGCATGTTATTAAGTGTTATTTAATGTTATTACACCACAATTATGTCATATTATGTACATGATCATCTATAGTATTACTAATTTATACTATTTGATGGTAATAATATCTATAGATGATCATATATTTAATATGTAATATCTATTTAGATGATTTAATCTATATCTTAACGAGCATCTAAGATCTACGAAAAACCAGGTATTTTGGGATCATCCCCCCGTAAGGCTGGCCTGGCGAAAGCGGATGACGTCTTGGCACGCGGGCAACAGGCGGTGTTGCAAATCGTTTCGGGGTCAGTGTATGATGGCGTTGTTCTTATCATCATTGCCAACGACAAATTTACCATGTTTGATATATTATGATACTGGTAATGATGTCAATAATTCATAACTCCGTATTAGAATCACTACAATAATCATGCATTAAGTGTAACATTTGTAACAATTAGCAATCATCCTCCCTATCATTTGCTGCTGTTATCATCATTATTGAAAGTAGATGTACTTCGGCAAGTTAAGTTGTGATTTACTTTATCATTCCCTTTAACAGTATGATGATCCTTGAAAATGATTACTGGAATTCTACGGTAATAATAATTACCTTAACCATGATTGTTGATACGGCTAGACTCCTAGACACCTATGTGCTACAATGTGGTACTGACACTAGATAATAACTAACTACATATAGTTACATAACAATTCATAAAAAGACGACCATACTACTAACGCTATGTATAGTAATAATTGAGGTTCGATGGACATTAATACAATTATAGATGAACACTATTATGGATGTTATCTATTACATACAAATTGTTCAATAATTTTGATCATCGATCGTAATATCCATCAATATTGTTGAGTAATACTATGACTATATCATTAGATGATATAGTACTACTACTGAGGCTCTAGTTTATAGAAAATTATTCATTCTTGATTATTGATAGATTATGATGATCTATAGATTACAATTATGTAATAAAGATATTGAATACAATTAATTCTCATACATTGTTCATCAATGATAGTAGTAAATAGGTGTATATTACACCACCACTATAACACTCGAGAATAATTCTATAGAGCTAGTACAACAATCTGTGCTATTACTATGTAATATCTTTATTATTCAACAAGATTGATTCTGTAGATGATACTATATATCAATATAGATATAGTAATACTATTACAACACAATTATCTATATTTATCGTATATAGTATTACCAATTTGATGGTAATAGTCAATTAACGAGCATCTATAGATCAAAGGTAATTATTAATAATCTATTGATAATAAGCTGCTCTGTGTAAAAGTTCCTGTAGAGCCTCTATTTGTAAAAAACCTTCTGTATGTAAACGTGGCTGTGTGTAAGAGCTTATGTGTGTAAATCTCCTTTGTGTAAGGACTTCTCTGTGTAAAAGCTCCTGCGTGTCAAACCTTCTCTGTATAAAAGGTTTCCCACAGGCTTCTCTGTATCAAGACTTCTCTGTGTAAAGACTTTTCTGTGGTCCTTGTGTCAAGACTCCTCTGTGTAAACACGTCTGTGTGTCAAAGTTTCTGTGTACAGGCTTTTTTGTGTAAAAAAGTATGTGTGTGAAAGCTTCTATGTGTAAGAGCTTCTTTGTGTAAAGGCTTTCCGGTGCAGACACATAGATAATTCCATAAATGATACTCATGATGATAATTATGCTGATTTGATTCTCTTACTCATAATTATCAATATGATACTCATGATTATAACAAAAAACACTGATGATGATAATTATGATGATAACTATGATGATTGATTATAATGATGATGATTACTCATAACCATAGAATTGGATGATGGGAAAATTTACAGGAAAGCCCTATATTTGATGGTAAAAACCATGGTTTCCTGTAAAATTTCCCTTAAACCAATCCAGTGACATAAGTGTTTTTGTGTCAATCATCAATTCAGATCAGGCGCGCGGCGGAGATGCCATGGGCTACCAGTTTGGCGACCTCACGCGAGGCGCGGCCGCACCAAGGCAGCTTGCATCATGGTTTTTGCCATGGTAAACCAACGATGTGGAAGTCAAATCCCACAAGACATGATACAACATGTATATACCTACGTAGGTTTGATACGGAGGAGGTTTTGTGGGATTTTGAATTTTTGAGGTCTCATATCGTTTTAAGATAGTTTGGTTTGATTAAAAAATAGACCACCGTGATGATTTTACGATTTGGGGGTCAATAAACCGTTATTGCAGTTGCCAGAGTTTGGAATCATTTGTCATTTTTGAAAGAGAAACATGAACTTGTGTAGATCATGACGTAGACTCTCATATTCCTAAGTGGCTAGTTGTATCATTGCGATTCTCAACCAGTGAAGTCGCCCAATAAAACCACCAAACAACAGACTTGTCGGAGGTTTCAAGCACAAAAATAAACGATCAAAGCAATCTTGATTTATTTTGTTGCAACTTCCATGTGCAAACAAACATATTGAATTGTATTGTTGAGGAGTCAAGGAATAGACGTCATGACATTTAGTCCTTGACCTCCCAAACTTCGAGGCGTTGCCATCCCTGGCTCCGTTAGGCTTGCTGTCGATGGGTCAAGAAAGCTGGGATCGCGGCAGGGAGTTGGTTGAGCAGCACAGCAAACCCATCCAGGAAGGCGGGCTGTCAGGGTCGGCTGGGTAGGTACAGCAAAACCATCACCCAAACTTCAGCCACGACTTCAGCATGGTGAAAAAACTTGGATACAATTACTGTATACAATTGGAAAAGTGACCTGCAAGAGAGTTACCCTCTGGTAAACTAACATAACTATGGAAAATCACCATTTTTAATGGGAAAATCCACTATAAATGGCCATTTCCAATAGCTATGTTAAATTACCAGAGGGTACACACTTGAAGATGTGGGCTCTATATGGATTATATACGTGCCATGGTCAAAAGGTCGGATGCATCTTGGATGATCATTCCCGGAGGCATAGAGGCTTGGCAGAAGGAGGTGGCAGAGAAGACGGAGAGTCTTCAGCGGCTTGGGATGAAACTGGCTGGAACTAGTGGAACCTAACATGGGATGGGCTACGACTCCCGAATATAGATGGGCTCTCTCTCTCTCTATATGTATATATACATATATGTATATGTATGTGTGTATGTATGTATATATATATACATAAATGCATATCTTCATACGGAATATGTTCATACTATATAAACATGGCAGGAAGTTGCGCAATATAAAGGAGGCAATCAGCCTTACCCTGGCGTTTGGTGGAGGAATGCATGGAAACGGATGATGATGTGACTGGAATAGCTTTAGCATCCCCAAAAGACATCAACTTCCCAGATTTCTGGATCCGGCGAGGCAAAACCTCCATGAATCTTTTGGCCAAAATGCTTTGAAAATCAAAGCTGGCATCGACAAAGGTCGGGGGAATCCAGTGGTGCCAACTTGCCAAAGAGACCTCAAAGGTGGTACAACTGGTAGGGTTAAACCACCTGGTTTAATAGGGATCATTAAACCCATAATCATATACTTATTGACCAACCAGGACAATCGGACTGGTGGATGGGCTTTCATGTGCCATGGGAAAGTGGGATTTGATGGTTGTTGCGGTGCCAAACTGGTTTGCGACATGGTCGATGTTGAAAGATGTCATGAATGTAAATGCTTCATGTGATTCCTGTAGCACTGGCGAAGAGCAACGGAAAGCGGATTGGAATCGGGAAATCACAGAGGCCCTTTGCCAAATTGACATTGTTCTTCAGGTCTCTGAACATTCAGAATCAGTGACTAGCGAACGAAGAACCACCAATGGAGGCAACGAGAACAAGAACAAGAGCAGTGTCAACAAGAAACAATGAGAACAACATCAATTACAGTACAACAATCACAAGAACAACAAGACAAATGACATTTGATTAGACCATGTTTTTGCCACACAAGCAGTACGCTTTGAATATATTCACAATATCCAGGAGAAGTACTTTGTTTTCTTCGTGTGTGTGTGTGCGCTTAGTATCCAAGATCAGATGTCGATAAATCATCCTGGTAATCATAAGAGGGAATGTTTGATCTACACAAAACGAAGCTGTCTAATTCATTCTGATTCCTTTAACATGTTTGAACCAAATAACATGAGAGGATGAAACCAATGATGAAGATCTTCCTCCCCAGCACTTTGGCAGGTCGTGAGCAGTTGTCCAACTTCAGTTGCAGACCCAATGCCTACAAGAAGGGCCTTTCCGAGGAACCACCCTGGGACTTTGAAGAAGAAAGGGGCACCGAAAAAAAATGAAATGGATAAACCATCCAATTTTTTGGGTACTCATGTTGGTATATTCAATTATTAGCATAAAATTTTGGGGATATACCATTATACCATTATACCGCACCATTCTTACCATTTTTGGGTACTTTTTCGGGTACTTTTGGAAGCCAGCCATTCCCAAATCGCAGCGGTTGAACTTTGGGGGATCGATCGATCGCTGTCGATCGTCGTCTCAGCTGGGTGCTGTTTTGGTAGGGGCTTGGTTTTCAATATCAAGCTTAGGTAATACAAAAAGAGACGATGAGTGAACTCTGAACGCCGACTTGATTACTTAGTTCTGCCTGATCCATGGCAAATGATGTCCTGCTTGAGTTTTGTTGAAACATGAAACCAGTGGCAGGATGAGGAGGTGTTCAATCGCTGTCCTGATCCGTGAAAATTCGCAGCTGTCACCTGCGGAGTGTGGGGGAGATGGACCGTTCGGCATTCCTGAAGATCTTCAGAGTCCTCACCCCAAAAAAAGGACATTTCTGATATTTCCAATCCATGGCATGGGGGTAGCCTTGAATCCATGGATCATCTGGGGGATCCTCCATCTCACCACGAGATTCCAGTCCCAACTGTAGACTCAAAGCCCCAGGTTTGGTAACTCGGGTACCATCCCAATGCAGTTGTTCCGATTTTTTTTTTTGGATTGCAAGATGTTTTCTAAGTTATAACTATAGTTATAACCATAGTTATAACCCACAAAAACTATAGGAAAATCGCTAACATCTATAGCAACATCTATAGCAACATCGTCATAGTCATCTCCAAAAGGATCAACCAAATCTTCCCCAGAAAGATTCAACCGATTCCAGAGTAGTAGTTGATTAGTAGTGATTCATCTAGTGATTCATAGATAGTGATGAATAATGAATATAATGATTCATATAGATAGTGATGAATATATTAATATAATGATTCATAGATAGTGATTCATCTAGTGATTCATCTAGTGATTCATCTAGTGATTCATAGATAGTGATGAATAATGAATATAATGATTCATATAGATAGTGATGAATATATTAATATAATGATTCATAGATAGTGATTCATCTAGTGATTCATCTAGTGATTCATCTAGTGATTCATAGATAGTGATGAATAATGAATATAATGATTCATATAGATAGTGATGAATATATTAATATAATGATTCATAGATAGTGATTCATCTAGTGATTCATCTAGTGATTCATCTAGTGATTCATAGATAGTGATGAATAATGAATATAATGATTCATATAGATAGTGATGAATATTAATATAATGATTCATAGATAGTGATTCATCTAGTGATTCATCTAGTGATTCATAGATAGTGATGAATAATGAATATAATGATTCATATAGATAGTGATGAATATATTAATATAATGATTCATAGATAGTGATTCATCTAGTGGTTCATCTAGTGATTCATAGATAGTGATGAATAATGAATATAATGATTCATATAGATAGTGATGAATATATTAATATAATGATTCATAGATAGTGATTCATCTAGTGATTCATCTAGTGATTCATAGATAGTGATGAATAATGAATATAATGATTCATATAGATAGTGATGAGATATTAATATAATGATTCATAGATAGTGATTCATCTAGTGAGTGATTCATCTAGTGATTCATCATATAGATAGTGATGAATCATAGATAGTGATTCATAGTGATTCATCTAGTGATTCATAGATAGTGATGAATAATGAATATAATGATTCATATAGATAGTGATGAATATATTAATATAATGATTCATAGATAGTGATTCATCTAGTGATTCATCTAGTGATTCATCTAGTGATTCATAGATAGTGATGAATAATGAATATAATGATTCATATAGATAGTGATGAATATATTAATATAATGATTCATAGATAGTGATTCATCTAGTGATTCATCTAGTGATTCATCTAGTGATTCATAGATAGTGATGAATAATGAATATAATGATTCATATAGATAGTGATGAATATATTAATATAATGATTCATAGATAGTGATTCATCTAGTGATTCATCTAGTGATTCATCTAGTGATTCATAGATAGTGATGAATAATGAATATAATGATTCATATAGATAGTGATGAATATATTAATATAATGATTCATAGATAGTGATTCATCTAGTGATTCATCTAGTGATTCATAGATAGTGATGAATAATGAATATAATGATTCATATAGATAGTGATGAATATATTAATATAATGATTCATAGATAGTGATTCATCTAGTGATTCATCTAGTGATTCATAGATAGTGATTCATAGATATGATGAATAATGAATATAATGATTCATATAGATAGTGATGAATATATTAATATAATGATTCATAGATAGTGATTCATCTAGTGATTCATAGTCTTAAAAAACAGAAAATCCATCCCAAAATTCGGGTTTCCGTTCAAGTTCGATCCCCCAAAGATTCTTCACACGGTCCGAGGCCCGTGGACTTGGCATCCCTGAAGTCGGTTCGGAGGTGCCACCAGGGGATGGTCAATACCTACGATATCCCCATGAAAAGAACTATGAAATTAGCTATGGTATGGTATATTTTTAAGGATTTACTGGGATTTTATAATCTTACTGGGATGTCATGATAATGTTTTTTTTTCATCAGGTATGGAGGGGATGGGCATTTTTTGGTGGGATATGATGATGGGGATATAACAGCTCATTTTCCGCCAGTTGATAACCCAGTAGATGGACTGGGGTACAACCCATTTTTGGACAACCCATATCTCCATTTGATGACATGGGCAGGTATACGAGATTCGTATCAAACCTCAGATCATTTCTGAATACCCAAGTTATTTGTTATTAGTCCCAAGTTTGGGGTTGAACATGAACAGACTACGTTGTGAAAATGGGGGGTCGAGAATATCCACGATGTTTTCCTGCGCATGGGATACACCCATAGCTCTGCTGCCAGAACCGGCAGACAAGTTTAGCTGAAAGGGGAGATAGCCAACGACAGAATGGATATAGGTAACGTTCAAAAATCGCTGCGGTTGAGGAGTGTCACCCAAACCTCACTTGAAAAAACCGTTCTGGAGGGTTAGGGCGACCATACTTGGAATGATGTGGTATGGTCAGCAGACTGTTTAACGACGGAGCTTCACGGCTTTCCACAACTTGGGTCTGGGTCAAATCGTTCTTCACCTTTTCACGCCACAAATCTCAACAATGGGATTATAACACTTGGTGATCTCCAACAACTTGGTATTATCATATACCCTCTGGCAATTTAACATAGCGATTGAACATTGACATTTATAGTTGATTTTCCCATTAAACATGGTGATTTTCCATAGTTGTGTTAGTTTACCAGAGGGTACTATAAATATGGGGATTTCAACAAAACCATCCCGCTTTATGGGATCCTTCACACATCGGGATCTTCCGCAGCTTCTTCCGCCCAGCTGTGGCGTGCCCGTCGCCATGCCGGAGCCTGGCTCAGAAGGCTGGCCAGCGGGGAAGGTCTTCGAAGCCGGCATTCAGGGCTTCACATACGATGACCTGGTCTTCATGCCGGGGAGTCCCAAATGTGAGGCTTCAGAGGCGAGGGTTGGGCTTGAAAAAGTGGAGATCAGTGATGCCTACAGGCCTACAGGCCTACTTTTTCTTTTTGAGTCAGTTCCTAGTGGTTGAACGGATCGCAAAAATGTTGTAGGTTGTAGGTGAGTTTTTTTTTGGCAATTTTTGATGGAGGACTCGAACAATTACCTCATTTTTTTTCGGCCCAAGTTGAAGCCTCCACCAGCAAATGGGTTTGAGATGGGGTGAAGATCTATCAATATGGGGCAATATGGGGGTTGATCACCGACTTTAATGTGAGGACTAGGATAGAACCACCAACCCTATTTTTTTGCAGACTAGTTGGGTGTGATGAATGATCTATCAACTTGGGTTTGATGACCAAGACCTAGGCGTTTGCTTCATTAGCCGACCGTACAAGAAAACTTGATCTTACTTGGTGCAACCCCGTCTTTGGTGCAATTGTTGTCGTTTCAGGTGGACCTGTCCAGTCACATCACAAAGAACATTCGCTTGACCTGTCCAGTACTGGGAAGTCCATCGGACACGGTGACCGAAGCCAAGATGGCCATCGAACTGGCGCTGGCGGGTGGGATGGGCATCATCCATGCCAACCAGAGCATTGAGAGCCAGGTGGTTATGTGGCACCGTGTTTGTGAAGAGATTGGTTGCATGGCCTGCCTGGTGAATGTAATGTGATGATATGTGATGGGGATATCACCATGGTGAGTTAAGATGATCGAATGGTATCTACTGGGATATCACCAACTCAATATGTCTTGGGCGTGGACCTGAAAATGGGTTGTTTTTGCCTCAAATTGAAGGCCACTTAATAGGGAACATGATGAGTTTCCCCTGGAAGGGTCCCCAATTTTGAGACCAGCCCACTATTTCGGTCATTGGAGAGGAACTTGGAATTGCACTGGTCTTCAAAATTGAAAGGATTCCATTCCATGGTTGAACCCATCTCATCCCGTGGTGAAAAGTCTATGTTTCCATGAAAATCCCGATGGATGTAATATGGATAGGATGATTTTCCCGTTCAGAGCCACACATTTTCATAAATCTTCCACTCAAATCACAAATCCCTGCTTGGTGCCGATATGTTCCATTTGGAAATCCCAACCATACCCCAAAAGACGATATTAGGGTTCCATATTTGTTGGGAAAGCTGGGATTTTAGCATCTTATTGTTAGGACTCCATATTCCCTGTTAGGATTCGATATTGATATTGAATGATACTGATATTGATATTGATATTGATATTGATGTTGATGTTGATATTGATATATATATATAATATATACATATACATATATATATATATATAATCATTATATGTTCCATAATCATCCCAGAATCATCCCATTCATATAATATCCTATATATAATAATCCCATAATAATCCCATCATAAATCCCATCTTTTGGTGGCACCTCAGAACTTCAATCGCAGGTGGAGATGGTCCAGCAGGTGAAGCGTTTCGTGAGCGGCTTCATCCTGGAACCCTTTGTGATGAGTCCTACACAGACCCTGGCAGAGCTGGATAAGTTGAAGGACACCAAAGGCGCGGTGATCCTGGAGATTTTTCAGAACATGAGGAAACAACTGGCAGGAGCTTGATGGGAAATTCATCAAACACATGGGATTTTAACGGGAAAATACACCTACTCATAAGGAATTTCATGGGAAGATCATCAAACAATTGGGATTCCAGTGGACAATTCATTCTATCCACGGGGATTTCAAGGCGAAAAGCACCCGCCAACATGGGATTTATGACCTAAACATGGGATTTTACGAATGAATAACGGATATGGGCATGTCTGAAAACGGTGGTTGTAAAGATCTGAAAATAGTGGGGCCTTTATGGGTACAGTACATATAGCCAGCCAATATATGGGATATGATGGGTTTTACTGGGACACAATGAGCCAACGATGTTTGGCGGATACAAATTTTGGGGTACAACATCAACCCAGTTCATGGGGATGTAATGATGATATGATTAGTGAATGACAGTCCCATTGACAGTTAGGATGAGTTGCCAGATTGAATCTGTGGCGGACCAAAGGTCGTCAAAGAAACCTGACAAGCAGAGGTTAAAAATAAACACTTGGCCCCGTGTCAGTTGGAATGACTGGCCACCATGACCGTCCAAAAGACGCACATGGAATGGAAAACATGGAATGGCACGCTTGAGTCGGCCTGACCTAGTGGAAAGGTAAACAGGACCACTCAAGAATCTTTTTGGCCATCTGGCCCTTCCTTTTTTCGTTGAAGTCAATGGGTCCAAGACTCAAGCGGTCCAAGACTCAAACCCAACCAAAGAATTATTCGGAGGGTTACCGACCTGGGGGGGTTTGGTTCAATCCTCATGATATATAATACATATAGCAACCCCCAAAAAGAATCGAAAAGATAGAAACGTAATTGATCACCACTCTTTTCGGATTTTACCAGCTATTTTGTTTTCATTCCAAAATTGGGGGCTGCTGTCCACCTCGACATTGGACCAGGCGTGTCCACAGTGCCCATCACCCATGACGGGCAGCTGGGCGGCCGGCTACTGGGCATCGTGACGTCCAGAGATGCGGACCTCTGCGAGGATCGCAAGGAGTTTCTCTGCAAGGTGGGGGGTTTTCCCGAGTTGCTGGGGAAGACCTGGGGGAAACATATGAAAAAAACATGTGGAAAACCCCTGCTTTCCCGTTCGGACCATGATTTACGCGGTGTTCCACATCTGGGTAAGACTTGAAATGAACTGCTATGAGGATATTTATCAACCGAATCAGCTAAAAAACATTAGTTTGTTGCGGGGGCGTTGCAACGAAAGAGCGCGAGTCATTTTTTGAAGATTCAGATGCGTTGTTTGTAGGGGTTCCATACAAGGGTGGTATCGGGAATGATCCAGAGATGTTTCGGGACTCTGTCGCGGGAGCGGGGGTTGCAAAATTAAGTTCAAGTTGGTGTGTTTTTCTCAGAGATCAAACGCATTTAAGAAGGTTGTTTTCTTTTTCAGAATAGCCCCCTGAAAACTCCAAACATACTACGTTTGGAAGTTCATCTTCCTCTTCACAATGGCAATTTTTAGGATCTCATTGCAGCTGGGGGTGGTATCACAACATGGCAGGTGATGACGGAGAAGATCGTCACCGCCAAGGAGCCGCTGGCGTTTTCGGAAGCTCTGGAGGTGTTGAAGCAAAGCAAGGCGTGGGGGATTCGTGGGTAATTTTGGTAAGTCGCCCCCAACGAATCCCCACAGATTCTGGTATAATCTTTTGGTGAGTTTTTCAATTTTCAGTATGGGTTTCCTAAGTCATGGGGCTACCCACAAATCATCCACTTGATATTTTCGGAATTTTCCATGAAATCAACCAGCTGGGGTACCACCATGACTTAGGAACCCCGCATATGAAACATCCATTCTTTTTGGGGAACCATCCATTGACCGAGGTTGGGAAGCTTTTGATCCTGGATGCCGAAGACCGCTTGGTCTCGATGGTCACAAGAAGTGACTTGAAAAAAGTCCGTGATTTTCCAGAGATGCTGGGAAGTTCAAAAGATTCAATCACTTTTTTGGGTTGTTTTTTGTTTTTTTCCCTTAGGGTATTTTTGTTCGTTGGGAAAGATGCTCGTGAATTGTGTTGGTTTCCCCACTTTGATGCTTGAAAAACATCGTTAAGTTCTGATGTTCGATGATGTTGGCAAGCGAGGATTAAGAAACCCTGGTTGATTGATTGGTGTACGCAACAAAAAATGAGGTACTGATCAAAATTATACCCACATATCAATGGATCATTGTTTAATCCTTGGTCAACATTATTTGGATGCGAGTGTGAGAAGTCGGAAAGCGTAGGAGATACCCCTTTTCTGCCTTGCTGAACTAACCATGGTGGCATCAACCGTTACTGCAGCAATGCTTGGGATGCACATAAAAGAAGTTGACGTTTGGTGATTGATGGACTTGTACCCATTTATAATTTATACCATTAGCCCCAGGTAGCATCCCCCCAGAATAGATTAGTAAATAGAGAGGAATATTCCGGAAACCTTAAAAATTATGCAACATTTATCACATTAATCAATTAGGTTTGACTGAAACTTGCTACAAATCCGCAATGTTAAGACACATGGCCCAATTCCATTATCTTTTTGGGACACCTTATTTTTGTTGGTAAAATCCCGTGTTGGCTGGTTAAAACCACCCGTTTGAAGATATTTGAAGCCAATATATTTCCTATGAAAATCCGCATGGATAGGATGGATCTTCTCATTCAAATCTACATGTTTCGATGGCATTTCCCCAACAAGAATCCCCATTCGAAGCTGTGTTTTCCAAAAAGAACTCAGGAATTTCCATGATTTTCAGAGTTGGAGTGGATCATAGTGGATCCAAAATGCTGAAAAAACATCAAACCACCCTGTTCGTCCCCAAGGATGTCCCGCGACGTCTCCGGCAAGTTGTTGGTGGCCGGCGCCGTGCCGGCCCGGGAGGGGCGGCCGGACGAGGAGCGAGCCAAGGCGCTGGCCGAGGCCGGCGCCAACGTGCTGTACCTCTTTGGGGATGGGATCGATGCGCAGCTGGAGCTGTTTCTTGGAGAAGAGTTAGACAAATCAATGATAAATCACAATAGATATAGATACTATAGTTGATATTAGTTGATACTTGATACATCTTGATACTAAGTTGAAGTATACTAAGTTGAAGTTATATGAAGTTATTCATATAAGAGTTGTACTGTATATATATATATATCCTCGAAAAAGCACAAATAAATGCTCATTTGAGAGATTTCTGCTTTTTGAGCGGTTTTTGTCAGCGTATTGCACCGCTTTTGGCATTTTTGCACTTTGTGCAGTTTGAAGCAAACAAAAATGAGGGTATTTTCCCAGGAAATAAGCATAATACCCGGGAAAAAACGTCAATACCCGTCTGTCAAGATCCAGATTCGCGTTTTCAAGTTCGAGTGAGCATAAAAAGTCAGAACGAGCGCAAATCCAAGCAAAAACTGCTATGAGCAGAAAAAGGTGCTAATATGATATATTGTAGTTATTATAGTGGTTTCAGAATAGTTTTGAACTGGTTTGTTAATACAGATTCCCAGTTCATGGATTGTGACAATGAACACTGCTCAATGGTGCGTGCGTTTTTTCAAAGTATTTTCTTTGCTCGGATGACCCCCAAAAAAGAATTTGAAAAGCACATCACCATCCAAATGAGCAGTTTTTTTTTTCTCTCTCTCTCTCTCTCTTTTCGTGGATGACGATAGATGTTGCCAGATTTAGCAATTCGCGGCAACGTGGGTTCCTAGCCCCTTATGGCTGAGATGTATTCCCTAACCACTTACTGTAGCTATTTCTGGCAACATCCAAGTGTTTAGAAATTTCCGGAAGGGGAAAATCCAGAAAACATCTGTGAAAAATCATGCGACATCTAAATATTCTGAGTGTTCAATGATTATAATTACTCCTGATATCTTTTTTTTTATTGTGTTCCCCCATCTTCTCGAAATCAGCAGAGGATTTGGAAGCTGAAATCCGCCTACCCCCTGGTGGAGATCTTGGCCGGTCCAGCAGCCTCGGTCCGGGAGGCGAAGCGTTTGATCCAGGCCGGCGCCGATGGCATCGTGGCGGGCACCGGCTGCGACGTGGGGGGCGACCCTGCGGCGCCGCAGGCGGTGGCACTGGGACGTGGGGAGGCGACGATGGTCTACGAGGTGAGGGCCGATCTCCATGGTACTCGTACCTGGAAAAGTTGTTTTTTTTTGGCAGAATTGGGACAAACTGTGGGAACATGATGGGGAAATGGTAGAACAATTGTGGTTTATGTTCTCCCAAATAAAGTTATCAGGGAAGGAACCTCTAGGAATCAAACGTGGCAATGGAAACGAACAATTGCTTAATGGTCAAATCATTTCCAATCATTTCCAAGTAGGTACTGTAACACCTAGTGTTGGAGTGAAAGTTGCCAGTTAAGATGTACACTACACACCTGCTTGATTTAACTGGACATCATTGATTCTCCATTAGAAGAATTGCCGCCCATTGACTTAAATACATCTAAATACATTCATGGAGTTTAAGAACTCCCAAAACCATCAACATCATAAGTCATTGATCCAACATACATCATCTTTTCACATCATCTTTTCCACATGTTTCCCCGTGAAAAGGTGGCCTTCTACGTGACCCGCAACTTCAACGTCCCCGTCTGCGCGGCGGGGTGCCGTAGCAGCTCCCAGGCCTTGGTGGCGCTGGGCCTTGGGGCCTCCTCGCTGATGCTGCGGGAGCCGCTGGCCGGGGCCCTGGAGGCGCCCTCCGGCGGCACGGCGGCAGCACCGCGGCACCACAGCCACAGCCTGGTGCACTGCGTGGGGCTGCGCTACGGCGCCAGCAGGGCCTGGGAACGGCAGGTCACGGTGCCCAGGAGTGTGGCACAGGAGGTGACGCATAAGAGTCAGGTCTGGAGCTGGGGCAATTCGGAATGCGAGAGAAAATGATGTGGAATGAGTGTTTTTGAGAATGTTATCTGATGTATCTGATGTTATAAGAAAAGTTCATTGGAAAGAAGCTGCTTTCCAAACCGCATCTTTCTTCAGGGCTTCCATGTTGGATTTCTGTATGGTCCAGTAGACGTGACTTGCTGTTCTTTCTAACGAGAAGTGAGGCCATGTTCCGATTCAACTTTTCATCCTTCAGCCTTCCTAAACCCTCACAGGGCCCCCTAGTCATTTCCAGTCAGGTGAAAGCCTTCTTGTTGTACTTCCTCTCGGGTTTACGCAAGGGTCTGCGAGAGCTGGGCTATCGCAGTTTACCCGAGCTTCATGAGGGGTTGGAGAAAGAACTGCTGCGGATGGAGTGCAGATTGCCTTATGGCCTTCAGCTCCGAGAATGGCGATGTCAAAAGGCGATGGCCAATGGCCAATTGCCACAAGCCTGCAGGGCGTGAGGTATGTGAGCTATTGATGGTTCATTGGCTGATGGTTATATAGTGGCTACAGTGATTGTTTGTGGTGGTTGATGGTTCATGAGGATCTAGTATAGTGCTAAATGATGCTTCATGATGAATGTTTGATGATCGTTGTTGACGGTGTTTCCACCGCCCTGCCCAGTTTCTGCATGAGGTCTAAACGACCAGTTTCACCTGTCAAAGCGCTCCACGAAATGCGGTGGATGAAAACGATTTTCTGTGCATTGGGTTTCCTGAATCGGAGTAGTCCCTGACATAGGGAAGCTACTGACAACTCCAGATCACAGGTTTTTTTTCCCCAACATCAGGGGCTGGCCATTTAGGGCTAAACATCGGTAGCTCGCCATCTGAAGCTGTCCGCAGGTGCGCCGAGTTGTTGGAAGAGTCGAAATTGAAGGCATCGCTGGGTTGGGAAATCGCGGGGGGTACCTGGGAAGGGACTGGAGGTCATTTTTGGGCCACGAAACCATCTTTAGGGTGGCACGATGATCGACTGAAATCAGATTCGTGAACCAGCAAGTTTATGGAAGTGTCTCTCTGAACATTTGATTTGAATGGCTTCTCGAATCAGGACTCCTAAATTCTCTGAGTCATAAAATCCTAGGCCCAGCATTTCAATCGTTGGAGCAGGATAGCTGCTGCAAGCTGTTCCCTTCAAACGCCACAAGTAGTCAATCACCTGCCTTTGCCATTTGAAGTGCTGCAAGCCTCAAAATGAAACAAGGCACACGAACCACTCTCAAAGCAAACATGCAAGAACAAGTACGCGACATGTGTGCATTGTGCATGTTTACTGCAAGAATCATCAGGCATTTCTTCGGTTCATCTATACATGCAACGTAGACTTATAAACGCTGAACGAAGTCAATTTTCCTTTTTATCGCTAGGTCAGGTCCGGTTTGGTTTACCAAGGAAACCACCGGGTCCGAACGAGGGAGGTACAATTTACACATTTTCAAGATATATCTATAAATAGAATACTGTTTTCCATCAAACAACGCAACAGCTGATGCGTCACTTAATGGCTTCATGGACTGCTTGGCATGGCATTGCACGCCTTTTCCATGGCAACTGACCGTCAAATTCGCATGGCATGAAGATTCGAGACACACCTTTTGGTGTCTTTGCTACTGCCTATGGCTTGTATCTGCTGCTCAGACTGATTGATCTGATTCAATCGGCCCCAGGATAGGAAAGATACATCAGAAAATATCAGTCTGTGCGTAACATGCAAACTCAACTGTCATTACAACTGTCATTCCACAGCAAAAAGGAATCAGGCAGATATAAGATTCACATGAGCCATGGTCACAAATTGGATTACTGTATATACTATATACTATATACTATATACTCTGTATGTACCATGTACCATGTACCATGTACCATGTACCATGTACTATGTACTATACTATAGACTATTTATGTACTATGTACTAGGTACTATATACTATATACCCATATTGGAGAATGGTTGTCAATCCATAGGAATTTATATACCGATCATGCTTGGATTCGATGACTGCGTCCCCATTCAGCCCATCTGAACATGGCACACATCGGCTCAGAGATGTTTGTCTTGACATCCTTGGACCAGTTTTGGAAAAGAACCGTGAAGAGAAAGTATCTCAGCAGACATAATGAGTGGATGATTCCAAACTGCACAAAGCAACATATATATATATATAATTATTATATATATATAATTATTATATATATAATATAATTATATATATATATATTTGAACATGCTATCAATTTGTCCCTTTACGCCAGGGGTCTACCACAAAGCTTCATCAGCTTGGGAGTGCAACCTCCAGACTCAGGCTTCCGTTCATTTACTTGTTACTCCCACCTGGTTCGGAATCCCAGAGGAACTGGCAACATCTCATGCAATCCACCGTGTAATAAGGGAGTGGACACATCATGATTTATGCATAGATTTGAGTGGAGATATGCATAGATCTATGCGTGCCATGGTGAAAACTTGAGTATATTACTATGCATATATGGGGGGGGGGATGGCCATTAATCCATTAATGGAGATTTATATCATACCCATTGTAATGCCTATTGTAAGGATTCCGATGACTAACCGTGGCAAATATGGGATTTCAATGGATATTTTATGGCCATGGCTACGGGTCAAATATTGACCCAGAGCCGCCTTTTTTGTTTTTTCCAATGGGACTTTCAGGACCGATAAAGCCAGATTTTCTGGGGATCTTACCTGAAATTTAGGCCTTACATATGGTAGGTACCTCCAATTTAGGTACTGTACCTGAAACGGCCATTGAATTGTCCTATCTATCTCCTATAGTGTCCCATATGGAGGTTTCCGAAGTCATGGGGGTACCCCGTAGTACCCCCAAACACATCCACTTGATTTTCGGAATTTCCTGATTTCATCAACCATCCAGCTGGGGTACCCCCATGACTATGGAAAGCCCCCCCAAATATATATATATATAATTCCATATACCATCTGGTTATTTAACCTAGCCATGGAACATCACCATTTTTAGTAGGTAAACCATCTATTTCTATGGGCCATCTATACCATGGCTATGTTAAATAACCAGAGGGTAAATCCCATTAAATCCCATTAAACCACCATTTTCCTATGGTTTTTCTATGGTTTTCCATCTATTGATGGTTTATACCCATGATTTTCCCATGTTTTCCCTGGTCATGTTCCAGTCTCCTGCGGAAGGCGGCGCACCGGCGCCGGCACTGCCTTGGAATTGCAGCCCTTGGGATGGCCTGCGGAGTTTGATCTGCCTGGAAGTGCTGTGGCGCAGCGGCAGGAATGGCGCAGTGGCGCAGTGGGTCGAAATGTCAAGACGTAGGGGACCAGAGATGTTAAAGAATTATCTCTGGTAATTATCTGTGGAAATTTGAAATCTAACAGCATCTAACATCATCTAAGATCATCTAACATCATCTAACATCATCTAACATCTTTAAAGAATGATCTGTGGTAATTATTCACCATCGACCTTAGTCGTCATGTTTCGTCTTCACCATCCAATCCTGGGTATCCAGGGATTTGATCAAAAACCATATACTCCCCACACACCCCCTTTCACCGTTTTCTTCCCATGTGGATATGATATATACGTATATTTATTTCATCAGAACAGTACCCCCAAAAGGTAGACAAGTAATTTACCACTATTTAAGTGAACATTTACCGTTCTATTCTTGTTGGGGTTGATTATGTATGCATTTTCCACTGTTTATTTAGCATAGCTATGGAACATCACAATTTCTAATAGCTAATCATAATGTTTATCATTGAGCTAAATGGGCCATGACTTCCATAGCTATGTAACAAATAACCGAATGATATACGATTTGTCCCAGATTTCACCATGATCAACCATTATTAAGCATTATTATGAGCCATGATATTTCATTATCCCCAATAATTTCCCAAGTATAATTCACTATAATCCCATGAAATCCCCAATGAACTCCCCATGAAATCCCATGACTTTTCTCTTCAAACGGTGATAACTTTCCCACTGATTTCAAACAGCCTCGAAAGAGCGAGGCTTGGCGCGCTGTATGCCTCGCTGCGCTTGGCGAACTGACTAAGGGGCGCCCTTTACGAGGGTGGCGAAGTGGTTTTTTATTCTTTTAAAACTACAGTTGTAAACCAACTATATAGATATTCAACTATAAACTAGGTTTATAGTTATGGTGTAAATAATAGATATATATATATATATATATATATGTGGTTTATGGTTACATATATAGATATATATCTTCCAAGTTGGTGAACAGAACTAGGTGAAATTATGGTTTATGGTAGAAACCAACTTGGAAGTGGACCTGGTAATCTGGTAGTTAATCCTGACTATGAGAACCCAACCTAAGTTGGCTCACAACCTGACTTTAGTTGGTTTATAACCATAGTAATTGTTGGATTTAGTGCGTATATATCTACAGTGGGGTCATAACTCCATTTGTGCCAATGTATAACGTGGGGGCCCCTGTAGGAATGGGATACTGGATGAATCACAGCAATTTTTTGAGTTTGTCTTGTAGGTGTGTTCCATCATACATCCGACTAGAAGTTGAAGGTTTAGCTGGGTATCAAAAGAAACAGCAAGGAGATGTTTGATTTCTAAGAAGAATCCACCTACAGCTAGTGGTTTTCGATTGATTTCTTCCTGGCTTACCAAAAGATGCAGCTAGTTCTTACCTTGGGAGCAGCTACTCCATACTCGTGGTCTGATTGCCAGAGGTCATCGATTTTCTGCATTGGAAACAAGCCACCAAAGATCCGTGGCAACACAAGGAGAAACTCAGCAAACTGAAGAAACCACACATCCATCCAGAAAAGATCCATGATCTTCTGGGGTATTTTCAGGTTGTACCCTAGGCCCTAGATGATTTTTGGGTAACTTTTTTAAGGTGATGACTTGCTGCCGCAGGATGACCTCCTTCGGATGGCGTACCTCAATGTCTCTTGGCCAATTTGGTTTCTGCAAGGAGGGAAACCGCAGAGTTTTACCGCATTTCTTTTGAAATAGTTAAGCAATGAAGAATATTGAATGCTTGAGACTTGAAGAAAAAATGCAGTACGAACGTGTTCAATCTTGTTGCTGGAACTCGGTTTTGAGTTGCAGCCAGGTAGTTTGCAGCTGACCATAAGAGACCCGTCTCCAAGTGATTCCCTTTAAAGTATACGTTTGCATCATGCTTGTTTTCGCGATTTGCATGAGGAAACCTCCGAACTCAGGTGAGCTTATGTTTTCTTGGACGAGTGCATGGGCGAATGGCAGGTGGCTTGCTGGGCATGACCGTGGTGATTATGACATACCCATGGAATCTCACTATTCCTTTGTGATGCAAGCACAGCAATATTCGAGGCCGTCCGAAAAATGGGGGATCCCCCAAAAAATGTGAATTATGAAAAATGAAGGTTAAGTTTCCTAAATTAGGACTCTTCAAAAAACCCTTCGAATTATGGGGTTCAAACAGAACCTTTCCCCCTTCATCCCCTTCGCAGGTGTCTTCCCCC